TTTCCGCTTTACATCACAAACAAAACTTCCGTAAAAGTCTGACGGACCTCTAGGTCGTGAGAACAACGGTCGCGTCCAAAAATACATCCAGCCATCCAGAGCCTTGTTGTCCATTTTCGACAATTAAAACGCGTCGTACGCTCTTTTATTGAGGCATCCGCTGTCACTCGTAAAAAAACGATTTAAAGAGGGTCGCACGCCTATAGAAACGCCCGATACTTCACTCTCTATCTCTCTATCTTTTTTATTTACAGAACGCTCTTTCTGTCTCTGTCGAAGCGTTTAAGTTTTAAAAATAATCCCGCCAATAAAGAAAACGGGTACTTCCGTTCCGATGCGTAGTTTGCCGGTCGGACATCCGGCGACGCGCGAATTATCGAGTACCACCGCGGGAAAAATGAACAGGGAGGGAAGCGGTGTTGCCGAACGTGGCCCATATTCCTTAAATGTTTCGTTCCATATTCATTAGCAAAAATCGGACTTTTTTTAAAAGATTTTATTTTTTACTAAGCAACTATTGGAAACACTGATTTCTGAAAATGTTTTTATACATAGTATTGGGTAAATGAATTTGTAGACATAGTTTGACTTTTTATGAAATTTTAGTTTCGTAGATGTAGTAAAAATCGGACCTTTGTTAAAAGATTTTATTTTTTACTGAGCAATTATTGGAAACACGGATATCTAAAAATGTTTTTTATACATATTATTGGGTAAATGAATTTGTAGACATAGTTAAACTTTTTATGTAATTTTAATGTCGGAGACATAGCAAAAATCGGACCTTTTTTAAAAGGTTTTATTTTTTACTAAACAACTATTGGAGCCACGGGTTTCTAAAAATATTTGTTGTGAAAGCGTTTCGAAATTGACCGTTTTTGATATTTATTTGAGATTCGAAATGACATTCTTTTAGACACTAGCATCATAGACAAACAAATAAAAAGATACTGACAAATCCTATGGTAAAGAGTGGGACCACGTTCCCGTAACGCAACTCAGAATAACAATTTTGAAACCAATTAGCCGGACCATGGCAGGACGTACGTCTTTATTGCTATCTTTCTTTATTATGTGCGCTTTATATGAAAAAAAAGAGATAGGTATAAAACGTATCGTAAGACATTATCGCACATTCTGGCTGGCGGAAAATTTAAATTAGCCATTATTAGTAGTATTCTTTCATTCTGAAACTGAAAATTTTCACTTAAACTGATTTATTCCCTATACCACGTAAAGGGAACGTGGTGTAGGGAATAAATCAATTTAAGTGAAAATTTGCAGTTTCTTTCAGAACGAAAGAATATTACTATTATAAGGGAAATTATAAAAAAAGCAAAAATTGTACTGTTTTATAAACATATTTATTTATATATAAAAATAAATAAACTTTTTATAATATAATAACAAAAAATAACAGTGTTTATTCCACCCACCTACCAATTTTAACTGCAGAAGAACTGACTGTTGCAGGAAACGATCGGAAATTTTTTTTAAAGGGCATTAAAAATCTCATTTTCGAAAAAACTGCCTAATTGCAATAACAAAGTGAATATCCAAGCAAAGAAGACTTTACGAGAATCATGATCCTGAACCATTTTCAAGTCCAGTTTTAATCCTAAAACAAAAGTAAAATAGGTATATTAATAAAGTTTCTGGTTACTATACACCAGCTATAAACTACCTACCCAAAAAATAAAAAAAATTAATTGTATTAATTTGTTATGTTAAGAGAGGTTCGAAATATTTTTGACACTACTATACTTCTACTTTTTTTTTATAAGATGATAAATATAACTACTTACTTTTATTTTACCGGGCGTCTTTAACATATCTATCAGAGAAAGGGGGCACCAATACATATATAGAAAATAGATGACACTGGCTCCTGCAGCAAATAAAATAACAAATAGTATAACCTAAAATTATAAGTAACAAAATATAAATACCTATATGGAACAAAGGAATTTGTTCCCTATCCATATTCATAAGTCAATAAAATGAAGAGTTTAGAAAAAAAGGTAAATCGCCAAAAGAAATATTAACAAACATGACGAATTGTCATGCTGTTGTCATCTTGGTTGTCATGATGACGAAAACGAAAGGCGATTATTCTAATTTCTATTTAGAAATTACGTTTTATAAGGCTGCTTCTTTCTCTCTTGTTATATTAGAATGAGATAGTGGGCCCAATATACGCAATACGCAGATCAACATAAATAGAACGAAATTTTGCGTTCTGAGTTGCGCTACGGGAACGTTGTCCCTCTCTTTGCCATTTAATTTGCCAGTCTCTTTTTATTTGTTTGTCTATGACTAGCATCTAAAAGTGACACTTGTTTATTGTTTAGGCACTAGTGCCTAAAAGTAAAAAATGAAACGTTGGAAATAATGAAAATATTTATTTAATGTAAATCTTAAAGGTACAATTATTAAAGTGAATACAAGAGGCATCCAACTTCTAAGAGAAATGCAAGTTGTAGGAGTCGGAATAAGTAAATTTCTTGTACTGGCAACGCTGGTAGCTTCTGCTTCTACGTGAACTGCTTTTAATTTCTTATTTGGCGTATCTGTCTGTCCCATGATTCTTTTTGCTATTTCGGTTTTCTGTTCAATTGAATTTTTAATGTAACCTTCATCAAGCGAGCTTGATCGCCAACCTCCATGTCGCTTTAAAACTGTTATATCCGCTTCTGAATCCGCCAGCATTGTTGCTGAGCTGCGCCGGAAACAATGACCAGTGTATTCAATGGCGCTGGAGAAGAAATTCCGCTATCTTTTTTGGCATACCCCCAATTGTATTGATTCCAACCTGATTCCAACTGGCAGGGTATGGCATTGATTTTTTCGATACGTCAAGAAAAATCGATGATGTTTCACATTGAGTGATCGAAGTTTTGCGGAACTTACGAAATACGTGTAAGAAATTGATACCATCTATTGGTCTCTCAGTAATCGTAAACACTCTTGGAAACTGAGTTTTTGTATTCGGAATCTTCACACTAATAAATAACTGACAATCTTTAATGGCATCTACTGTTAAAACCGCAATTTATTCCCTCTTACATGCTCCAAATACTCCATTTACGCCATGGCGGTCCAGATTAAGACAACTTTAGCTAACAGGAATTATTTGTCATCGGCTTCTTTCATAGAGCGTTCTATTTCCAGTTTTGTAAGTAGTTTCGATTTCTTTGCCTGATATCCTGAAGCTTTTCTTTTTGAAAATGCAATAAGGTTTGTGAATTTGCTAATATCTACGTTTCTGTTCAGATAAATCATGAAGCGGAGCATCGAATATTTACTCCACAGAGTTGACGGCTTTAAGGCAGTGGGTAACTTCAGGAAATAGGCTAGCAATACCTTTTCTGTGAAATTCTCAAAATGTTTTTTTTGACCCAGGTTTCAAAGTTGTTGTAGGTGGTCTCGTATAAGTTTTTCGACTTCTCGGGCACTAACGTGGGTAGCGCAGTTTCAGCAGCTTCTTGAATATCCAAAGACTCGTCATTATCACTCATTTTTTCACAAAACTTTGTAGGAAATACGGCGACGTTTGAACCTGACAGAATTTTGTCATTAAACAATTTCGCAACTTGTTACATAAATAGCTATTTTATACATGTTATTGGGTAAATGAATTTGTAGACATAGTTAGACTTTTTATGAAAGGGATTTTATTTTTTACTAAGCAACTATGGAAAACACGGGTTTCTAAAAATGTTTTTTTATACATACATGTTATTGGGTAAATGCATTTGTAGACATCCCAGTGAGCAAAGTTTTGTCACATTTAGGAAACATTAGGGAACATGTATGTATCTGCGTTTTATTGCTTTGAATCAGGCAAAAGAAGGGCCTGGTAACGTAACAACGACGTCACCTAGAACACATTTCCTTTAAAGGAATAAAATGCTCACTGGGATAGTTTGTAGAGATGAGCAAAAAATCGCAGACTGCGATTCAATCGCAGCGATTTTAAAATTGCAATCGCAACATGCGATTGGCTCTCATAGAAAAACTGCGATTGCGATTTCTTCTATTTGCGAGTTTCAATTTCGGCAACCAGTGTATCCCTGCGATTTGTGACTTTGTCACGATTTGCGATTTTGCTGCGATTGTAATTTTGTAACTGGGATTGTGATTTCTATCTGCGAGTTTGAATTTTTAGGAGTTGCGATTTGCAATATTGTTGCGAATGTAATTTTGTGGTCTATTGAAGCATTTTATATTAATCTGCGATTGAATTTTCTCTCTGATGTTATTTAATATTTTTCTAGGGCCATGATCATAATATACCGGGTGTTTCACAAGAGTAGCTCTCAATCTGTTTTTTTTATCTGAATAAAAAATATCGGTTATATAATAAAAGTTATCTGGGTGCGCCATCTTAAAAAAATAATGCTTTTAGATTTTTTAAGAAGTGGATAAAGAATTAGATAATTCAGAACCGTAGAAAGAGTAGGTAGGAGTAATTGCAGCATAAGTAATGTTAATGTGTAAATGTGTTGCAGTTAATTTAAATACTTTCCAGATAAAATTTGCGCAAACTGATTTTATATTTATTTATATATTTTAGCTAAACATGTATATTAGTATTAGTCAAAAATATTCATTTTTCGACACGTGCAAGGAGCTCTGTGCATTTTGTTTATTATTGATTACTTACAAGCATATACGCATATATATTGCACGTTGTTGTTTTCATATTTGTCTGGTTTGTTATTAAACATTTCTAAAATATTTTGGAATTCTATAAAACATAAAAACAATTTTCAACTATTTTGACACTATAATGAACTATCTTGGTTGTTTACTTGGTTACATGCTTTAAACTAGACTTACTTTTCTGTGACGCAAAAACTGTTAACATTTATAATAATTTCTGAGAAACTTTTAAAATATTTTTTTCTTTACATTTCTTCCACGTATTGTAATTATTAATAGGTATTTTAAATTAACACAATGAATACTTCTGATAGTTATTTTTTTATTTTCAGTGTATCCAAGGCTGCAAATTATGGAAAGAAGCGTTGACTCAATCCTGTCAAAATGTCTGCGTAAGTAATACATCATTAATTATTTAATTATTACAAAAATATTATAAAATACTATATTGTACCACAGATAATACATAATTTTTGATAAGACATGATTATATGTTATCTGTGATTGTACCTATAACAATAAGTAAAACATTTTTGACCGATGGTGAAGATTGATAACCACCATGAGTGCGAAAATGATCTTTTCTTAAAAAGCCCACATACTACATATTTCAAGGGGAAAACCGCTGTCTTAAATTTTGTACATCTATCTACTTCCTATTAGTAGAATAAATTCCTTACACATCCCTGATACTTACCTTACCATCCTTTTTACCCTTTAAATACCTTTAATACCAGGGGCGTGCGGTGAAATTTTAAGTTAGGGAAGCAATTTTTAACCTATTTGTAATGTTCGATTCGATTCTTCTATCATTTTTTGCAAATTCGTCAATTACGTCATCATAAAAACGTGGATTCTCCGACATGTTTTGGGGAAGTTTAGTTTCGATTGACAACAGCGACGCTTTCACACGAAAGTTTCTCCTGATCCGTTGAATTCGCTCTAACGAAATTTTTTATACGTTTAAGTGTTGCAAAATTGCGTTCTATTGATGAATTTGTGGCAGGCATTGTTAATACTAATTTACACAAGTTTGACACTTCGGTGTAGGCATCTTCTAGCACCTTTGTGTTTTAAAAATTGCATTAGTACTCTAGCGTTATTTTTTGAACTAATGTCATCAGTTTCGTAAATCACTTATAGTTCAGATCGCAGTAACACTCGGTCGAAGAACTATGGCCATAATGAAGAAGAAGAAAAAATTCCTTTATATGCATCAAAATTGCAGAGCTTGAGGAATTTAAAATCATTTAAACCGTTAAATCTACAGTTTATTTGTCGCCGAATATCTGTCCGAGAAAACAAACGCCATCCGTAAGTCTTTTTAATATTTGCCTATTTTTATCCACTAGTTCATTGTGTTGGCGGTGACTAATTTCTAACTGCTTATTAAGGTCGTTTTCAATTCTGGTTTTGCTAAAGACTTAGTGCCGGTTTATCCATTAGGCAAAATAGGCAGTTGCCTAGGGCGTCAGGCTGATAGGGGGCGGCATTTTTTAAATAACAAACTTAAACTTGAATTTTTATTAGTTGAAGGGGGCGGCAAAACCCCCGGGGGGGGGGATTAAACCAATTCTAAAGGACCCGCACCAGTATCCAGGGTGGCCCTCCTAGACCCCCTTGTTACGCCACTGCTCGTTATGTTTTATTTTATTATTTCCACAACAATTCCTCGATAATTTCTTGTACTACCTCGATACTTTTTAAAATTCCTCTACACTTCCCATCCTTTTGTATGATATGCGATTCTCGAGATATTTGTCTCCATTGGGCACAAACTTTTTCTCAAGTTATTTTCATCGAAAAAAAAGCATTGCAAGTGCATAGTACTATCGGAAAAAATAGTTTTATTCGAAAACTGAAAGTCGTGCTTTATATCAATTTTTTCTATTACAGAATGTGACGTCAGATCGCCTCAGTCACAGAGAATTGCACTGCGTAATGGGATGCAACGATGCCACCGCAAAATATTTCGCAAAAATGCGCGAAATCTTAGGTAGTCCACCTGCACCGGCTTTGTTGGATAATTCCTTAGAAGCCACATCTTTGAAGTTAGAATGGAGGTAATAACCACGAATACCATAATGTTCTATTTTATTTAAATGTAACAAGCAGTCATGATCTACGCAGTCATGAATGCTTTGTTATGTCTACCATCGGAACCAATATAATGTCTCTTTAAGGCTGGATAACAATTTGGTTCATGAGTTCATGGGGCTTATTTATTACAATAAGATACAATATTTGGTTTGTTTTTGCTTGTAACATACTTAATTTAATGTAAAATTGACGTCTTTTTAGTTTAAAAAATATTATTTCTCCAAAAAATCCTAATGGGTATTTCGCCACTGCAAGAAAATCTACAAAATAAAATAGTTCTTTAAAATCAAAGAAGGGATTGCCATACATTTCTAACATCTACAGATGCATGAGCAATACATTTATTTTTATTAGATTGTATTAAAAAAGCCTTTTTTATTTTTCTTTTTTTTTAATATATTTTATAGATTTTCTTGCAGTGGCGAAATACCTATATAGGATTTTTTGGAGAGATGAATCCGCCACATAAGCATTTTAAAAAATATTATTGTTTTTACTATGGTTAAAAAAAGTATTTCATGATTTACTCTAATTCCACAATGCAAATAAAACACATTTGTACTACATAAACCATAATAAAATTGACCAAATTGCCAACTATATTGTCAAGATAAATGATAGCGTAATGAAGATAAATTGATGTATCCATGAAATTATTGCTAAAGTGCAATCGCTTTCAGTTAAAATATGTTCATTGATAAACTTAATTTTAATTCGTATAAAGGATAGAATCATTCTGAATATTATTTCAATAATAATCGTTCATATTTTATTGAGTTAAATATTTTAGTATTTAAAAATAATCTGTAATTATTATCTGTTTTTATCATATGGTATTTTAAAACTGTTAAAAGAAAAATTAACTTAAAGAATAAAATTCATTAATATAAAAATACATTTTAATTAAATAGCATAGAGAAAATTAACCAGTAATAAAAGTAAATATAAAACTCTGCTCTGGATATAGTAGGTAACTAATAATAAGTATAATTATTAATGTTTAGGTTTCCAAAAGCTACCGGAACAAGACTGAGCTATCATATACAATGGCGTTATGAAGAATTAACAGCCTCTTGGCAGTATTCCAGAAATGCCACTTGGGACCCAGAAACCAGCAATTTTTTAGTTAAAGAGTTGCAACCTTATACGAAATATCGGGTAAGTTAAATATAGGCTTTTTACATCCTTAATTCATGGAATTCTAGAACCGGAATTATTTAGTGAGAGCGAGATCTTGCGGTCTTGGTTTTCGTCTTGTACAAAAAGCAAGACCAAGAGCAAGACTAGCGTTTTATCTGCAAGGCCAAGACCAAGGCCGACCAGTGCAAGACTGAGACAAAACCAGGACCAGCATGCAAGACTCTTGCGGTCTTGCAATTTTTATATTTTTTATTTACATGTTATTTTTCATAAATAATGATCAAAAAAATATCGAAACTATCCTCCGAAACTAGTAGTACGATAATAAAAAGGATTGGAAAGAAGAAACGCTTAGTCAGCATATTCAGCATATAAAAGACTATATCATAACGTGGTTAACTTCCGTTGCACATCATAATACGACCACCAGCAAACTCCATAAGACGACCCATGGTGTCATTGATGAGGTGCAACGGAAATTGTTCCAATTTTCCTATACCCCAGTATCCTTCAGGCAGAAATTTACGCTATCGAAAGATGCGTACAATTTATCTTAGATAGAAACTATCGAAAACTGGAAATTGCCATCTTATCCGATAGTCAAGCAGCACTAAACGCGATCAACTCAGTAACTATCAATTCGAAGTTGGCCAAAGAATGCCTAGAGAGGCTCAACAAATTAGGCAAAGAAAATAAGGTCCTCCTACTCTGGGTGCCTGCTCACCAAGGAATAGAGAGCAATGAAAAAGCAAATAATCTAGCTAGGAAAGGAGCGAACACTCCCCACTAACTGGACCAGAACCGTTCTGTTTTCCAAACGAGAACCAACTGAAAGCGGAACTGAAGAATCTGGAAGACTCTATCCGTAACTTGGAATGGGTGTCCTCCAACGGTCTAAGACACTCGAAAATGTTTCTCAGAACTTAAGAGCGAGAAAAATCCTGAGACAGTGTCCTGTTAGAAACCCCGTAACAATCCGAAAATTGTTTTTACTTAAATCAAGGAAAAGAACGTTTTCGAGTGTCTTACTCCGTTGGAAGACTCAATTCCAAACCAAACTCCGTAAATAAAAATGACCGTTGTCCCATAAAATATTTATATGGTAAAACAATTTTTGCCGGATCAGCTAGTATGATATAAAAAGTCATTCATTGATTCAAAATTATTGTTTTAATTTTATTCAAATAGTGGTTTTACGAGATTTGCAATAAAATATTGAAAATTAATGTTGATTCGTTATAGGAAGACTTCGGTAACATATTCTGCAGATAAAAATAAGTAAAAAACTTTGTATAAATGTACGTCCTAAAATGCATCGTTTCGGAAATACAGGGTGTAGAAGTTTTATTTTTTTTTCAAATATTTTCAGAATGAACGTCGATATTTGGATGAAAATTGGTATCTGGATATTTTTTACATGAGAAATTTTATTTTAACATTGAAATTTGAATGTTAAAATAAAATTTCTTCTTCTTCTTCTTCCCACTTGTAGCCACACTACCATCTAAATTTAAAACATTTGCAATAAATTAAAACAATATTGTTGAACAGGTCAGTAACTTATACGGCAATATTCGGTATGTTCTGTCAAGAAAATCCTCGAGAAAATCTTTTATACGAATATGGTTTATAGTTGACGGTTACCATAAATCACATATTCATATAATATAGACAATACCAGATGCGTCTCAAAACTGGCCCACCCCTATAACTTTTTTTCTTTTTTCAGATAAAAAATCGAGATTTGGTATATTAATATATGACATAAATTAGGATTAATTGAAACATTTTCGGTCACTTCCGGTTTCACCGGAAATGAATACAACTATTAGTTTTTAAATGGTACCCTCGGTGTTTTGTTGCTTTATTCAATAGAAAATGACGCTCTGAATAGAATGACATATCATATGTCAACTTTTGACATTTTTAAATATGGTTTATTTGAAATTGCAACATGCGATTCATAACGAAAATTTGACTCGAAATACCAAGTGTGTAATACCAAATTATTCGTAAAAAAATGCTTTTTCCAAATATGGTAATGAGCCACCCTCGTTCCGTTTGAAAAAATTGAGATATGATTAAAAATACGATTTGTGCATCTTTTACAAAGGCAGGATAAGACACTATTGATTAAAAACGAGTGTTTTTACCACAGCCATGGCACTCTAGATGGAAATCTAAAATTCAATTTTATTTTAAGCGAAAATGTCAAAAGTTGACATATGATATGTCATTCTATTCAGAATGAAATTTTCTATCGAATAAAGTAAAAACATACCGAGGGTGCCATTTAAAAAACCAAAATTTGTAGCCGTTTCCGGTGAAACAGGAAGTGGCCGAAAATACTTGAATATCAATCAATCTTAATTTATGTCATATACTAACATACCAAATCTCGTTTTTTATCTGATAAAATAAAAAAGTTAAAACTTTTAAGACCCTTTTCGCACCCGGTAGATATAAAGTATTCATTTTATTAATAAATAAAAAATGTTATGTGTTATTTCTAGAGTTCCGTACCTCAAAAGGAAAAACGGAACCTTTATAGTGTAACATTGTTAGCCATCCGTCTGTCTGATCAAGACCAAGACCAGTCTTGCTTATCACTATCCATATAATAAACATGATAATGAATGTCAGCTGTTATTAAGCAGTTAAATAAATATTTTTTAAGTTTTTTGTATCGACTTTTAAATTACTGTTCTCCCTCTTTTCCAGTTCCGAGTGGCCCTGAACCTGGGCCACCACGGCCACCTCGGCGAGCCCATCTTCTCCGAGCCAAGCGTCGTGATCGCCACCCTGGCCTCGGGGCCGCCCGCCTCGCCGCCCGTTCACCTGCGCGCCGCCCCCGTGGACGCCCGCACGGTCAGCGTCAACTGGGAACCCGGTCCCTTCCCGCACGGCCCCCTCCTCTCCTACGTGCTCCAGATCGTCGACGACGACAACGGGGGCCCGGCGCCCCTCGTCGAAGTCAAGGTGCGCTGCTGCCGTGCCTGCGTATTATAATAGGACCTAAGATCCTATCGCTATCTTTGTTCTTTTGTGCGGTGTGACCTTTGACCGCCGCACTTTGCATTTTTTATTTGCTTCGTACTGTAATTTTTGTATGTAGTTTAGTAAACAGTGGTGGAGGACTAATGGTTGTAGTACCCGTATTGTTACGGATTCCGTAGGTTCTCAATTTAAAACATACAAAAAAACATTTAAATTAATTTATTCTAGAACTATAAATACAATATATAATTAAATACAAATACAATACCAAACCAAACACATTATAATTAAAATAATGCTTTGTCCGATTTTCTACCCAAGTAGCATTTTCACGACTTGCGACCACATGTTTACTAAACACAACGTTGGATTAGTTACAAAAAATAGTTAGCTCCCTACCTTTGGTATTAAAATAAATTTAAACGTTTTTATAACGTTGTGCCGACGTTGGAGTAGTACTACAGCAAAGTAGAAGCTTCTGCGACGTCGAATAAACGTTGTCTTGTAACCTTTTTTGCTTAAGCGATCTTTAGGTGATTCGGACAACGTAGTTACAACGTTGGACAATATAGAGTTTTCCGACGTCAGTTTCAGGACCTATTCCAACGTTATGCAAACGTCGTCTGTTTTACTAATTCCAACGTTGTTTAGATTTCCTTATTCTTACGTTGGTAGGACGTCGAGTCACTACCTTTTTGCAACTGTATTGAACCATAACCTTAAATCTTAAATTTTCACTTCATTGTTCTGTTCAGTCAGACAGTTCAGTGCTGTTTTTGTTTTTATAAAAAAAAACTTAATTAAAATGGGACATAAGAAAGGTACATATAAAACTAAATTTAAATATACATCGACATATATTACCGATAGTTTATCCACTCCCTCGTTTATTTAGATTATAGAGGGCGGCACAAGCTAGACTCTAGGATGACTAAATTAGGCAATCTTGCGACTAGTATACTACCTGTTAAGGCCGAACTGCGACTTTATTAGTCCAGTATGCGACTACTCGAACTACTCCATCTTAATCTCCAAAACAACAAAGTGAAAGCCGCCATGTTGTTAAATAAGAAAAATGTTTCGTTCCTAAAATGGCAATTCCTGCTTTTTGAATACATTAACTTGAAATATTTGACCCTAAAAAACACGCGGAAACAATTTTTTCGACTGCGAATAAATTATTCTCATTTTACTAAAAAAAAAATTCAAGAAAATTTTTAAAACTTCTTTAATTTTAAGGCCCATTAGTATTTTTCAAAGTAGAAACAATACATTTATCAATAAAGTTGTTTGCGTTTTTTCTAACTTTTTTGCCTTGGGTAACGAGTTACAGAGTCGGTTAAGGTGTTTCAATAATTATGATCTTCAAACATCCTCCACACTTAAATACTTTTGTTTTGTTTTCCTTCACTGTCATCTGACATATGTCTCTAACTAAATCCTAAAAATAATATTTTTACTATAATTATCCCAAGTTAGGATAAAACGCGACTTAGACGCCATATTAGTTTTGTATTTCTGTAAATTAGGATTTTAAACAACGTTGCAGTTTGTACTAAATTAGGCTTCTAGCCAACGTCGGTATCCAACGTCGTTTCGACCCAAAAATGATTCTCCAAACTAGTGCAGACTAGGGTTGGCACGAGGTTGTACCGACGTTGCGCCCCGACGTATGGTCGCGTGACACAACGTTGTCCCGACGTCCAAATGCTGCTTGGGTAATTCCTTCGCCAATTATTTGGCAATTCGTTTATTTCAAAAAATTGCCTGTTTAAAACTCCTCATTTCGAGCGATACTCGCTTTAAATACCCTAACGGATATTCTAGTAATTTCTGTTCCAGAATTCTTTTTCCTTCTGGTAATTTCTATTACTACATCCGAGGTTTTCCTATACCGCCCAAGAGATGGCACAGAATTCGAATCTCTTGACACTATTATAGAGCAGAGCCCGAATTCTGTAACTTAAAAAACGCTAAGCGCTTTGAGATGCTCAGCGTATATGACGATAATTTTCGCTTAGAGCGTACTTAACTACCGATTTGGGTATTCTCATCGGACGCGCTTAGCGTCTTTACCGATTGCGCTAAGCAATTTGAAAACAGCTGACAAGAGATATGAACAAGAGAAAATTATTTCTGTTTTTATTTGCGGTTGTTCTTAGCAACCGCTATAGCAGCGCCAGATCGCGTACAACGGATCGCCAAACCAATTTCGCGACCCAAAATTTTGACGGGCATTCCAGACTAAATTTATTTCCTTTATCTATGTTCGTATAACAAGAATAATAACATATCCGTAGAAAAATAGGTTGACATTACTCTAGAATAGGTTATGAAATTCACGTAACATTCACATATTTTCCAGATTTTACTATTAGATACCTAAGAAATTGCGATGCTACCAATATGTGCTCAACGCGTATCCAGAAAACGATTGCAGTACGAATCGAACGAGAATACCAAAATCGACTGCTTGGCGTTTCGCTAATCGAATACTTTCGCTTACCGCTTTGAAAGCGTAACGGTGTTATGTCGAAGTTCCAGAATTCGGACGCAGTTATAATTGAACTATGCTTATTTAAAAAGAACCAAGCTACAAGATAATTAAGTTAAAGATACCAAAAGACAGAGAGCGGTTTAATTAACGTTCATAGCTTACGTTGTCTAAAAAGATCCAACTGCTACCGTTACTAGAATGCCATCTTTTAGCCAAAAAATGCCATGTTAGAAAAACTGCAAATTCCATATATCTATAAAACCAACCAGGGAATAATTTATTGAAATCGTGGCTTGGATACTTTTACATTTTATAGATTGTATGGATGTGTTGTTGATATTTTGATGTTTTTTCGCATTTTAATTTATCTTATCTTATTTTTTTTCGCTTATTAGTAAAGATAGTACCTTGAGATTTATGCCAAACTAGCTACTATCCCCTTATCATAACTTAGAGAAAACAAAATTACTAGAAAATGTTCCATTTTATCTACGTATGAGATATAGTCCACCACTGACTCTGAGTAATTACCAATTAATCTATAGTTTCCATTAATTACTAAATAGCCCTCGCAACCGCAACTTTTTTTTGCTTTAATTATTACTTCTCACTATCAGTAATATTCTCTTTTTAGATTATGTTTAGATTAATCCACATTATTTGCACCACTAGAGAACTATTTCTGCAGCACTAGGCACTAGCTAAACCTTTAAGTAAATTATACATTATACAACCTTAGAATAGCAACTTTATATCCCTAATTCCTACTCTTCTCTTATATGTTCTAACATTCTTTGTGTTTTACTAATCTTAACACACATGCATGAATCTTCTAGCTAATATGCTTAACAGATAATAACTGTACACAATAATTAATCAAAATTAATTTAAAAAAATGATATAAAAATTAATAAAAAAAAACTAACCAAAGGAAGCCTTATAAATAAAAACTTAAATAATTAAATATACAGGATGAGTCTTAAATAAGTGCAAATATTTTTAGAGCGGGTAGATCTCGATAAAAGAAACATATTTTCTCTTTACCGTTTTTCAAATAAGTCCAAAATAACCAACTAATTCTATTTTGAAACTTTCCAGAAAAATATATATTTGTTTGCTTAATCACTGTTCTTTTCTGGATTTTCTTCCTTGTAAATTTAATCTTCTCCCTACGTTGCCATATTATCAAGAAATTATGTCTTAAAACTAAAAAAAAAATCCAAAAAGATTTTAATCTACGACAATGTCATTATGACACATTTAACATTGTCATTTGGAGGTCATTATGGCTTTCATAATAGCACTAGTGCTATTATGAATTCATAATAACACGCAAATTTTAAAATAAGAAACAAGCAAAAAACGGTACCTAAATACGTTTATTTATTGTAAACATTAATTATAATATCAGTACAATTGGAAAAAATAATTCCAGACGATGACAGGTGAGTTGAATTTTTAGAAAGTAAATTTATTTCCTGAGTGCTTGAACTTGTTGAAGACCCATCATTGCCAGAAATGTTACCCAAAATATTACATGACACTTTTTTCTTATTTTCTTTGGAATTTTCTATATAGCTCTCTGCCATTGTGTTAGAGTGCCAACCACCATGTCTTTTAACAGTTAATAAATCCACTCCTGAATCTGCAAGCAACGACGCAGACGATCTACGGAAACAATGTCCAGTGTATTGTTGTGGATTTGGAAGACTTAGGAACAATGCTATTTTATACGGCATTTTCCCTAAAGTAATGCCAACGGGTTGCTTAATACATTTTCCATTTCTGTACCCCACAAAAAATCGAGTATGCTCTGTGTTGCTTGGCTGCATAGCTATATATCTTCGAACCATTTCCACCATATTTATTCCTTCAACATTCCCTTTCGTTATAAAAAAATCTCGTGATATCTTTATTTTCGTAAAAGGAATAATGACATTAATGCATTATCCTTCATCTTTAACATTTTGCAGCTGCAGATTTGTCAACTCGATACGCCGGCGCCGCTGCCGGCAGGCTCCCGCAAGTCCCACTATCAATGACACTTTTGTCAGGAAATAAGTTTTATCATCAGCTTCTCCAACAAAAACGAGTTATGTCTTCTTTTCTTAAAATTCTCTATTTTTTTGACCGAAATCCTTCCGATTTTCTTTTTACAAATGCAATTAAATGGACGTACTTACTAATATCTGTATTTTTCTTCACTGATATAACTGAACGTAGCATGGAATAATATACCCAAAGTGATGAATAAATAAATAAAATAAATAAATGCCTTTATTGTCAAAAAATTTTTCAATTTGTAAACAAAGGTAAACTAACAAACAAAGTAAAAAAACAAGGTACACAAACAAACAAACAAAAGATAATACAAAACATTATACAAATAATATTGTCAGTCTTATTGTTAAAATAAACATTTATAAATGTTTATAATGTCAAAGAACAAAAAAATAGAAATAATATTCAAAAATATTTAGCTATAGTTTAAAGTAAAATATCAATGACTTCTAAATAAATTCCTTTCGATGTCATTAGTAAATATAGCAATAGCAAACATTAGACCAGTGTTTACAAGATCAAATTTGATTTTCAAAATATAATTCATTTACGGCGTAGAAAGCCTTGTCTAGGAAATAAGAGTTCAATGCTTTGCGAAATGAAAAAAATGATGTTATGGATTTGATTTCAAATGGCAGGTGATTGTGCATTTTTTTCGAGTTGTATAATATTGAACTTTTAACTAACTCTGAGCGTGGGGTAGGTAGATAAAGATCTTGCTCCGCGTTCCTGAGTGGATAAGTGTGAGATGGCCTTTCTTGAGAAGCTGATACATGCTTACGTATTAGGCAAACGGATTCAAATATAAATAAGGAAGGAAGAGTCAATATTTTAATTTTTTAAAAAGTCCCGGCAATGAGTTCTGCTGTTTAGTCCCAGTGAATATCGAACAGCTCTCTTCTGGAGCCTGAAAATGCGGTCAAATTGAGTCGCACAACACGTACCCCAGAATGGAAGGGCATACCTGAGGTGCGACTCAAAAAGTGCATAATAAACAGTTCTAGCCACTGACAAGTTAAGCTCCTTAGAAACAGGCCTTAATGCAAAACAGGCAGAGCTCAATTTTTTCGACAAAGCTTCGATATGTATGTCCCATTTCAGAGAATTGTCCACAACAAGCCCTAAGAATTTGACAGATTTGACGACGTCAATGGTGGTGTTGTTAAGTACAAAAGGCTGCAACGAGTTTTTATACGACAAAGCTTTAGTTTTAGAAATGTTGAGACTCAGGAGAAGAAACAAAATAGGGCCTAGTACTGAGCCTTGTGGTACTCCACATTCTATTGGCTTGCTAGAAGACAACGTGGTATCCACCCTCACAAATTGACTTCTGGTGCTCAGATACGACTTAAACTATTCGAGAGATGATTCCCTGAACCTTGTTTAGGCTGGAGTAAACTTTATTAAGGAGGGAAAACATAGCGTCATTTGTGGACTTGTTGCTTAGAAATCCAAATTGATATTCAGTAAGTATTTTGTACTTAAACAGAAAAGATACCAGCCTTCTTTTAACCAACCTTTCTATAATCTTAGATAGCGTTGGAAGGAGTACAATTGGGCGATAGTTAGAAGCTTCATCTTTGTCTCCTCCTTTATGCAGAGGAATGATTATTGCCGTCTTAAGACATTTTGGAAAAATACCATTTTGGAACGACATGTTTATTAAAGTTGTTAGGTGATTCAGAGTGCTTTCTGGCAGATTCGAAAACATTTTTAAAGTTAGCCCGTCGGTCCCAGAAGAGGATTTATTTTTGATGGTATTAATTGTACTGCGAAGCTCTTCTAAAACTACGGGCGAAAAAAAGAAACTGTGTAAGTTTACAATATCATTAGAGAGATAAGAAAGTGGAGTATAAGGAGGACATATGGTATTAGTTAAGTTTTTCGCTACATTTACAAAGTAATCGTTAAGGTTCTCAGGTGAGGTAGAGATATTGCTAGACGAAGAAGCTTTGTTTCTCAACTCATTCACAATAGACCATGTTTCTTTAGAAACATTACCAGAATTGACTATTCTCCTATTATAATAAAGGTCATTAGCGGCTCTTATGATAAATTTTTCTGTATAGTTTTACGTAATTGTGGAAGAAGAGACTGTCTGAGAATTTTTTAAGTGAGATAATGAACGCATGTTTTTAGAAGATATGCGTAGACCTTTAGTGGTCCAAGGTTTATTATGCTTATTTTTGAAACCTTCCTATGTTTCGAAAGATGTTCAAAATATGCCAGGAGAACCTTTTCGTTACTACGATTCCTTTCCCTTTACACCAATCTTCAAGTTTTACATAGGCTTGCTCGTACGTTTGTCTTGATTTTTCGGGAAGTAGGGAATCGACAACGTTTTGCCAATGCCTTCAATATCCGAAGGGACACTTTCAGAATCAGAATCACCCATATTAATATTATTTTTTACTTTTTGCTAAAACTGAACGTTTAATTCAAAATTGAATATCAATAACTGAGTTGTCAAAGTCAAAATGGAAACAATCAACAAGCACGATTACCACGGCGTCGACTAATATGGGCACCTGATAATTTTGAATTTTAATTTTTATGAGGATAGATCGGATATCTCTGATATTTTAAATTAAATCAAATCTCGTGTCGCGTCGTAGATTAAATTTTGAATGGTACACGTTCGATACGAACTTTTTAATGAAACTTGGTGAGGGTGTAACTAAGCTTCTCTAACTGGCTTAACGTCACACACGTTTCATTATGATATTCGCATCGAACTTGCATCATTAATAACTATTAAAAAATCGAAATTTTTTTTCGCGAAAAAAACCTCATAATCCTGTTTCTGTGGTCGAAATATACTACATCTAAAATATTTGCACTTATTTAAGACTCACCCTGTATAGTAAATATATAATTTTACAAATGTTTTAATTTAATTTCAATAAAATACTAAAAGAGTTATAAAAACAGTTTGCCAATATAATCTAGGTGAAAAAACATTACATCAATATAAACAAATCTGGCAATTAATAAACATAAAATAGAGAGTACGTTATTAGATGTAGCTTATATTTTCTTCATGTGTAAAAAAGTGCATAAATGTCATTTTAAAAATGCATTTGATTAATTATTATATATTTAAAATAAACTCAGAAGGAATATTTTTATCAGATCACAAATGATAATAAAAATAAATCATTATATTTAATTATCACACAAGAAATATTAAGATGGATTTTGATCTTGCATCATTAAATTATGATGTAATATTAAGTCAACTTTATTGTGAAAAAAATTGGTTGTTCAGGAAGAAACTGAATATGCAGTTATTTAAGTATTCTCTAAACAAATTTAAAGTCCTACTTCAACGGATTTGATTTCAGCAAAAATATTCCTAAAGACTTAACATAACACTATTTATCCTTAGATTAATTATAGATAAGATACAGATACATAAGAATAGTGTTTGTTTATGTGTACTAAACGTACTGGCATATAGCGCTGGATCGATTTTTGATCCTTCTCCGATCAGAAAATCAACGTTTACCGATAATACTCAAAATGAAGCTTTCTTTGAATAAAGTGATTCTTTTCTCGGCAAAAGTTTTTTGCTCCTGTGGTAGCGAGCTGTATCTTATTATTATTTAGTCTAAGGTTTTACCACGATATTTTCTTTAATTGTGTATTTTTTTGAATTATACAGGATGTTCCATCGACTACGTCATTTTATCTATATCAAAACCTGCAACCTGAAAGAAATTATACTGTTTCTGTTCAAATGAGGAACAGTTATGGTTCTGGACCTCCAGCAACTGTACATGTATCAACTCCGAAAGTAAAACGAGGTAATGAATATTTAAAAGTTTAATATATTTTGTTTTGGTGGGCGGATTTTGATGAATTTTTAGCCAATGTGTAGCTAAATTATTTGACTTTTCAGTATCTCTTTCTAAATCAAAAATGAAAGTTCTCTTCTGTCAATTATACAACAAAATGTTGATATTTTGTTGAAAGTGTGAAGTATCCTGTGGAATATGAAGAGTCAGCAAGGAATATAAAAATAGTTTTATCATCTAGGTACATCCTTTCTCGATAGTTTTTTTCGTTCATCTCAATTGCTTTAAGGCAGGCGGCCACTGCGAGCGTAACTAAACTAAGCTAAGAATATGAAAACAAACGGTAACTAAACGAAAATAAGTTTCATCGGCCACTGGGAATCGCTGCGAAAAATTCGCTGGAACCTGTCCCGAACTAAAACGAGCGAAACTAAACTATTTGAATCTTCGTTCATATATTTTCGTTTAGTTTCGCTCAAGTGGCCGCTGATGCATTTAAAAGTATGGGAGCTGATTTTTACAAATCTTTTCTTCGTTTGGCTTAGTTTAGTTTCGCTCGCAGTGGCCGCCCGCCTTTAGTTTTGTTGGAGATATTCGCTTTTGAAGAATACACTAACATTTTTTTGTAATTTTTATATTAAAACCATACCTTTGCTTTTGGCCCTAGTCAACAAACCTAGTAAGTTGTGATCCCGAAGCAGGCCTTCTTGACATTCGTTTAATTTTCTGACGTATTCCTTTTATTTTTTCACATTTTTCTGATTGTATTTCTTGTAACAGCGTTTTTAAACATCTGACATGGCTACTATCTACTAACACAAATATGTATTTTGTAATACGCATTCCTTATTTTTTAACACCCTGTTCACAAATTTTTACATAGTTGCAGGAAATCCAGAGCCTGTATTAATTTTCGGTACACAATTTGCAATTTTCGAATTGGAAAAGCTGTTGGGTGATGGTATACATCTGTTTCATTCGGAATTATCAATTGAAGGTAAGTTAAAAACGCATTGCTGAATCTAATCCGAGTGAAAATAACAGTATGATTTCAAATTAAACATTGTCATCCCCAATAGGTATAGGAATCCATATTAGCAAACAGCTGCTTTTCATATCAGATGTCAGTGGTACTGTTTGGCGCTTACCCATTGAACAGGAGACCAAGAACAAAACCAAGATCCTTACTTCCGACCAGATCGATTTCTTCCCTTTGGACTTATCAGTCGATTGGCTCAACGATCAGCTCTATATTTTGGGTGAAGTCGCTCCAAGGAAAAGTCCACCGAGATATATAATTAAAAGGTAATAATCTCTATACCGGGTGCATCTCAAAAGTGGCTATCCCCTATAACTTTTTTATTTTTTCTGATGAAAAAAACGAGATTTGGTATGTTAGTATATGACATAAATTAGGATTAATTGACGTATTCAATTATTTTTGGTCACTTCCTGTTTTACCGGAAATGACTACAAGTTTTGATTTTTAAATGGCACTCTTGATATATTTCTACTTTATTCAATAGAAAATGAGACTCTGAATAGAATGACATATCATATGTCAACTTTTGACATTTTTGCATGTGGTTTATTTGAAATTGTAACATGCGGTTCATAACGACAATTTTACTCGAAATACTAAGTATGCGGTACCAAATTATTCGTAAAAAATGCTTTTACCAAATATGCTAATGAGCCACCCTCGCCTCGTTCCATTTGAAAAAATTGAGATATGATTAGAAATACGATTTGAGCATCTGTTAACCGGCCAGGACAGGATATGAAAAAGATTAGACGATCAAATATATTTTTCCAAGGCTCCTTGAATAAAAATTAGTGTTTTAACAAGCCATGGCACTTTAGATCGAAATTTAAAATATTTTTTTTTTTGAACAAAAATGTCAAAAGTTGTCATATGGATAATATGTCATTCTCTCGGTCATTCTACTCAGAGTGTCATTTTCTATCGAATAAAGTAGAAATATACCTAGGTGTGTATTAAATTGTGCTATTTAAAAATCAAAAGTTGAAGTCATTTCCGGTGAAACAGAAAGTGACCAAAAACAATTGAATACCGTCAATCAATCCTAATTTATATACTACCATACCAAATGTATTTTTATCTAAAAAAATAAAAAAATATAGGGGTGAGCCGTTTTCGAGACGCACCTAGTATACAGTTCATACCAAATAAACTTTTAGTCACGTGATTAAGCTTGACTGGCACAACATTGCCCACTTTTATATATTTTCTTTTAATCAAAATATTTTAGGAATTAAAAAAATAAATTCATTATAAATATATAAACAGTTATTATTTACATCAACATAAAGAGTGCTAGAGAGTGCACAATTGCTACCGCTTTCCCATTCAAAATACTCTAATAAAGTTGCGATGAGTTTTTTACGGCTATTAAGTTATCTTGTACCTATTTCGGACTAAAAAAGGTTCTAAAAAGAACAATGTCCGACTGCAAGGTCTGCCAGTAAACATTTTCAAGCTTAAAGTATCACAACACTATTTATAAACAGCCATATTAATACTCCCATAAATATATTAACTTCTAGATCATCTAGTTGTAAGTTTTGGTACCTACGGAAGTAAAGTAGTTCCTGGAGAGATCTTATATTAAGAATCCATTTCACTATTTCGAAAAAGTAGCAAAATAAACGTTCGGCCTTTAACGTTCGTATGTAAAACTGGCTAGGTATTTTTACACAAATGGAGAAGAAAATTAAAGATTGAGGATTATACTATATCCGTATTGCAGCACATTTTTTTCATTTAGATCATTTAGAAACTTCTGTATTTTTAGATTTTGATGGTCAAACATCAACAAAATATTCCTTATGTTTGGACAAAATTTTCTCGAAAATAACAACATAATTTAAAATTCCGTTACAATACGGAAATAGATTGAAGTGTTGTGATTACAGTGATATATAATTTATATGGTTTTGTAACAAATTGCTCGCTATTTTATGGCAAATGCTGAAGCTCTGCAAAGCATTAATTAAAGTACGTGTGTTTGGAATTTTAAGTGTTTACACGACAGGATCGGGCTAAGCCTTAGGCAGATTTCTGAAGTATAATAGATATTTCCTTCGCCCACACTCCCACTTTACCCGACCTCTGAGAGCGACCTGAAAGTACAGCGTAATAAACTCTTAACAAAATTTTCTTCTAGGTGTAATCTGGATGGTACTGGTCTAACAGTCGCCTTGGCAGGACTAACCACCAGACCAAACAACATGGAAATAGACCCGTGCAACGGTTACTTGTTATGGTCGATCCGGGAATCCCCTGCAGCGGGGATATACAAGTTGGACATTTCTGATATTAGCAACGGCATCAAGCACGAAATCAAGCCCGAGAAAATATTAAACGGTTCGCACTTGGGAGCTTTCGTGGTGGATTATATGAATTTTCTGGTTCTTGTATCGAACCAGAAATTAAACACGATATTCTCCGTTACTTTGGATGGGTAAGTAAACACTTTCTTATTATTTTTTTATTTTTTTACCTGTGTTGCCGTAGATCTTATGTTTTTTAACTCAACACTAAAAAAAGTTTTTACTTTTATTTCGCGAAAAATAACTCATATGTTTTCGAGGTTGTTCATGGGCTCAAAATAAACCAGCCCCAAAAATATTTACAGTTATTTGAGACTCGATCGACTTTTATAAAAACTACCCTTTATACAGGGTGGTCCGAATTGTATTCCGGAAACTTCGGCAGCACATTCTGCAGATAACAATAAGTAAATTAATTTGTACAAATGTATGTCTTAAGATTCGTAGTTTCGGAGATAGAGGGTGTAGAAGTTTAATTTATATTTCGATTTTTTCCAAATAATTTCTGAAGTAACGTCAATATTTGGATGAAAATTGGTGTCTGGGGTTTTTTGACATTCAAAATTTGATTTTGGTGTCAACATGACTCCTGTTTGAAGGGGGCGCCACCTACATATGTTTTAACTGTTTTGAAGAGAATAACTTTTCGTCCGTACCTGTAACCTGTATAAAACTACTGAGTGAAAAAATATACATTTCCGTGAATTTTTACGCAAAAAATGTTTCTTGGTAAAATTCGCTATGACCAATCGTTCTCAAGATATTTAAAATGGAAATAGTCAATACATGTCATTATTGACAAAAAATAAACAGGTTGAGAGTAGATGGTTATTTGACTAAAATAATAAATTTGGAAAATTTTTATTTTTTCAAATTAATCATAAATTTTTCTACGAAAAAATGATGATAGAACAGTTTTTGTTCAATTTTTGGCACAAAAACATTTCAAATTTATGTAAAGTCAAAAAATTCCCAGACACCAATTTTCATCCAAATATTGATGTCACTTCATAAATTATTTAGAAAAAAATCGAAATAAATATAAAACTTGTATACCCTGTATCTCCGAAACTAAGCATTTTAGAGCACACATTTATTACAGTTGAGGGTTGGAACCTTTGGTGTTATACAGCAAAATAGAACACTAAATCACCACAATACACCAAAACACTTTTACTTTTACACTGGACGCGCGTTTCGCTAACCATGTTAGCATCATCAGCAGATGATTATAAACTAAAATACAATCTACAATTGGAGCGTTTATATACTCGCTCAGTGGGCACAGAGTGGGCGTGGCAAGATCTAGCCAACCGAGTCAGAACCCACCGAGCGTAACAGTTAGATTTCCGCCACTAGAGTAGTAGGAACAAAGAACTTGAAGAAATTGGACTGTTGTCTCTGTTCATACTATCTTTACATTTATTAATTCTGATGCTTTCATATGCATCTAATTGCCTGTAATTTGAGACTTGTTTAAGTAATTTTAAGTTATTAAGATCTATACAATGTTCTTTATCAACAATATGTTCGGCAACGCAAGATTTATCAGGTCTACCATATCTTATCTGAGCTAAATGTTCTTTAAATCTAGTTAATATTGATCTTCTAGTTTGCCCAACATATTTCTGATTACAGTCTTTACAAGAAATTTCATAAATACCCGACCTTTCCAGTAGAGGTGTTTTATCCTTTGGATTACCTAATAATTGTTGTAATTTATTATTAGCACTATACACAAGTTTATAATTGACATTCTTAAAAATTCCTTTTAGACCACGAGATAACTGTCTATCAAACAGTATTTCTAATAAGAAATCAGAAAAAGTATTTCTAATAACTAATACAATCTAGAAATGATAATCTCTGTCGTTGTTCTCAATTTCATGTGTAAATTTAATGGAAGGAAAACGATTATTTAACTTAGAAATAAAATTATCTATGGTGTCTGAATATGTGTCAAACACAGCAAAAATATCATCCACATACCTAAACCATACTCTTGGAAAAAACTGAAACTGATTCTTAGCCTCCACTTCAAACCTGCTCATGAATAAATTAGCCAAAAATGGAGACATTGCTGTACCTTCCCGCTGTTCAAAAAAGTTGTTATTAAATTGAAAACAATTTTGTTTCATACATAATGATGTAAGCTCAATATATTCAATCACAGTTTTGTTGTCGAGACCATTTGCGTTCAGTAATTCCTTCAAGTAGCCTAAAGTGTGTGGAATCGGAACACTTGGGAACAACGAAGATACATCAAAGGAGACCAAAATTTCACCTTCATGCAATGTTATATTTTTAATTTTGTTAATGAATTCAATATTATTTTTAACTGAGAAAGAAGGTTCATGGTTAGGTAAATTTTCGAACTCCCTTGATAACCATTTTACCAAATTATAAGTCGGAGAACCTACAGCCGAAACAATTGGGCGCATAGACTTGTCCGGTTTATGAATTTTTGGCAACGCATACAATTTTGGTAATGAGGGATTGGATACTTGCAATTTTCTCTTTAAAGAAAAATCAATAAGGTTGTTACATTCTTTTAAAGTTTTTTTAACATCTGTTGTCATCTTAGACAAAGGATTCTTTTTCAATTTTGTGTAAGGACCATTATCGATTAAGTTGTTAACCTTATCATAATAGTCCTTTTTATCTAATATAACAACCTTATTTCCCTTATCAGCTTTTAGGTAGAAACAATCTTTGTTACGCAAACTCTTGACAATATTGTGCTCCTTGTTAGATTTTAATGATTTACTTGAAACGATATTTTTTGATAACTGATTTATACAAACCTCTTTTGTAAATACCTTAGAAGCCTCGGGTAAGTGCTGAATAGCAGTTTCAACACCCACGACGATTTCCTCCAAAGCGCTACCAGAGTTGGGCAATGCAAACTTTAAACCTTTGTTTAATAAACTGAACAATTTACATACATTTATAAGAACTTTTTTATTTATTTTTATCTGCAGAATATGCTGCCGAAGTTTCCGGAATACAGTTCGGACCATCCTGTATATTAAAATAATGTTAAGACTGAAAATTTTATGGCACATACACTGAGCAAAAAAATACAGCATTCTATTTGAAACACTCTTATCCCTGAAAATATTTTTAAAATGGAAATCTCAAATAGGAAAACTGATATTCAGCTTTTTCGGAACACTGGGTCGTCCTCTATATCATTCATTATTGCCTATTAAGGATTTATTAAGAAATAAATAAATTATCATTTTTAGAAAAATCGTAACCAACATTCGCAAGAATGTCATAGTACCAAAAATGAAACACGTCATCTCCCTTGCTACGGTCAACGAAAGATTCTACTGGACAGATGGAAAGTCAGTCTACTACGAAGAATACCATCCAGGTAGGCAGCTCTATTTTAACAACCAGATGTCACATTTGGGCAAAACGCAGTACAAGAAGATATTTATTAATTTGCCTAGCACCCAGCCCTGGCCCATACCCAGGAACCCTCCCATAAATCTGCAGGCTGTATTTGGTACGACCATGGCAAAAACGAAATGGAGTCCGCCGCATTTGCTGGGACTACAAGGCAAGTTATTTCTAAATACAGTTAAACCTTTCGGTTTAAATGTGCCAAATAAATAAACAATACTTAGTAAAACTAGTGATACTTTAAAGTCAAAATTTCAACACTGAGGACAACATCAGTTCAAAAAGATGATATATTTCATCATTCGTTAAACTTTACTTAGAGGACTGATATCCACTATTATTTTACTTACTTGTTACAGGAAAAGCAGCTTGGCAAAACTGGTCTTACGAAATTTCAATTCAGAATTTAATAAACGGTTCTATATCAACTTACACCACAAATTCCACGTCATTTAGTTTAAACGATCTTACGGAAAACACTGAGTATCTTCTTAGAGTGCTGGCCTATACTAAATATGGCAAGAGTCCATGGTCTTCAGAGTTCAGAGGTAGCACTTTGGAGAAGGACAGGAATCCTGTATTTTTGTGGTCTGGCATAGAAGGTCTATTCAAATCAGATTCTACTATAGAGAATGTGGAAACTTTAATACACAAGAGTGGAATGGGAAATATTGCTTTCACTGGAGTCTCGTGGTATCAAGACCAACTTTACATGGTAAGCACATATTTTCAATCACATATATTATTATATTTCTTTCTGGGATCGAAATATGGTTAGGTTAGATTAGGTTGCTGGTGTTTGGGATCATGTTCGATCCCTCAGTCGTAGGCCTTGGGCCCATTGTGATACCCCTGTATTATTGTACCAAACCTTCCTCTCATTCTTTCTTTGCGTTAAAGCATTTCCAGCTGTTTGCAAAGTTCCTAATGTCACTGATGTTGGCTTCTGCTGCTTCCTCTAGTCCTTCCAAAAAACATTGCCCTAACATTTAAAAGCGTCGGTATTCCAGTGCCGGACAGTGACACAGTAGATGCTCTATGGTTTATTCTTCCTCTCCGCATTATCTGCAGTAGTCGTCATTGGAAATCTTCCATCTCACGAGGTTTACTCCCGTTACGCACTTTCCAGTGATGACATCTACAATTATGCGTACTAGGTTCTTTTTGTACTCTAGTAGTCGTTTTGTCTTTTTACTATCTACCTTACTTATACCTTATCTACCTCTATCTTTACATATCTACCACTGGCCACAATCTTCGAGCTGTAGCGCAGTTCTCACGGTGCGGCGTTGAGTCACAGTCCCTTGTTGCGTAGCCTTGATGGAAGTTTCCATAGCTTCCTTCAGTGTGTTGATCGTCACAAGTGGTGGATCACCTGCCACGGCCTCTCCTCTGGCCCCTCCTTTAGCGAGGTTGCCCACCACATTGCTGTGGTTCCCAGCACAGATTGGCCCCGCCTTGACGCAGCCAGGACGGTGCTTCTCGACAGTCCATCACAGTTTTGGATCTCGCTGATAGCATGGTGATGCTTCTTAAAGCGCCAACGATATTCCCTATTGGTCTATCAGCGATTTTCTCTCGTATACAACTGGTCGCTTCCTTTATAGCGTACACTTCTGCTTGTAGGGCATACAGCCATCCGAAATACGGGTCGAAATATACTACCCCTAAAAATATTTCCACTTATTTAAGACTCACCCTGTATAATAATTATACACTTTTTAAACAGGTTAGTAATAATAGCCACGTGGTATGGTACAACTTGACCTCCCATAAATATGGTAGACTAGCCGACATGGATTCTGTTGGTAGCATCGCAGTAGACTGGATTGGGAAAAAACTGTATTGGTCAAATTTGAAACAACAACTGGTAAGCAAGATAAATTTTCAAATTATCTACTAATCTACTTATAGAGAATATTATTACCTAAGCTTGTAATAAAATGAATGCATTTTTCTTCCAAATGAAAACGCGCTCTAAATAAAATTTAAATTATGTTATACTGTACTATTTTTTAGATTATTCGCAGTGATTTAAATGGTAGCCAGCAAGAACCTCTATCAATATTAACTCTAGCCAAAGAAATAGTCATAGATTCAGTAAAGGCTTACTTGTATTGGTCTAGGGAGTATGTTGTCGAATGTGCTCATCTAAATGGAGAAGACAAAATGGAGTATGATCATCTAGAACCGTTTTCTGGTAGACAAGGTAAGACCCATACCAATATGTTGCTGAAAATTAATTATCATATTTTTTATTATCTTCTTTTTTTTTATTATTATTTTTTATTTTATTATTTTTGTTTTTATATGATTTCTTTGTAATTAAAGTTATGGGACTGACACTGGACATGGACAAAAAACTAGTATACTGGGTTGTAAGAGGTTCGGATGGTTCGCACTTATTTGAGGCTCCCATGGCTGGATATTATGATGGAGAAGATATAACAAAACGAAAAGTAGCTCTCTTGCAGCGAGGCAACATGCAGGGACCTTTCTCCTACTTCAATAACCGTTTGCTATGGCTACAAGATGAGAAAAATGCAGTGGTGAGCGATTTAGTAGGGAAGAATATAGCTGTTATAAGTGGAAAATTAATATGGGGTTTGAATTTGGTGTACGTTGTTGATGAGTCACTTCATCCTTGGCCAAGTAAGTACATTAAGGTCTACTAAAAAACTGATTTGTGATTAGTTTCAGTTTCTATTGAATTTTAATATGTCGAGTTAAAATAATTTAATTATTAACCAGAAGCTTGCAGTCCGCATAAAAAAATAACCCATATTGTGTGGCATTTTAATACCAAGAAATGATTTTGTTTTAATTGAAACAATTACTGAAGCACAAACCTATTCAACTCCTAATAAGATCTTTGATAAAAATAGACTACCTATTGATTTGGGTCATTTTTGACTTTTAGTATTTCACATTGTCAAGATCCATCTTTTCTGCAGTTTATCTAAAATAATTACAGCATGTTTAGCCTAGCCATCTTCCATCCTTGGTGAAACTAGGCTTGAGTAGGATCATACAGATTATTGATTATATTATTATTTTACTAAATAGAAGTCCATCTCTCAATTTTGATACTTTATATTTATTAAAGAATAATAATTACTGAAACATGAGACTACTTAATACTAGGCGAGATGACTATGTTGTAATGTTGGTTGATGACTGGTTCACTCCATTACAGAATAACAAAAGATCTCTTACAATTATTACAAAGTCAATATACAAATTTATTAAGACTGTCTAGTCTTACACATAACCCATCTCTCTAATCAGATATGTTTTTGTTTTGCTTTAACCCAGTAATGCCTGAGTAATTTTGTTTCTGCAAAATTCACCATTTCTTGAAAAACGAATCTTTAGGGTGTCTAAAATAACCTACGATTGTTGAAAAAAGAAAATTTTTATTGCAAGACTGATTTTTTACATATGATATATCATATCATAGGCATATACATATCTAAATATTAAAGTTAACTAGAAAGCAACTGATAAATGAAAGTTAATAACTGCGACTTTATTTACTGCGACGAATTTATTTCTACTTATTTGGAGTATGATAGGTTTGGAAACAGTCCTTCGGGTGGAGTCCCGCGTTGCATTTAGAGCAGATAAACTTCGCACATTTTTTACAATACGCGCACTGTCTTTGTGTAACATTAGAGGCAACAAGGTGGTCCATTTTATCAAATCTTATTTCTGTGTGTACATTCCGGCTGCATTTTGGTTTTGGTCCAACAAGGTGCTCAGGTGACGTCAAAATTGATAAAACTACTCTTCGGGTAAACTCTAATAAACTAGTTTTCGGGTAGGCATGGCAGTAGAGAATCCACATATTTACCAAGGCTCCATTGATACAGAATCTGACAAATGGCCAATACCATTTCTTTGGTCGTATTCTGATACGATAAAGACCCCTTAGTTTGTCGAATAAGTCAACTCCACCCATTCCTTGGTTATACAAATTGACAAGACTGGGTTGATCCACTTGGACAAAGGTTCTTTCCTTTTTTGACCAACGTCTACACTGGCTTTTCGAGAAGCAAATCTGGTCACTGTCTACGTTGATTCCGATAGTAACCTGACTGTTATCATGTCATCTTATCAAACACGTGGATTTATCAGCTTCTTGCAGGACATGGTTACTTCCACGTGGCTCTTTTTTGAGATCTTTGAATGAAGCCTTATCTACTCGATCGGCCCTCATTGTGCCAATACAAAATATTTACTCTGCTTTCAGAGTTTCTAAAAGTGACAGTGAGTTGAAGAAGTTATCTATGAAGAGTGTGCTGCCGGGAGGTAAATACTGCAGACATACATTTTCTGTTACCGACGATCCCAAGGATTTGCCTTCCTTTTTGTCACCAGCACCACAGTATGGATCAAATTTGAGCAAATAACCTTCTGATGTAGAGAGGCACCAAATTTGAATCCATACCTAATTGGTTTCCCTCGTATGAACTGTTTCATATCGTGGCGACCATAATAGGGCTCCATCGCTTCATCTAAGGAAAAATTTTCTCGGAGAGGTGCTGCTAGCGATTGAGAGACTTCATTTACTCTGTCGATGAGGGGTTGGATCTTGTAAACCTTGTTATTAGGGTCAATCTTGGTGTTGTCGTTGACGTGTAGGTAACGGTGTATCAATTCAAAACGATCTCTAGATATACTATTGCTCACTAAATGATTGTATGTATCAGACTTTGTTTCCCAGTACATTCTTCTGGCAGGTAACTTATTGTACCCAGATAAAATCAAGATTCCAAGGTAAATGTACATTTCTCTAGTGGATACAGCGAAGTTATGGTTACCTTTAAAAATGGCGTATTTCATAGTTTCATCACAAATAAATTGTACGAATTCTTCTGGAAAAAACAGTTTGAATAAATCTATTGGTGCTAGGCCATCGTTTTTGATTTTATTTGCAACATCTGGTAAAGGAGATTTGGAAATTTTCAATTTTTCTGGAATGGGATTCAGTAATTTTGTTTGCCACTTTCTAACTTTCTTTCCTTTTATAGACCTGTTTTGATCGTTCGTGCTGCTAGGTGTTTCGTCTGTAGCTTCCTTTCGGATCTTTTTAGCCAAAATTGAGGTATATCATCTTCATCAGTTTCTTCATCACTGACAGCCGTATTTTGGGAGCCTGGATTTATTTCAGTTTTCTCACGGGATTTTTCTTTCACTGCAAAAACTTCAACTGGTTGTTTCAAAATCCCCTTTCCTAAATGATGTAGTTGAAATGGTTCCTCTTCATCGCTTTGGGCATCGTCTTTGTCGCTATCTTGGCCATCATCTGGAGGTGATATTACGAAATCAAGTCGATCACATTCTTGCAGAGTTTCATAATCATCATCATCACTGATAACATCAAGAAAATTGATAAGCTCCTCGGCGTCTTGTGGGTTCTCAGGATTATACCACTTCTTCCTAAAAACAAAATTTATACATTACTTCCTATGATGTGATATTTCATATGTTGAAAAGATACTTCAATAAATGTAAAACTAACGAAAAAACTGGTTTTAATTAGTTTTGTTGGAATAAAATAAAATACTGGCTATTAAGTTTTCATAACAATTTGAGAAAAAAGTACTTATTATAGAAAAAAATAAAATATAACCTCACCTTAGCGGCATGTCTGCATAAAAAAAAAGTTTCCCGAGATATCAACTGCAGTTCTACGTACCCTTTCGAATATTTGGAAAATTCACTGACACTTACACTTAGATATACTCACAATCGACGTATAAGACAAACTAAATCATTAATTTTCACAAACGGCTGGACGTGTCACGACTCGCAGAGATTTGATGTTTTGGGTATGAAATATCATATCATAGGCATTACTGGGTTAAAATAACAAACTAGGAAGAATAATCCAATTCAAATTCCAACCTTGAAAAGTCTAGGTATATATTTTAATAACTGTTATAACTACAGCACGGAACAACAATGTATTTCATATGCAGTTTTTATGAACTTAGTGAAACTTACACTTGATAAAACTGGACGCATTGATTAGGCTCATCTTTCTATAAGTTATTCATTATCTCACAGACCAAGGCAATGGCCAATCATTTCTGCATTTTTTATAGTTTTTTTTTTAATAATTAACGAGTTAACATGCTAGTCTTATTTGAACTAGTTGACAGTTAAGAGGCCTAGTTAACATCCAGTCTTATTTGAATTAGTTGCTTAGACTTCTACTTCTTTGATTGTTTGACTATGCTACATAAGACGAGTCCATCTATGAGTTTCGATGCTCTAAGTCGATTTAATAATGTCGGTGTTTTATTTGAAATAATTACTAAAATATTTATCAATCTATTATCCATCCTTAATACGACTAAGCTCTTTTACAATAAAGATATATCTAGATGTGGGTTTTATTACTTCATAGAAAAACAGAAAATCTCTTATGTTTGTGTTAGTTCTATATACTCTAAACTATTTTGTCTAAACCTAGTCAAAGACGTTTGGTATTTTATTTATAATAACTGAAATATGCGCCTAGTCCACTCCACCAACTCTGAGTAGGATTAGGCGCAATAACTAGGCTCAGAATTTGGATGATTATTTTATTGTTGTACTAAGCAATATTTTCTATTATTTTACTTTGCTGTCATAAATTCTGTTAGATATTTTTTGTAATGTTAATTAATAATAATAGCGGTAATTTATTAAATATTAATAAATAATAATAGCGGTAATATCAATGATAATATTATAGACTTGTATTTCGATATTTGTTTCATTACTTTACGGATCTTACAGCTCGAAATCACCATAATATTTTTATAAAATAAAATTTGATATATCAAACTTAGTCAGAACTTTGATAAAACTAGTCGCAATGACTAGGCTCGTATTTTGACAAGAGTTTGACTGTTTTATAGAACAGACCATCTCTTTAAGGCGATTTTTTATTATACTAATACTAATCAGATATTGTTTTATTTTGTGTGAAGACAATAGAGGCGCGTAGGTTACTGACTAGGTTCATAAAGCTTGTGTTGTTACTTACATACGCTATTAAGTAAAATTCTAAAATAAGAAAATAAATTGTATATGATCCTTCATTATAAATGTCCTTCATTATAAATTATATATTTTCAGGCAACTTAACTGCTGGTAACATTAATGTAATACCAAAAGAAATAGATACCGGTTCTGTAAAAGTCAGTGGTTCTTCAGATTCCTTCAACATTACTTGGAGCCCAATAAAAAATGTGAATTATGGCGTAGTTTTTTACGAAATCCAGATTGACGGTTTGCCTAGAAACAACTCCACTGTAAGCTAGAAATATTTACAAAATCGAACATGAAGATAAAAATAGATTTCTTTTAGATTATTACTACAGAGCCTACCATTCGATATTGGAGACATATTCCGCCATTCACGCTGATCAATGTTAACATAAGAGCGTTCACTTATTGGGCTACTTCGCCTCAAATTAGAGCAGAGATATATTCACCACCGTCAACGCCATCTGCACCCATAAATACTCGAAGTTATGTTGTTCACAAACACGGTCCATTTGACTTATATTACAGTAGTGTTTCGGTGATATTTAGATGGGACCCACCTCTGTTTCCAAATGGAGTGCTTCAAGGGTATTATGTGAGGTATGTAATTGTCCTAGTTTCCCACCCCAAAAATAAATACAAGGAAAAATAACTAAACACAAGTTAAGCCAATAAATATTTAAGTCCTTTAGGTTTACTTTTTAAGAACTACTTTTTGGAATCAAAATAAGTTCCTTTGACACAATTTACCTCTATACAAAAGTGCTTCGTTTGTCCGTTAGGGGGCATCAAATTTAAAAAAAAATAATCACAAGATATTTTAAGAACCGATATTCAGATTTGTATGACATTTGGGGTGCCTATATTTTGCCAAATGCTTTAACATTTGGCGTTCACAAAAATCAAGGGAAAGTACGGAAAGGGTAAAAACTACCCCCACCCCTACATAAATTTTAGTAAATGTATATTACTCAAAACAATTATCGCATATTTGGAATAAAAGTAATTATTACACATTTCTAAATGAAGCATGCATTTTTCTGCCTTTCTTTTGTGAGTTTTTTAAAGATAATTAGGGTATTTTAGTTGCGGCCGACTATTTAGTTGCGAAAGTGAAAACAATACATTATAGAGCCGATCGGTCCAGTATTTGATTGCATTGCTTAGCCTTAGGCTATGCGCTGACAGGCAATTTTTAAGCGATCGACTATTTAGTTGCATATTTGTAACCAATATATCCTTATGGAGCCGCGCTGACTTGCAATCAACTAGTCGGCCGGTCGGTTCTATAAGTATGTATTGTTTTCACTTTTGCAACTAAATAGTCGACCAACTAAAAATTACAGGCTAATGCGTAGGCTTATTGTTTCGAATTTCTCGTCACAGTATTCAAACTATTTATAACCGTAAGTGAGGGAATTCATAGTGTCTTGTTTTTCAAATAATATTTTTTTCCCTCTGCACCGACGCGACGACCGATTTTTTTTTGTTAAATGGTCCTTTTATTATTTACTACATTTTTTGTCTCTTCTAAAAACACCACTGCGCATCCTTTTTGAGAAAAAAAAATAGAGATTAGAAATTAGAAAAAATTATTAAATTAAAAATTAGAAAAATTATTAAATTAAAAATTATTAAAAATTAGAAAAAAATATTAGAACATTTTTTGCTTAGAGTTCATCCCTTTATTGATTTTTGCAATTAAAATGGGTGATTTATTTTTCACCTCCGAGAAGGGGTGGCACTCACCCCCAGGGTGAAAGCACACATCGCTACTATGTAGCTTATTTTGTTTCTTACATACACACAACCAAACTCATATGGAACCATCTATTATTTTGCATAATTTTTGAGACGTATGAAAATTTTGTGTTTATGAATAAAACTCAGTCCTTACCAATGACTTTTAATGAAAAATAATCCATATAGCAAAAAAAAATTAATCAGTTCCCAAAATAAACAAAATGGTATTTTTTGGTTTCTGAAACGAAATTAAGGCTTAAATTTTTAATGGCCAAAAAGCAAAAACAAAAAGAAAATTGATAATTTTAATATTCCTTGTTGCCACCTCTAGCCCTGATGCAAGTTTCTATTCGCGCTGGCATGCTTCTTATTAAATTATCAACGTTGTCTTTTGGGGTATGTTTTCCCATTCTGCTAATGCTGCATCAATAAGCTGTGCAAGATTTCCTGGATTGTTTCGACGAGCTCTAACCCTTCTTTTGAACTAGTTCCACAAGTGTTCGATAGGGTTTAGGTCTGGTGAACATGCAAGCCAGTCCAAAACTATGAAGCCTTCCGTTTCAAGATATTCTCTAGTCACTCTGCTGGTATGGGGAGGTGCACTATTGTACAAGAAGTTAAAATTATAACCAATTGCAGCTCTCCAAAGACTAACGATTGGGTCGAGACCAAGTCAACATATCTCCGACCCCTTAAAGTTTGTTGAAGTGGTAAAAATGGAGTTTTTGCTCCCAGTATAATACCTCCCCAGAACATTATAGTTCCTCCTTTGTATCTTGGTACAGATTTGACAGCCTGAAGTCGCGCTCGTCTTTCTGGAGCTCTGAGAACCCGAATTCGATGGTTATCTGATCTTAGGCCAATTCTGGTCTCATCCGAAAAAAAACATGAAGCCTTTTTGTTAAGGTTTCAACTAAAACGTTCGCACCTGTAGCTGCCAGAAGTTGTCTTTGTAGCTCTGGATGAGAAACATTGGGATTTATTCTAACAATTTGGCCCACAAGGCAGTCTTGTTGTTCAGTTGTGACTCTTTGACGACTTTGTCTGGTCCTATCCTTGTATGTTCCTAATTACAAGTACCTTGCATATGTTTTCGATACAACACCCTGGGTAACGCCTGCTATATCTGCTACGTCTCTTTGGAGCATTCCTTGTTCAGTGAGAGTATTAATTCTTCCCCTCTGTACATCTGTTAATCCAACATAAGGCAATTTTTTATTTTTTTTGGATCGAATGAAAATTACCGGACAATCGTGATTTTACTACCGAACACAAAATTCAAAAAAAATAAATCGCAGCAGTCGTTTATTCTTTATTATCATGTTTATTTACAACAAAACGCCTTATCTTAAAGTCGAATACCAATTTTTATACTTGCAAGAAATTTAGTCAGAAATAAAGAGTGATTCCATATAAGTTTGGTTGTGTGTATATCTCTATTCAATGTTAAAATTTCACGTCAATCGGTACGGGTGTCAAGAATTCAGAGGTAATACCCTATTTTTATCCTCGCTTACTGGCCTAACTGTGTTATTTGGCCACAGACGCGATATAATTCTTTTTTCAAATCATTGGCTCAGTAAACAGACTTTTATATAAATTTTATGCTGTTTTTTAGTTGTTGGTACATCGGCGAGGATACTCGGATAGGTCAATGTGATGATGTTAAAACACCACCAAACCAAACAGAATATAAAGCGAAAGATCTAATATACAACAAAGTATACTTTTTTCAGGTAAGTGGTTATCATAAACAAACTAATTATGTTTCATGGTAAAATAAATCTCTAACATTTCATAAATAATTATATACAAACTATAGGAAAAATTGTTCCAGGTACAAGCTTTCACTGAAATAGGCACAGGTGCTTTGTCTGAACCAATATCAGTTGACGCAGGCAAGGAAGCTCCCTTACCAACCTTATTAATAGCTTCATCAGACTCCATTTTCATTGACGACATGGACACAAATCAAGCACATTCTTTACTGACTGGAATCAATACTCCCAAAGTAATAGCGTGTTTGCTAAGGGAACAGAAAGTCTTCTGGATAAACGAAATTCGAGAATTACTCATGTACGATTTTTCTTCAGGCAACAAAATCAAACTGTTTGACATCAAAGGCAAACCTACTGATTTAGTAATGGATTGGTTAGAAAGAAGCCTGTATTATGTTGAAGAAACAAGCGAAGACTCGGGATCTACCATTTATAAAATCGATTTAAATAAATTTGAGAACGGTATTGTTCAAAATGAGAAGATCTTTTCGACATCAGCTAATATAACGAAAATAGAGATCTCACCGTTTACAAGAAAAATTTATTGGATACAAACCATGGATAATCAATTGCATAAAGTTATGTTTTCTGATTTGAACGGTTATAATACTGAAGACTTCTTTTCATCGTCAATTCAAGATCAGGCTAAAAGAAACACTACAGCCGAAGACTGTAATTGCTCAACTAATACAAACGTTGAATCAACATTTACTATTGACCATTCAGTATTTCAAATAGAACCCGTTCTTATATTCATTGATTCTGATTCCAAAGAGGTGTTCTCGTCAGATAAAAGTGGATGTCAGTGTAATGTAATTCTTAATGGCACAATTCTAAGCGAGTCAGACCCATTGAAGAAAGTTAAATTTGATTTTGACTCACTTTACTGGACTAACTCTGATGATACATTGTACGCATTGAAACCAAAACATTCACACTTGTTAAGTAAGCCTTTGAAGTCTAACGATATACTTATTTATGGAGAACATACGCAACCATATCCTCCCCAAGATTGTCTTAGTCCTTTGCAGCATTTAGATATAAAACCCAGTATTAAGAGAATGTCATTTGATTCTCTAACATTAAAAATGCCTGATGTTTTGTTTAATTCAAATTGTATGAACACATCTATAGCGACTGTAATGTACAGAATCAGGTATATTAAGACAAATAATAATCCAGGAGGTGACTTTGGGGAAGTTACAACGTTTGATAAAGAGATTGAAGTAACAGATCTGGAACCTTATACAATATACACTGTAAAGGTAGCGGCGAGCAATCACTATTCAGATGAACACAGTATATATTGGAGTAAACCGCTGAGGTTCAGAACTTCACCTGGAGGTAAGTTTTTAAAGCCGTGTTCGTACAGGGTGTTTCAAAAATCATGTGCCATCTCTCATGGGGAGATATATACTAAAAGTAAGATTTGTTTCTTATATCAACATAGGTCCGATTCTGCTTTGTTTAGTAGTTAGTCTTAAATTATTTTCGATTTATTATCATTTTCTTCCAAGTCCTTTAAGAGATTTCAGTTAAATTTTTAGGGTGCGAAATAAGTGCGATATATTTTAGTGTTAAAAAAATGTCGACAGATTCACCAGTGACGCACATATGGGATATCACTTAAACATTATTATTAAAAACTGGGCGCCACTGACTTATTTCCCTACTTAGCACAGTTGTGTAGGCTATTTCATGCCCAGTAAAAGTTGTCTCTCGATATTTTGTCAGTTTTGCTCTTCTTTATGAGATAAATACAATTTTATTAATTTGCCTTGATCCAAGACTAATAACAACCTTTAATTCTTTTTAATGTCATTAACTGGTCAAAGTATTAAGGATGTTAAAACTTTTAAGAAAAATAGGTCTTTTCCTCGGTCTTTTGTAATTATAACCTTATTAGCCGACCATACCAATAGGTATGGTAGGCAGGTAGGCTATTAAGATCGGCATTTTTTTTTTTTTTAATTTCACTCAAAATGAGTTATTTGGGTCATAAATGACTTAAATACAAAATATTTTCATGGTGTCTGGCCGTCTGTAACACGATAACTCAAAAACCGCTAAACCGATTTTAACAAAATTTGGCACAAAAATACTGTGGCACCCGAGAATTTGGCCATTAATTTTTGGTGGGGGTGGGGGTTGGTAAGGGGGTATGGGAGGGTGTTAAACATTTTAAAAAATCGTAACTCCAAAATTACAGTAGCTAGCGAAATGCGGTTTTCAATTTAAGATTAGGAATAATATTTGCAACAAAATTTGTAATAACATCAAAATCAAAATCGCAGTTTTTGAGATAAAAAAAAATTGAAAAAATGCCTTTACTTTGAAACTAAAAGAACTACCTACCAACTTTTTATTAACATATTTTAGTATGGGCGGCTATACGTGCCTCCCGGCGCCATTTTTTTTTCTTCTTCTGCCATTATTTGCTGTAGGTGGGATTGAACATTAATGTTATATTTAAAAAAAAATAATAAAATAGATTTAATAAATACCTACCTACTTTATTAATTTTATTTTAAGTGTATTAATCGTGATTAATAAAATTGCGTTTATCTCATTGAGGACATAGAAATCGACAAAATATCAAGATACAACTTTTAGTCGGCATTAAACGGCCTATACAATTTTGTAAACATGAGAAAAACAAAGTCAGTGGCGTATATGTTTTTTTAGAAAAATATTATAATAACTCATATGCACGTCCCTGGTGAATCTGTCCACACTTTTTTAATAAAATATGTAACACGTATAGTAACTTTTAGGCTCAAAACTTCATTCGAATTTCTAAAGACTTTTAGAGGAAAATTATTAATTAAATAAAATAAAATTAAGAAATAAATCGAAAAAAAAAATAAAGATTTTAACCCCTCGTACCTACGAAACAAAGCAGAATCGGACCTATGCTATATTGATGTACAAAATAAATCTTATTTTTATGTGAGGAATCTCTCTAGGAGAGGTGTGCCATGTTTTTTGAAACATCCGATATATTTCAAACTAAAAATTTATTTGTTCCTCTACCCATTTCTATTACTCGTTTTTCTCTCATTTATCTTGCGCTCTCTCATGCTCTTTTTGTAGCTTTTAAGTTCTGGCAGGATACCATTGTTAAACTAGTTTTTGTTGTCATCTATTTTTGATACATTTTGGCTTTCTTTGTTACATTAATTCGAAGGAACAAAAAAAAATTCAAAATTGACAAAAGTAATTTAAGTTTTACTTCTTTTGAGCACGTCAAAATATTTTTTTTTTCATTTTTAATTCATAATAAAGTATTGTATACCAACTTTTTAAATAATGTCTACTGTTGGAAATAAAATAATATAAAGACTGTTCAGCCATAGTTCGCCGTTACGTCATCATTACTTGTCAAACATGAGTTTTAGGGTGTGTCTTGAGATCATTTCATATTATTGTTACGTTTTTCCTCTATTCCGTGTAGATAGAAAGTCACAATTTATTTAAACACAATTTATTTAACACTAATTAACAAAAACAATAACGATAAAAGACTTAAAGAACTATTTACAAACGATTTATAACTATTTATCTAGAAAGAATTTATTTTGAATTTTAGCGCGTCAACTGTACTCGTCTATTTATGTCTGTCCTCTTCAGGCTTCAGGTGTTGGCTTATATATGAGAGCAACAGACAATTCAGATTTGTCTCGACAATTTTTAGTCGCGTTCTTCGTCTCACCAGCCGAGTGGCCAGGCCTAAGGCCGAGTTCACACGGGTCCGTAACATTATTTAGAAAGTTTTAAGCACGTTTCTATATTATTGATTGGGCGAGTCCCGTTTTTTTTCGGCATTTATTAATTTTTTCTTGAACCCTTCACCGATCCATTTAGTTCCTATCCTTTGGACTGTTGAAATTTCTATTTCTAAAGCGTCAGCAACTCGCTATGATAATTAAAACGCTATTAATTTGTATTTTACATAGAAATATTACACCTTTGCATTGTACTTACTTCATAGACGGCGTCCACGGGCAAGAGTGTACTACCAGCAGCTCTTTCTGGAGAAAAATAATTTATAAGCTTAGTAATGAGCTCTTGTTCATCTTTGGGGCATTTTTGCAAAAAAAATTGAGTTTTGTTTGACAGCGACAATCGATTTTTAATTTAGACATAGGTCGATATCCGTGAATAAAATGAAAACCCCTTTGAATAAAAAGATTAAGGAAGAAACATAATGATATCCATGTATTCATGCATAGTGGGCGGAAAAAGGACTCTAGGGTGGGGATTCTTAACAGTTCTGTTTGACGATTCATTTGACACATTTGAATTTGATTTGAAATTTTGTGGATTTGTCAGTCTTCACTGAGCTAATTTTATGTTATTTATTATTTATTCTACTACTGCTAGTTGTATAAAGGTAGTAAATCTAGAAGGCAATTGTGGCAGAACTTAAATTAACAGTGACACTATTGCGATTTATCGAAAAAGACTGTAAAATAGTTGTGTGCGTTGTGATCTCGGTCAAAAGTCGAGTGAAATAATGAAATAACTTTTCGCTAGTAAGTGACTATATATTTTTAATATACATACGTGTAGTAAACCGATCATTTATGAAATTCACTTAAATTAACTAATTATATATTTTTTCTTGCATTTTTGCTTTTATTTACTACTTATCAAAGATTAGATGTCAAACTTTGAATAAGAAGACTAAGGAAGGAGCATATCAAAAATCTTAGGTACACCGCGATGGGCCTCAAATATGGCCGACTTAAATTCCGGTTTATCAGTGTCGTTCTAATTTTATTTAAAAAATGTAAAACTATGATGTAGGGTAGACGTGGGGTAGACTCAATAATTTGTTGTTTTATTTTACGTTGTGAATAAATGTTGGTAGTTATTAAAATTGTTATAAAAATATATAATTCTAATAAAAATAGATAAGTTATAATAAGTATTTATTAACACAAACATCTGATACGCTACTGAAGCAGGTAAGTCAAATTAACGTATCTAAATTCTTTGACATCTAATCTTTGACAAGTAATAAATAAAAGCTAAAATGCAAAGAAAAATATATAATTTAGTTAATTTAAGTGAATTTCATAAAAGATCGGTTTACTACGTATGTCATATAGTCACTTACTAGAAAAGTTGTTCCATTATTTCACTCAATTTTTGCCGAGATCTACCGCACGCTACGCAACCAACTATTTTAGAGTCTTTTTCGATAAATCGCGATAGTGTACTGTTAATTTAAGTTCTGCAATTTCCATCTAGATTTACTACCTTTATACAACTATCAGTAGTAGAATAAATAATAAATAACATAAAATAAGCTCCGTAAAGACTGACAAATCCACAAAATTTCAAATCAAATTCAAATGTGTCAAATGAATCGTCAAACAGAACTGTCAAGGATCCCCACCCTAGAGAGCTTTTATGGTGGCTTTTCCGCCCACCATAATTGAATACATGGATAGCATTATGCTCCTTCCTTAGTCTTCTTATTCAAAGATGTCAAAGAATTAAGATACGTCAATTTGACTTACCTGCTTCAGTAGCGTATCGTATGTTTGTGTTAATAAATAATTATTATAACTTATCTATTTTTATTAAAATTATATATTTTTATAACAATTTTAATAACTACCAACATTTATTCACAACGTAAAATAAAACAACAAATTATTGAGTCTACCCCACGTCTACCCTACATCATAGTACACTTTTTAAATAAAATTAGAACGGCACTGATAAACCGGAATTTATGTTGGCCATATTTGAGTCCCATTGCGGTGGATCTAAGAGTTTTCATATACTCCTTCCTTAGTCTTTTCATTCAAACGAAAACCCCAAATCAAATGACAACGCCAATTATTATAAGGAAATTTTGACTGATTTGTGTGATTTCGAAATCAAATAAATGATAATGACAATAATTACTAATTTACGAAATGCCGTAATGACGTCATGCAATAATCTCTTTCATCTGGTTCTCAAGTGATTGAGAGAGTTCGACAATATATGACGTAATTTTGAACGATGGCTGATACCTCGGAAGATGGTTTTCATTACTGCCTCGAGATTTAGTTAATCTCTTTACAATAATAAATCACTTCTCTAAATATACGACTGTTATTTTTCAGCGCCTTCCAAGCCACAAAATATATCAGCTGCAGTTTTAAATCCTACCTTGGTACAAGTTAACTGGTCCCCGCCAAGTCAGCTAAACGGAGATGTAATCCGCTACGAAATACACTGGCTGACAGAAGGATCGCTTACCGGAGTGCGTCAAAAAGGAGAGCAACCTGTCAGCGATTTAAGATTCGTCGATAAAAAAATGGACGTGCTGACTACTCTCCTACAGAAACTTAGTCCAAACGAAACGTACACCGTCTGGATTCGAGCTTACAGTGAGACAAACGAAACGTCTTCGGACAGTGACAGAGTTCAAATCACGACCTATCCAGAACCTTCGGAATTCGAGTTAACAAACCGAACTTCCCAAAGCTTGTTCCTTATGTGGGAAGTCACTCCTCACATATACAAATACTCTATCCAGTACGCTCCTATCACTTCGACCAATACGTGGATTGGAGTAAAACAAACCGATCAGAACGATGATTTAGTTGAAATAGCTGTCGAGGATTTAAAACCAAAGAACCAATACAAATTTCGGCTGGCTTTATTGTATGACAAGTATCCTGAATGGTATGTGTGGCCGTCAGATTCCAGGTTTACATTTGAAACACTAGGTATGTGAAAAAGTTGTAGATCATAAATGTACCGTGGATAAATCTATAATTATCCAACTCTGATATTACCATACCATACGATTGAAAAACCGACGCGACGTCAAAGATGGCTGGAGAAATTTTTAAAATTTTTAAATGGTGTAGTTTAAATTTCGAGAAAAAAATATTTTCTGGAAATAGATTTGTGTATCTGGAAATATTAAATTTAAAATTTTCTATAATTAGTGTTAATTTTTGACGTTTTATGTCAATTTTTAGTAAATGACGTCTAGAAATTGACCTCGCCAAAATTATCATCGATTATCATTCCCCAGCCATTTTATTAGAGCTACAATAATTTTACAAGATACAGAGTGTCCCAAATAAGTAAAAAATATTACAGTTGTATTTTTTAAATGGAACACCCTATATATTTTTCTATTTTTAGATTCTACGATTGAAATAAAGGTAAATTTGATTAAGGTTTATCACACTAAAACCTTACCGACTTTGAAACATTTTCAATTTTGTGAAATTGCAGCAAAAAAATTAAGGCTTCGTTTCTCCAAGGGTATCAAAGTTTTTAATACTAAATATTTATAGCCAAACCAACCCAACGCAACCTATGCAGATGTTCACTTCTACGCTGTTTAGATGGTATCAAATGTTTTATCAAAGTTTACTTGGACGGCTTCGTAGCATCCAAGTAAGTTGGAAGCCAACCTACTTGCGCAACTTTGATGTTAAAACGCCTTCCAACTCAAATTTGATCAAAAAAATCAATACTATACAAGCAGCGTACAAGTGAGATGCGCGCAGCATTATTAAGTACAGTTATATCGCAACATTCAAGTGTGCTTAATCCAAGTAACTTTAATCGTGTCATCCTGCCTTTTTATGACCGCCATCGTAAAAAATAAAAAAAAGTAGCTTTTAACCTGTAGAATAATCTCATTAATTAATTTAAAATTGTTTGTTTTCCTTTTTATGTTATTGCAGGTATAACAAAAAACAAAAAATTTCTCGAAAATTACACGTAGCATTAAAAAGGAAGTATACTGGTAGAATCAGGGTATCTAATATACTTAAAATCAGTTTTAGTTTTGGCAGCAACAAAATCATTGTAGACCTGTCTTATTATTAATCAACCTAAACAGTCAATTAATGCAGTTTAAATATTGGAAACTGGAATCATATTAATTGGTCCCCTTTAACAAAAAACATTTTAAACAGTTTTTTTTAATGATATAAGCGAACTATATCGACAATATTAGTATCTGTACTCTTTGAAAATTTGTTAAATCTTTAAAAATAATCTAAAATGTCAATATAGTGATATAGTGATAAATGAGGTCTAAATTATAAAAAAATGCATTTTCTACGAAAATTTGAAGAGATAGGTAAAAATGGTTTAAAATAATTTGATAGACAATTAAATTGTGCATCTGATTCTCGTAAAATGTACAGGGTGTTCCATTTAAATTAAACAAGTTATTGCCGTTTAAAGCTAGTAATTATTTAATATAAATTTTTAGACACTCTCTATAAGGTAGTATTTTGTTTATTATTGCAACACAATGTCTAATTAATAAATACACTTAAGTAAATATTTTGTATTAAAAACTTTGATACCCTTGGAGAAATGAAGCCTTAAAATTTTTACTGCAATTTCATATAACTAAAAATATTTCATAAAGGTAAGGTTTAAGTGCGATAAACCTTAATAAAATTTACTTTTTGTTTCTCTTTTATTTCAATCGTAAAATCTAAAAATAGAATAATATACAGGGTTAATTACCATTAAATAAAATACAACTATAATATTTTTTACTTATTTTAGACACTCTGTGTCTTGTAAAAATATTTTTAAATTGTAGCTCTAATAGTCCTTCAACGAACCCAAAACTTACAATTTATAAAAATCTAATTGTTTAGCTACAATACTCCTTGTCGTATGTGGTGAACAACCATGTACAAATCATGTATGTATTTAGAATTGCATTTAGAATCCAAAATATATAAAATACATAGGGTGATTGTATATAAAGTAAACAACTTGGCAGCCACTTCCGGTTAAACCGAAAATATCAAGTACATAGCTTAATCTAAAAATATTCACATTTTTTTTAAGATTATATTGCGAAAAAGGGCCTCTATATAATCTAAGGAAAATGTTCCAGATTTACTTTAAAAAATATATTTATAGGTGATAGACCAAGTCCTCCTGGTACCCCAGGTATCCAGCTTTCCGGTCCTAATATTTACAAAGTAGTATGGGAGGCATCTTTAGACAATGGCGCCCCAATAGAACTCTACAAATTAGAATGCTTAAAGCTGATAACGTTCAGAAACAAAAGAAGCACGACCACCAATAGGACGGCTTGGTTTCACAGTGCGCCATCTATCGAAGAGGAAGAATTTACTTGGGAACAAGTTTATAATGGAACAGGTTACATTGAATTTATAAATTAAATTATTTTAAATTATAACAATTCTTATTTACAGACAATTCCTGGGTGATAAGCGATTTAAGTGACAAATACAGATACGCTTTCAGAGTGTATGCTCTGAATTCATATGGTTGGAGCGATCCCAGTCCTGAAAGCACCGATTTTGATATAACGGAAGCTGAGAGATTGTCACAGAAGAATCCAATCAACCTTATCTTCATTGCCACGTTTGTCCCTATAATAATATGTCTGACTATAGTGATCTGTTTTAGTTATTGTGAGTATAATATAAATACAACTTGACACAAATCAATTTTTAGGTAGGTACACTTAAAACAATCTAACAATGTAAATTTGATATAATCATTTTCCTCTTTTCAACCATTTCCAATTTGGTGTAGCATCCCTCCCATATTTAATCAATCATTTCTTTATTGTTATAACATTTCTCTTGTTTATAAAGCTGTGTCAAATAATAAATAAACATAAAACAAATACAAAATACACGAACTTTGTCAAAATAATAAAAAAAAAACAAGATAGCACAAAATATACAGAAATCTTACAAATACGTTCATTAGTTTAAGAGACCTAAATTTAAAAAAATATATCTACAAATAAAAATGGAATAAAATAGAACAAAAACACCTCCCGACAGTCAAATATGTAAGTCGGACCTACCAAGAATCAGCGCCTCTAAATCAAAAACTCCTCCACGTCATAATATGGCCTCGCAACCAGCAAGGACCTGACAGCCCTTTTAATTGCCCTATGAGGATATATTTTTCTTATATTCAGTGGCAGGTGATTAAATATCTTTTTGCCACTGAACACAAAAAATTCGTGGACCAAACTCGATGATGGTATAGGGTTCATATAGATGTAGATGTAGAATGTTTAGGCGGGGAGTTAATCACCGCGACCTTATAGATCTATTGTGTGTTCCCCTTTCTTGAGTTATAACGAGTTATAACTCATCATACAGTCTCAGAGGTTTAACAAAAGCCAGTATCTGAGACAGCTCCACAGAGGCCAGCTCTCCATCCTCGACATCAGACGTACCAAGGTTCATGGCACGAATGGTCGTCGTCTCGGCGCACTCAGTGATAAGGTGTTCTGGTGTTTCCCCATTTTCCCCACAAAATCTGCATTCGCCGTTGTTTCTCAGTTTCAGCCTACTGAGGTGTTCGTTGAGGAGATAGTGTCCTGTTAGAAACCCCGTGACAATCCGAAGATTATTTTTACTTAAATTAAGGAAAACCTTTGATTTTTCTCGGTCGTAAGTTCTGAGGAACTTTTTCGAGTGACTTAGACCGTTGGAGGACACCCATTCCAAGTTACGGATGGAGTCTTCCAGATTCTTCAATTCCGCTTTTAGTTGGTTCTCGTTTGGAAAATAGAACGGTTCTGGTCCAGTTAGTGGGGAGTGTTCGCTCTTTTCCTAGCTAGATTATTTGCTTTTTCATTGCCTTCTATCCCTTGGTGAGCTATCTCTACCCAGAGTAGGAGGACTTTATTTTCTTTGCCTAATTTGTTGAGCTTCTCTTTGACCAACTTCGAATTGATGGTTACTGAGTTGATCGCGTTAAGTGCTGCTTGACTATCGGATAGGATGGCAATTTCCTGTTTTCGATAGTTCCTATCTAAGATAAATTGTACGCATCTTTCGATAGCGTAAATTTCTGGCTGAAGGATACTGGGGTAGGTGCCCATTGTATACCACGTGATGTTATGGTCTTTTATATGCTGAGTAAGCGTTTCTTTCTTCCCAATCCTTTTTATTACTCAATACTACAGTCAGGTGTTTCTCAAAGTTGTAAATTCTTGGTATGTCATTCACTAGGAGTTGGAGAAGTGGAATTTTCGTTTTGAGGGTGTTCCAAGCCCCTGACCTGAAAATTCTCCTAGTACTGTTAGGAATCATAATCACATAGGATTGTCGGGTGTTAAAGGCGGACACGTTCCGAATCTGGTCTCTGAATTTCTTATGCATCAGACATGCAGTTTCCAATATCAAAAGATAGTGTAGAGTTAAGATATCTGCCCTTTTAAGCAAAGGACGACATGACTGTCTTACGTCAACAACACACAAATTTCTTATTGCCCTTTTTTGAATTATGAAAACCGCATCGAACAATTTTCTGAAACATGCCCCCCAAAAACATATCCCAAATCGGAACTGTGACTCAATCAGTGCATAATAGGCCCCTCTAGCTGTCTCTTTATCCAATTCACCTCTTATAACCTTCACGGCATAGCAGGCACTGGAGATCCTAGGGATAATGTAGTCGACATGGGCCTCAAGCTTTAACCTGTTATCCAGGAATATCCCTAAGAATCTATTCACTGTTTTATTTTCCAATGTATGATTCTCAATATTGATACTGGAAATATCATACTTGAAAGACATAACACTAGTTTTTTTTTAATTTAAACACATCTTGTTAGCGTCACACCAATATTTAATTAAGGCCACATCTCGACTTACAAAGTCTGTTAAAGTATCAGACTTTCCACTCCAAAGTATTGTGGCATCGTCTGCAAAAAGTGTAAAGTAAAAAAAAGTGTATTTAGATTATCTATTTGTAGTTGGTTGTTTATTATCGGTTTTGCGGGCCCAACTTAATTCTTCTGCTGACTTCTGGTAGTAGAGATCCCGGACTGTGTATTAGTTGTCCCAAATATTTCGTCTATGTCCACTATAGGAAAAAAGTTGCTTTCGACGTAATAATATAAACGTCAAATTGTTTTTAGATCAACATTTTGATAGTCTTAGCATCGTTTTTTATCTTTTGATTGCTTTTTCAAAATGCCCAACAACTTCAACTGCTTCAAATAATAAAGAATTTTGAAAAAGCAATTAAAAGATAAAAAACGCTGCTACAACTCAAGGACTGTATATATTCTAAAGGACTGTTCGATGGTGTCAAATCGCCGCTGTCGTAGTCGCCGTGGAATGCTACGTCACGCGCTGACCAGCGCTCCACAGTGCAGCGGATGGTTATTCTAGCGGGACAAAATCTCAAGAGCAATGTTTGGGACTTAAATTCTAAGAACGTAGCAAATGGTCTAATATATAGCAACTATATGGTTAAATTTATTTATTTATTAACAACTTAATTTATTATTAATCCAAACCAAACAAAAACCGTATTGTAAACTATTGCCAAACACATAAAATTATGATATCAGGTGAAATACTTACAAAAAAATCTTTAGCAGTTATTTTTCAATTACTTTGTAATCTTGTGACACCCTCTATATTTTATTTTAAAAAATTATATTTTATTTTAAAAATATTAATTAAGATAGATATTTTAATTTTAATTTTAACACTCGGTAATTGTAAATTCATATATAGTAAGTATCTAAGACAATTTTATAAACTCAGTGCCTTTTGATGGAGTTATTGTTTTGTTTTTATACTATCCGATTGAAATGAAACTTTTTGGGCATTCACCTGTTAAGCTTGAACTCCCTGTGACTGTAACTACCTATGTTGGTAACTATTGGTAACTCAAAAGATCTACATCATTCAATATATCGATATTTGAAAAAAAATGAAAGTTTGATATCTGCAGAACAAAGGCACAAAGGATTTGAACAAATAATATACGTACAGTAGAAAAGTACATACCTTTGACAATCTTCAACATAATTTGGCTTTGGAATAAAATGTATAAGCACTTGTAAATATTGTGTTTTCGTATGATCTCTGCCTTGCTGAGCAGAAAACGACCAAATTTGGTTGATAAAAATGTATCGAAATACAAAGAATATTCATGCATTTTTATATCAATTGGAATGTCTACTATTTATTCTTACAGTACACATTTTTTGGCTTATTTCTAACCAAACGCTTTTGTCCCGCGAAATTTATCTTCCAACGCACTGTGCGCTCGTCCGTCAAATGCAAAAATAACTGTCACTGTTTAAAACTTTTGGCGCGAAATGCAACTGGGTCATTAGATGACGTAGAAAAACTGACAGTGCAGGCGGATAGGAATCGAACAATCCTTATCTCTATATAGTGTCCTTGGCTACAACTATCAAAATGTTGATCTAATAACAATTTGACGTTTATACTATTACGTCGAAAGCAACTTTTTTCCAAAGCCTACCATGACTTCACTGAATCATCGTTTCTTGTTCACTGTTATTAATATCTTAATTATTAGATATTAATACATCTGGTCATCTGGTATTATGGTATTCTGGTACATCGTCGATGTAAGATAAACTAACTGTTTCTATCTTATTTTTTTATTAGAATGGGCATAATCAAAAGGGCTACTGATACCGTGTTGTAAAAATAAGGTAATTAAGGGCTTATTTTTTCGTATTTATTATAATTTTGCTAATATCTTCGGTTTGAAAGAAGATATCAAGATGCGGTTCTCGCTGACTTTTTAAGCTTTTGCCACTCTTTACTATCAGCTAAAATTACATATACTATCGTATTTAATTTTTTTGTTTTGCGCTATGTTTGTTAAATTGTAAGAAAACGCCCACCAGTTTCTACGTTCAAAACCTTGTTATTATTATTTTTATGGTATAATATATAGTAAGAAACGCTCTTTTAAACGAGCCCTCGTTTATTGGATTCTGATCATCCAGTCCGAAGTTATTAACATTTAAATCAAGATAGATATCTAACCTTCCCCCACCACTTTATTTTAGCAGATAGGGGAAAATGGTTCTAAACTGAAAATTCCAAAATTTACTGAAGATTATGAAGCTATTATTTATAGTATCCATTATCTAGGCAAAATTCTGTAAAAATCTTATTTTCTTATTTTCCATTGCAGTTGCGCTCTCTAGCGGCATTTCTCATAGCTCCTTTAGTTATAAATATATTTTCAGTAGGCCCTACGGCTAATACTTTCCGAGACACAGCCGAGAGCTATTCTTAGTGGGACACTGTACATTACTTTAGTTTTTGCTAAATTAATTTTGAGACGTACTTTATTGCTGGCTGTATTTAGTTCGTTAATTTATATGCTTGTAGTTCTTCACGACTATTGGCAATTAGGACTATGTCATCAGCGATTCTTAGATGGTTAAGATAGTCTTCATCTATTTTTAATCCTTCGTTCGTCCAGTCCAGTTGATGGAAGATTTTTTTAAGTAAACAGCTTTGGGGATATCACTTCTCTCTGTCGTACTCCCTTGCCAGTTGGAAACTCTGGGATTGTTTTATATATTATTACTCTTGTTTTGGCTTATTTGTAATGTGTTGTAATGTATGAGTCTCTCCCTGTACTTGCATAAGTTCCTAGAGACGTATAATAACTAGAATTTAACTTATTTAAAGATGTTTGTTTCGCAAAGAAATCTCTCGATTAATGATAGGATGTAAATTAATAAGAAAAAATATTTAATATATTAAAACCATGACTTTTTACCTAATCGATATTCCATGCTTTTGGAACGTATGTCGCTGTTTTATTTCTTTATCACAATTTGATTTTAACTTTTTAGTGACATACTCTAAAAGATGCGGTAAGCAAAAAAAAGTCGAACAAATCACAACCGTTCAACGAGGACCCGACGTAGAACTGGCAACGCTGCGAGAACTACCCAGACGCGGGATTCACAGCACCAACATCCTCTACGTATCAGGCGCCCCTAACAATGACGATATCACCCTGTTGCCCCATATCCGTCGGGATCAGATAACTTTGTCCACGTTCCTAGGCAGTGGTGCTTTTGGTGAAGTCTACAAAGGCATAGCTAGAGGAGTAAGCAGCGATGTAGCTGAGCAAAAAGTCGCTGTTAAAACGTTGAAGGAACATGCCTCCGATCAGGAGAAGAGCGAATTTCTGCAAGAAGCTCAGCTAATGAGTCATTTTAAGCATGAACATATCATTCAGTTACTTGGAGTGTGCTTGGATAATGATCCACAATTTATAATAATGGAGCTGATGGAAGGTGGGGATTTGCTCACTTATTTGAGAAATTCCCGGAATCCATTGGTAAGTACATCTTTTTTAATTAAAGAATGCATTTCAAGAAGTATTTTACCTTCCAGAACAAAACTCCATCGCTGAACCTATTAGAACTGCTAAAGATGTGTCTGGATGTTACTAAAGGTTGCAGATATTTAGAAGAAATGCATTATGTTCATAGAGATTTGGCGTGCAGAAACTGTTTAGTTTCCTGTGTTGAAAGCGAGAATAGAATAGTTAAAATTGGAGATTTTGGACTTACAAGAGATATCTATAAGAATGACTATTACAGAAAGGAAGGAGGAGGGTTGCTACCAGTCAGGTAAGATGCAAATGATTTTTAACTTGCTGTAAAAAGTTAAACTGAAGAGATTTTTACTACGGTATTTGACTTGTACGGTCTAAAATGTATATGGTTTTTTAATATTATTAAAAGTCTGTCCAACGAGCCAGGAAATATTTCGACAGACAACGTTCAAAAATACAATTTACCGGTGAACTAAAATGACAGACATGAGTGTCACTGTCATTCCTCTCGTTAGACAGACTTGGCATAGTACAGAGTAGATTCCATAAAAGAGATTTTAAGCGACGTAGAACGTTGAATGTTTGGGAGGAAGGGGGGGGGGATCACCTCGACCTTACAGATCTATTGTGTGTCCCCTTTCTTAAGTTATTACGAGGTATATAACTCATTATACAGTTCCAGGGGTTTGGCAAAAGCAAAAGTATTTGAGACGGCTTCACAGAGGCTAGTTATCCATCTCCTATATCAGTCGTACCAAAGTTTATGGCACGAATGGTTGTCACAGCGCACTCAGTGATGAGGTCTTCCTGGTGTTTCCCCATTTTCCCACAAAATCTGAATTCGCCGTTGTTTCTTAGCTTCAATCTACTGTGGTCTATATTAGTATCTGTACTCTTCGAAAATTCATTACATCTTTCAAAATAATCTAAAATGTCAATATTCCATGGGTATATTGATAAATGAGGTCTAAATTATAAGAAAATGTATTTTCTACGAAAACTTGATGAGATAGGTAGAAAATGGTATGATACAATTTGATAGACTATTAAATTGTGCATCTGATTCTCGTAAAATATACAGGGTGTATACGGGTGTTTCATTTTAATTAAACCAGTTATTGCCGTTTAAAGCTAGTAATTTTTTAATATAAACTTTTAGGCACTCTCTATAAGGTAGTATTTTGTTTATTATAGCAATACAACATCTGATCGATAAATAAACTTCATTAAATATTTAGCTATATGTATTTAGCATTAAAAACTTTCAAACCCTGATCAAATTTACCTTTATTTCAATCGTAGAATCTAAAAATAAAATAATATACAGGATGTTACGTTTAAAAAATACAACTATATTATTTTTTTATCGATTTGGGACACTCTGTATCTTGTAAAAACATTTTTATATTGTAGCTCTAATAGTCTTTCAACGAACCCAAAACTTACAATATGTAAAAATCTAATCGTTTAGCTACAATACTCCGTGTCGTATGTGGTGAATAACCCTGTATAATAAATATTAATGATTTTATTATATTAAAAATTACAATTGTTATTTATTCTAAAGGTGGATGGCCCCAGAATCGCTAGGAGACGGCGTATTTTCTTGCCAATCAGATGTGTGGGCTTTCGGAGTACTACTCTGGGAAATAATGACCCTTGGTCAGCAGCCTTATCAAGCCAGATGTAACCTGGAAGTTTTACATTATGTTAAAGCCGGTGGACGTCTGGGAAAACCGACAGATTGTCCAGAAGAATTGTACGTATTAAAAATCACATGAAATAAAGCCGGAATTGAAGTTTTACAACATTTATTTAGGTACAAACTGATGTTACAATGTTGGGAACACGATCCAGAAAAAAGGCCGACTTTCAAATATTGTTTGGAAGTCCTCGACGAAGCCCATAGGGAACATTTAAGAAATCGTGTAACTGGTGCTCATACGCAGTACATTAGTACGGTACCTGATGGTAAGTACCAATTATTCTCTTGCCTAACATAGTTGAACTAACATTGGTAAATATCATTTGTAAATATCTTTATTAAGGTTAATTAATTTTAATTAATTAATTAATTAAAATTAATTAATTAATTAAAAAAAATTGTCTTGCATAATAATTCAAATACAGTTCAGACCAAATAAACTTTTAGTCTCGTGATTGAGCTTGACCGGCACAGCGTTGCCCACTTTTATATATTTTCTTTTAATCAAAATATTTTTGGAAACAAAAATAAATTAATTATAAATATATAAACAGTTATTATTAACATCAACAAAACTCACCTTCTTAACAGCACTTAAGGGACATAAAAGACCATTACTACCGCTTTCCCGTTCAAAATATTCTAATAAAGTTGCAACGGAATTTTTTACGACTATTTAACTTGTGTACTAATCTTGTACACTTCGCACTAAAAGAGGTTCTAAAGAGAACAATGTTCGACTGTAAGGTCTGCTAGTAAACATTTTTAAGGTTAAATGTCAGGAAATAAATAAATAAATGCGGCAACTTGACATTTTTTACAGCAGAGCAACCACCTGAATCCCCAGCGCGAAATTTAAATTCCAGTTAGTCAGCCTGGCGCCGAATATCTCCATGGTTGGCAACAATGAATTTAAAAATCGCGCCTTCGCTTACATAACTAAAAGTTTAATTGATATCAAATATAGTTGTTTAATTTTAAAAAATTGGTATAATTTTTCATTTTTACAAAAGAATAATTAAAAAATAAATCTATTTTTAAACATACTTATTTGAAAATAACTTCTGGCAATTCATAAAGACAACTGATATGCTTGCGCATGTGTGCTAACATTATTTTCATCTCATGCTTTACAGTACTTGCTGGGATCGCAAATGCTGCATATTTTCTTGATGAGAATGAGAACAGTTCAGGTATGGTATAATAGCTAACAGATTGACTATAAATTTTGTGAGGGTTTCATGGTAGTTGACTTCTGACATAGTCATCACTCAAGTAGAGTATTCATTTTCATATGAGAGCTTACTGGGCTGAAACCATATACGGAGATAAAGTTCTTCAAAAGTTGACAAACTGAAAAAACAACATATTCAATTTTTAATTAAAATGTATGTAAGACATTTTAAAACTTATTTGAAATTTGATGTATTTTTTTGTACCTATTTGTTTGTTCTCTGTCACTATAATCGAAAAATTAAGTCTACTGTCTATCATTTTTTGTCCCATTCTCTCACTGGACAGACTATACCGGGTGCGTCTCAAAAGTGGCTCACCCCCTATAACTTTTTTATTTTTTCAGATAAAAAAGCGAGATCTGGTATGTCAGTATATGACATAAATTAGGATTGACTGTCGTATTCCGTTGTTTTTGGTCACTTCCGGAAATGACTACAACTTTTGATTTTTAAATGGCACCCTCGGTATTTTTTTACTTTATTCGATAAATTCCATAAAAAATGGCATTCTGACATATCATATGTCAACTTTTGACATTCTCGCTTAATAAAAAATTGTATTTTAAAATTCAATCTAGAGTGCCGTGGCTATGTTAAAAACACTAATTCTTAATCAAGGAGCCTTGGAAAAATAGATTTGATCGTTTAATGTTTTTAGTGTCTTGTCCTGGCCAGTTAGAAAATGCTCAAATCGTATTTTTAATCATATCTCAATTTTTTCAAATGGAACGAGGGTGGCTCATTAGCATATCTGGAAAAAGCATTTTTTACGAATAATTTGATACTCAACACTTGGTATTTCGAGTCAAATTTTCGTTCCGAACCGCAAGTTATAATTTCAAATAAACCTTATGCGAAAATGTCAAAATTTGACATATAATATGTAATTCTATTCAGAGTGTTATTTTCTATCGAATAAAGTAAAAAAATACCGACGGTGCCATTTAAAAATCATAAGTTGTAGTCATTTCCGGTGAAACAGGAAGTGACCAAAAACAATTGAATACGTCAATCAATCCTAATTTATGTCATATACTAACATACCAAATATCGTTTTTTTATCTGAAAAAAATAAAAAAGTTATAGGGCCAAAAGTGGCGCATTTTGAGACGCACCCGGTATATTACGTGTTATTATGTTACCATGCCTCAGCCCAATGGCTTTTTAATAAAACATTTTTTTAACAGTTTTGAGTGTTCTATTTATTCTGGTAGCGTTATTATTTAAAAAAATAATTATCTTGTATATTTTTTAAAATCTACTAATAATTAATTATTAAAATATCTAAACTGACTTTAATTTGAGCCACCTTTTGAAAAGTGATTAAGTTAGTTATCAGTTATAAGTGATAAGTAAAAAAAAAATTTATAGTGTTTATTAAAGCATGTCAATCATAACCCTCATGCATGAAGATCTTAATATGCATTTTTTTCAGGGAAATAAGTAAACCTAGAGCAACCGTTTGTAGACGAATGTTTAATATTCCAAAACAAGAAAAGTATCTAAAAATAATCAATCTATCGCTTATCAATCGCCGACGGTATTATTATTGTAAAGATTCTACTTTACAGTCTGTGATATACTGGGTGTTTGTTAAAAGTGGCTCACCACTTTAACTTTTTTATTTTCTCAAATAAAAAAACGAGATTTCGTTCGTTAGTATAATTGACGTATTTGTCATAATTGTTTTCGATCACTTCCTGTTTCACCGGAAATGACTACAACGTTTGATTTTTAAACGACACCCTCGGTATTTTTTTGCTTTATTCAATAGAAAATGACACTTTGAATGACATATCATATGTCAACTTGACATTGTTGACATTGTTGCATATGGGTCAGGGGAAAAAAGCAGGTAAGCCAATTTCTTTGCTATATTTAAATATTCGGTGTATGTGATTCAGAGTGAGTGTAAGTATTTTTAGAAGCCGCAAAACTGGAGAAAAAGCAACCTAGTCAGAAGAATATAAAAGCCAAAGCAATAAGACTCTAAGTATCGGTTAGCAATAAAGCTTGATTTTCATGCATCCGTTGTCCGACGACATCGATTGGTTAACCGTTTCTAACCAATCGAAGTCTTTCAATTCAACCAATAAAATTAATATCGTATCACCGTGTCGTCGGATAACGGATGCATGAAAATCAAGCTTAAGACTCTAAGTCCTAGTCAGAAGATATATAGCGTCAAAGTTATACTGTAAAGGAAAAACAGCAGGCAAATCAAGCAAAAAAGAGGAAAGAATCAGGCAACTCATTGTTGAGATCGTACGTTTGTATCCGTTACTATCTCGGTTACTATGGTAGTTAATCTAATAGAAAATACCTTTACCAGGTTCTAACAAATCTCTATTACGCTATTTTTATAAGTTCCTGTACTCTATCTTTGTAACGTTTCGCACATTAAATCGTGGTGAGCCATGGTAATTCGGACGACTTCTTGATTTTATTAATTGATGATGGGGTTTCGTAGTGCACGAAACGTCGTCAAAATATCATGAAAAGAGCTCTTCGAGACCCATCTACATTTCGAGTTTCAAGCTCATAGGTCACGACCCATCTGAACTTCCTCATTGACTTAGCACTTTTTTTTCTCCCTAGCACGCATGTCAAGGCCGTATCGTGTCACAGCCTTGAATTTTTACTCCCATCACGCGTTAAGAAGTTTCACTTCAAAAAAGTTTACACATGCATCATTTGATAAGAGTTTGCAGTATTTGTACAAGATAATTAGAAAATAACAGCATATTTTACGTATAATGTATTAGTGCAGAAGTATCAATGTGTATCAATGACTAAAGAATTCAAGGACAAATAACACCCGAGAGCAAATTGTTATCATGGCTCACCAATCTTTTCCCTTGACCCTTCATATTATGGTTTATTTGAAATTGTAACATGTGGTTCATAATGACAATTTGATTCGAAATACTCAGAGAGAGAGAGAGAGAGAGAGAGAGAGTGTGGTACCAAATTATTCTATTAAATTAAAACCGATGAAAGTTCATTTTTTGCTAATTTTATTTTAAAGCATAATATTTTCCGTCTTAAAAAGCTATACCTTTTGGTACCTAAATAAACGGGAATATATCGATAACGGTCACATATAAACAGAGGCATTTAAAAACGGGAAAAACGATAAAATCCATATATAATTTGAATTAAAAAACGCTCTCCTGAACATTTATCGTTCGCGACATCTAACACTAATTCACCACAACATTAGACGATCAAATCTATTTTTCTTTTTCGAAGACTCTTTGATTAAAAATTACTCTTTTTAACATAACCATGGCACTTATTCAGATTGAAATTTAAAATATAATTTTTTAAGCCAAATTGTCTAAAGTTGACATCCCAAGCAGCATTTGGACGTCGGGACAACGTTGTCACGCGACCAAACGTCGGGGCGCAACCTCGTGCCAACCCTAGTCTGCACTAGTTTGGAGAATAATTTTTGGGTCGAAACGACGTTGGATACCGACGTTGGCTAGCAGCCTAATTTAGTACCAACTGCAACGTTGTTTAAAATCCTAATTCAGAGAAATACAAAACTATAATAATATGGCGTCTAAGTCGCGTTTTATCCTAAATTGGGATAATTATAGTAAAAATATTATTTTTATGATTTAGTTAGAGACATATGCCAGATAGCAGTAAAGGAAAACAAAACAAAAGTATTTAGGTGTGGAGGATGTTTGAAGATCATAATTATTGAAACACTTTAACCGACTCTGTAACTCGTTACCCAAGGCAAAAAAGTTAAACGCAAACAACTTTATTGATAAATGTATTGTTTCTACTTTGAAAAATACTAATGGGCCTTAAAATTAAAGAAGTTTTAAAAAATTTCTTAAATTTTTTTTTTAGTAAAATGAGAATAATTTATTCGCAGTCGAAAAAATTGTTTCCGCGTGTTGTTTAGGGTCAAATATTTCAAGTTAATGTAATCAAAAAGCAGGAATTGCTATTTTAGGAACGAAACATTTTCTTATTCAACAACATGGCGGCTTTCACTGTGTTGTTTTGGAGATTAAGATGGAGTAGTCCGAGTAGTCGCATACTGGACTAATAAAGTCGCAGTTCAGCCTTAACAGGTAGTATACTAGTCGCAAGATTGCCTAATTTAGTCATCCTAGAGTCTAGCTTGTGCCGCCCTCTATATTCTAAACAAACGAGGGAGTGGATAAAGTATCGGTAATATGTCGATGTATATTTAAATTTTAGTTTAATATGTACCTGTCTTATGTCCCATTTTAATTAAGTTTTTTTTTATAAAGACAAAACCAGCACTGAACTGTCTGACTGAACAGAACAATGAAGTGAAAATTTAAGATTTAAGGTTATGGTTCAAAACAGTTGCAAAAAGGTAGTGGCTCGACGTCCTACCAACGTAAGAATAAGGAAATCTAAACAACGTTGGAATTAGTAAAACAGACGATGTTTGCATAACGCTGGAATAGGTCCTGAAAGTGACGTCGGAAAACTCTTTATTGCCCAACATTGTAACTACGTTGTCCGAATCACCTAAAGATCCCTTAAGCAAAAAAGGTTACAACGTTTATTCGACGTCGCAGAAGCTTTTACTTTGTTGTAGTACTAGTTCAACGTCGGCACAACGTTACAACAACGTTTATATTTATTTTAATACCCAAGGAACGGAGCTAACTATTTTTTGTAACTAATCCAACGTTGTATTTAGTAAACATGTGGTCGCAAGTCGTGAAAATGCTACTTGGGATATGATATGTCATTCTATTCAAAGTGTCATTTTCTATCGAATAAAGAAAAAAAAGGCCGAGGATGCCATTTAAAAATGAAAAGTTGCAGTAATTTCCAGTGAAACAGGAAGTGACCGAAAACAATTGAATACGTCAATCAATCCTAATTTATGTCATATACTAACATACCAAATCTCTTTTTTTGTGTCTGAAAAAAAAGTTATAGGAGTGAGCCACTTTTAAGAAAACACCCGGTATATTAATGGTACAAATCACTGCAAACCAATGTTATTTGTACAGGTTGTTAATTTGTTTATTACTCGCGGCAAGAGCTTTATGGTTGAAATATGGCAACCTCGGCCCGCTCGTCGATGATAGACGACGCGACGGGACGAGTCGCCAGAAAATTATAGGGTTTTCTGTGCATGCGTTCTCAATAGGCAGTGTTGCCATTCTGTTCCCCTATAAGTAACTGTCCAGTTAACAATCTGTATATTAGAGTTACTCTGTAAGTTTACTTACTTCCCTATGGTATTTAGAATGTACAGACCTATTCTATTTTTAGATTATCCTACATTCTGCATGTAGTTATATCAGTTATCAGAACACAATTTTTTTGAGATTAAATCAAAAATACTTTAGCAGGTATGTCCTGGAAGAGTGAAAACGACGACAACGACGAAACCAACCGGGAACAAACACCTTTCCTATCACCAGATGGCCCAAAAGAAATTCCAAAATATCTGGAACTCCTTTACGAACCCGAATCTGATACTCCATTGGAGAACGATGGATACGAAGTACCAAATCATATGATAAGTCCAGAAGAAAGAGCAAATGAGCCTGCAAATGACAAAGAAGAACTAAATTCTATAAAACAAGCCGAAGAGGAAAGTGCCAAAGACAAATCTAGTTACGTATTATGCGGAAAAAATTGATACCAAAACCTGAACCAAAAATTTTTCAACTAGAGACTTTATAATAAAAATGTGTTTCATGCGCTTTGAAATTACTTAAGTATTTTCAAAAAAATAGCAGGGTCCTGATTCTAAATGTTTTCGATGGTCGAAATTATTATACATGGTGAGTCTAAAATAAGTGCAAATATTTTTAGGGGTGGTACACGTCTATGAGTTTTTCTCTCACAAAAAAAATATATTAAAAATCGTGCATTTTATCAGTTTAAATTATCCTGTATATTTTAGAACTGCCTGGTCACCGTAAATTTTCCCAATCTAAGATTTTCATAATTATATAAATATTATCATATGTAGCTGTCGGATTCTGAGCCGCATTAGAACTTCTCATTCACTCAAAAATATATTAAGATGACCAGCTGGTCTTATTATTATAAGCATATAGATAGCATAGATTATTATCTATGCTATTAAGATTTCTATATAGAAATTAGATTTTAACTAGTTTCAAGCAGTTGAATTTGCATTCAATAATGGAACAGTAAAAACGGTCAGATCAATTTCAACTGTCGAAAGAATTTTGAATCAGGGTCTAGTTCTTATTTATCAATACCTTTACAAAAAAAAGCTTTAGTAAACTTGTCATTTTTTGTGACATTTATCATTATATATGTTATGTTAAACATTTGAATTTATAAGTAATGTCTATTACCCTGAAGGGGTTCGTTTCAGCAAACTTTTGAAAAGAAAATACAAATCAAAATTTCTACTTTATATGAAGTCACTAAATTTAGAATCCACGGAGACAATTTCACACATACCTACCTAAGAAATATTGAATTTTCAAATGGTATACTATTTTCTTAGTTTCGTAAATTTCTGTTCAAGAGTCACAATGAAATCCGAGGATTCTCAACTCAGTGACTTTAGATAAATATTTTGATTTTTATCTTTATTGTTTCAGAGATGACATTTCCAGTGTTTGTAGATATGTGAATTTATACTTAAACATTACTATTTATACTCTCTATTATTTTCATAATTTTCAGAGGTTAATAAATGTTATATCATACCGTATGATGGATAAAAACGGCGATGATTGGACTGAAAATAACGATCGCTCTGATTTTATAGGTAAGTATATAATATTATGTAGTGAATATCATAGATCGTCATTTCGAAGCCCTCTTAATGCCGTTTTTTTTTTCGATTATACGGTTATTTAGGTTAAGAATTAATTATATAGTTAAAATCAAACAAAAAAAATTGTGTGTGCACTATGTGCGCATATGTGCGCATAATGAAACTTCTCACTTCTGTTTCTCCCTCTGTCCATCTGAGGATTTCATTCGTGTACCTCTATCCACGTGCCGAGTTTGGTCCCAATCGACCCATAAAAATCCTGATGATTTCGTCCATTTAGAGGCATCGGCATCGGTTCGAAACGTCGAGGGCGTCATCCTGTAGCCCGTCCCCAATTATACCGAAATCGACCCACATTTTTCTTCAATATCAAATCTTTAGTCCCACCCTGATGAAGAAGTTAAAGAAACGTCGTATCCAACTTTGCAGGGTGGGACCGTGTGCACCGTCGCTCACATAGCTTACCCACCAAATTTGGTCGCGATCGAACGACATCAACTTTTCACGGTTCTTACGTCAAAACTAACTGTCACAGTGACACGTGTCATATACAATCAAGTTGGCCTTGGTCAAATCTATCGACATACCAAATTTCGTTTAAATCGGACCACTTCTTGTTTTATTAATTGATGATCGGGTTTCTTAATGCACGAAACGTCGTCAAAATATCTTGAAAAGAGCTCTTCTACATTTCGAGTTTCAAGCTCCTAGATCACATAGGGCCCGAGTTACCACTCTTCAAAGACCCATCTGAACTTCCTCATTGACTTAGCACTTTTTTTTCTCCCTAGCGCGCATGTCAAGGCCGTATCGTGTCACAGCCTTGAATTTTTACTCCCATCACGCGTTAAGAAGTTTCACTTCAAAAAAGTTTACACATGCATAATTTGATAAGAGTTTGCAGTATTTGTAGAAAATAATTAGAAAATAACAGCATATTTTACGTATAATGTATTAGTGCAGAAGGATCAATGTGTATAATGTTATAGAATATTCTTTGTTAGTATAACAGAGATAGGTGTATGGTAGAAAACATTATGAAAGACATTCCAACATCGATTATAAATACGCAACTTTGTTTGATTTTTACTATATATTTTTATAGCTTTTTAAAACTGAATTGTACAAAATGCTCATCACATTTTTTTTTTATTTTATAGAACAAATTTATTTTCAGGGTTTATAAGTTTGGATAGTAAGAATACTCAGAAAAATTAGTGATAGAAATAAATTGTTCCTATTGATGTCCTATGGCCAAATAAATAATAATAATGTTTCTATTGTAAACATACTATTCTATTAGTAACAATAATTGTAGTCAATTTTGAAGATGAAATTTTTAATTAAAATTTATTTGACCATAATGAATACTACTAAACATACCAAAGCCAAAAAATACGGATATTATTTATTATCCGTATTCAGTATTTTAACACATATTTTCTATAAAAAAACTATAATATAAAGTAGAATAAGTTTTAGGATAGAAAAAAATTTGAAAAACAATGCTTTTAAAAGAAGATAAAATATTTCCATATATAAACTCTGAATAGATTGTGACTCGTCAGGTTTGTGAGCAGCTACTGATATTTTATTTTAAACCTATTTTTATGTTATTCATATTGATTAGGTTTTGCATAGGTCATAAGGCATGTGTATATTTGTAAATACAGACTTATGTTAAGTCAAATTGTGATGTAATTTTAGAGATGTAATTTAGTAGTATTTAGTAATTCTTTGACAATTACAGAGATAAGAAAACATTTTTAACTGGATATTTATTAAAAATGTAAATTTAAAATGTTAGAAAGCTTATTTTAAGATAAATAAAAATAAAGTTTTTTAGAATGCAATTTTTAGTTTTTTTTATTCCAGATTGTATTAAATTGAATACAAGCTGGAATATATATCGGATTTCTGTTTAAAATTGTCACTCCATATGCATAATTAGGGGATTTTGACTAGCGATGGGAAAAACCGATTAATTTCAATAATCGAGTACTCGAGTTTCAAGCGATTTCAATACTTGAGCGATCGCTATTTAAAAATACGGGTTTTCGCCCGTCGCTTGTTGTGCTCATAACGCCAAGCAGTGTTGTGTGCGCAGACCACATATTCTTCCGGCGCTGAATGGCAAGTAGCAAGCGCCGAGCGATTCGCTTGATTTAGTTTATTTCGAAGCATTGTCGAGGTACCTACGTCGTAAAATTTTGTCATTCAGATACGTAACGGATAACGTCATATAAATTTGCTATCTGCAATGTATGTAGAAAATTCGCTCGGCTTTTTATCGAGTATGTCACATTAAAATCGGATTTCAATTTAATTCATTTTAGGATCGCTTGCGTTCGTCGCTCGTAACTCGTCACTTGCATCGCTCGTTCATAATCGAGCGATGTCGGTTATTTCAATAATCGAGTACTTATTAGTTATCCCATCACATTAGTTATCCCATAACTATTATAAGTTTTACTCCCTCAGCCATGATTTTAAAATTTCATGGTAAACTTCTGGGCATTTTAGAGTCGTTTAATTTCTAACTTGCATTTAATAATTTACAGGATATAAAAAAAATTAGAATAATTCGTTAATAAATAAATAAAGTATAACGAGAGGTAATTAAAACCTGTGTTAAAACGTGAAGATGAACAAATGATGTTCTTCGATTTAAATTTATATTTTACGTTTATGCGGCGTGACCGTGTCGAACACGTCGAAGCTGCCATATCCCCTTCCACGTCTCTTACCAATGTGCACAGTTTCTCGCCTTAATTCATACGTTTGGCAACGTTTTTACTTTTCTCTCTTTGTTCAGCACATTATAAATGCATTGTATTAATACGGAAATCTCGACCCAAACTCAAACCTTGCCGACCCTAGTATGTGAAGTAGCTAATTTATTTATATTGCTATGAATTTTAGTACCGCATCTGCCCCGATTTTGCCGGTGTGTGTGCAAGCTCTCTAAGAGCATGTATGAACACAAAAGAGTACGGTCTCTATAAACATATTTAAAGCGATCCTTTATTTTTGGGTCTAAATAGTATTTTTAATAGACAATATATATTTTGACTAAAGCCACAGCAAACATTGGGAGTACCATGGACTCTGACATCAGTCTTGATTATGCTGATGATATCTGTCTCACAACGCAATCCTTCAAAGACATGGAAGTGATGCTCAGATGCCTAAAAACAGAAGCACACAAAGTAGAATTAAGCATAAACATCGACAAAACAAAATCAATGCGCATCAACACAAATAACAACACTTCATTTAATGTAGGAACCAAAAATGTCGAGAATGTAACAGTGTTTACTTACCTGGGAAGTATTGTAACAGCAAACGGTGGCGCAGAAGCGGATATTGTCAGCAGGATCAGGAAGGCGCAGCGAGGCTTTGGCCAACTAAAATCAGTTTAGACCCCCCGTCAACTCTCCATACAAACAAAATTAAGAATATTCAATTCCAACGTCATACTAGTTTTACTATATGGCTGCGAGACATGAAGAGTGACAAAAATATCTACAACCGCCCACAGGTGTTTATCAATCGTTGCTTGAGAAAAATACTAAAAATATTTTGGCCAGGCACTATACGCAATACCGACCTGCTTCATCTTACAAACCAACAAGAAGTAGGCATTGAAATTCGCAAAAGAAAAAAAAATGGGGTTCGATAGGTCAAACCTGGCGGAAACCTGATGGTAATATAGCGAGATCAGTGTTGGAGTGGAATCCCCAAGGAAAAAAGAAAGCAAGGACGACCTGCTCAAACATGGAGACGTTCCATACTGGATGAGCTTCAACAAGTAGGATCAACATCGAAGGCAGCAAAAACAACTGCCAAAAATAGAACCCGATGGAGAACTTTCACTGAACCCCTTTGCTCCCCGCAGAGATATAGGTTCCTATATACAGGGTGGACCGAACTGTATTCTGGAAACTTCGGCAGCATATTCTGCAGATAAAAATAAGTAAAACAGTTCGTATAAATGTATGTCATAAAATGCTTAGTTTCGAAGATACAGGGTGTAGGTTTCATTTTTATTTCGATTTTTTCCAAATAAGTTTTGAAGTAATGTCAATTTTTGAATGAAAATTTCTTGTCTTGGAGTTTTTTGACATGAAAATTTTTATTTTGGTGTCAATATGACTCCTAACTAGTAGAGGGCGCCACCTGCATGTGTTTTAACTGTTTTGAAGAGTAATAACTTTTTGTCCGTACCTGTATAAAACTACCGAGTAAAAAAATATACATCTCTGTGCCTTTTTACGTAAAAAATATCTCTTTGTAAAAATCGCTACGAGCAACCGTTCTTAAGATATTTAGAGTGGAAATAGACAATACATGTCATTATTGACGAAAAATAAACACGTTGAGTAGATAGTTAGTTCACTGAAATAGTAAATTTGGGAAATCTTTAATTTTTTTAATTAATTATAAATTTTTCTGCAAAAAAATGATAATAAAACAGTTTCTGTTGAACTTTTGGCACAAAAACATTTCAAATGTATGATTTCAGTCTAATACCTATTTAGTCAACATGTTTAATTTATGTCAATGATGACAGGTATTGAGAATTTCGATTCCAAATATCTCGAAAACAATTACTCATAGTAACAAAATCAAATTTATCACGCCAAAATCTCCCAGACACCAATTTTCATCCATATATTGACGTTACTTCCGAAATTATTTAGAAAAAATCGAAATAAAAATGAAACTTCTACACCCTGTATCTCCGAAACTAAGTATTTTAGGACATACATTTATACAAACTTTTTTACTTATTTTTATGTACAGAATATGCTGCCGAAGTTTCCGGAATACAGTTCGGACCACCCTGTATATAAATATATACTAAGGGCTGGCAAAGGTCTTGGGTCGAGATTTCCGTATGTAAGAAGAGTACAATGCGTTTATAATGTACTGAACAAAGAGAGGACAGTAAACACGTTGCCAAACGTATGAAATAAACCGAGAAACTGTGCACATCGCTAAGAGACGTGGAAGGGGATATAGCAGACTTGTCGCAGTTGGCCGGTCGACCCAATCAATACCTCTGTCAGTACTTAAAGTTCTAGGGAAAGGTGAACGTCATGCGTTTAGCTTCACGATTTAATTACGTCTCGTGATACTTGATTTGTTTATTTATTAACGAGTCGTTGTAATTTTCCCTATAGCTTGAATTTTTTTAAGTGCAAGCTAGAAACACTTGCATTTGTGGTAAAAATAAGTGGAATTGAGTGGGTGTTCGATAGTGGTCGCGCTATTAGAACCCTGAATTCAAAAATCGATATCTCGAAATCTATGAGAAATAATAGATTGTAGTTTTTTCAAGAACTTTGTTAATATTTCTGCTGTATTTTCTTTGTAGACAGTATGTGAAAATCTTTATCAATAAAAAAATTACACGATTGCTGAAAATTGCTATGCTCTAAAAGTAAATGGATGGATTGTTTACAATTTTTGAATGGAAAAAACAACCTTATCGAATTTTTCTTATAAAAACATATTGTAAAATATCCGATCTTGAAAATAAAAAAAAGTTTCAATATCTAAAGTGGTTCTTGAGTTATGGCCTGTTATGTGTTAAAAAGTTGAGTTTTTAAATTATCGTGATTACTGACGTTTTCTCGTTATAAAAAAATGACACCCTAACGATATCCTTTAATATCCTGTAATCAAACATTAAATCAGTATTCTATGTAAAAGTCAATTTTGTGACATCCTCTGTTTTTTCCCTTACCCTTCAAATGAGATAAATTAAAACAACCACATTAGTTTTCCTAACTTGATATTTATGAAGTATTTTAGATACTCGTCAGAATTTTTAAACACATCAGACTATGATTCCAGCTTGATATACAACAAAATCTAAACTCTTATACCTAAATATAACTAAATTAAAGATAATTTGAATAATCACTGGATATTTCATAAAAAAATATGTTTTTACCTCAAAAAAATTAAAAATTCTCGCTTATTTCCATTTATAAATAAATAATATTGTACTATGGTTCTTCCTTTACTTCAGCTTCCACTTTGATATCTTCTTCAGCTTTAACATCATCATCCATAGCTTCATCTTTACTATTTTCATGGAGCAAAACATATTCTCTAGAGCTGAAACCGAATTTGATGACATCTCTTTCCAGCAGTTCGACGTATTTCTTAGGTTCTATTTTCTTGTTATTGATAAATGTCCCGTTCGCAGATTCCAAATCAATCAAGTATGGTCTAACTCGTTTACCTAAAAAATAAGTGTTTTTCATTAAAAAAAAATAAAATATATTTTTTAAAAAAATAGATAAGTTAATATAATTATCTAATAAGAGAAAAACACATAGGCTACTGAAACAACATAGTCAAATTTTCTTATCCTAATTGTTTTTGACAAGAAGTAAATAAATTCGCAAATACAGAATAGAACTTTGCAATGGAGTTTAATGATGAAAAAAAATTGAAAAACAGTTCAAAAAAATTGTGTGTGCACTATGTGCGCATATTTGAAGTGAAACATCTTACTAACAGCTATTAAAAAAGTTAAAACCGTATACTATTCTACCGTATGATCGAATAAAAACGGCGTCCAGTTGGCTTGGAAATGACGATCGATGGCATTTCCTATATAAATTTACATATAAAATGACAGCGATCTTCATTTCATAGCCATCGCTGACGCCGTTTTTATTCGATCATACGGTAGCTTTATAATTTAATGTTTTTTTTAATATTTATTAAAAAAACGATAATTCTATCACTCGGCCGGATAGCTTGGCGGCCGTGGCCATTAAACCAAACTACTACATCTATATCTCTGATTGATTACTACTAACTGCTACTAACCAACAATTCGTTTTGTGTGGTCTCTGGTCTGTTTTTGTTTAAATGTTTTGTTCATTATTCATGTTGGGGATTTATTTTTAAATTAATGTTAATCGTTAGGCAAACTCATAGAATATGTATTTCTTTTGCATAATCAAAATTGTCAATCACATAACCAAATTGTTACTCTAAATCGCTGTCTTTTTTAGGCAGACGTCATTTGTCTTGTCATTATTCAATTCATTATTCGAATTCTCAGAATGTTGTTAACAAAATTTTCATTTAAAAATAAAATTTTAATCAATCACAATTGTTTATCTCCATCATTTACCGGATTAATAATACAGAAATTACAGTTCAATTACAAACAATTAATTATTTATAGCGATTTACAGAAATTTTATTAAATTATATGAATATTCTCGTTGAATATTGCGAGTTACTAACTCTAAATTCTAATTCTGAGCTGGCAAATGAACTAGGTGCTTTACCTAGACCATTATTCAGAAGCTACAAACCTATCGATGAAAATATGCATGAAATCAACATCAAAAGGTTGGTACAATATCAAGTTTATTATAGTGATTTTCTTAGCCGCGTATGGTATAAATCGTTATCCAGTGTTGCCACAAACTTATTTTACATCGGGGTAGATTATCATGAGATAGCCGGGTTAGATTGTTTTATAAAGGGGTATCTACCCCGCTAGCTTGCACATGGCACTCGCGTTACGGCCGTCACTCAAGGCCGTAACCGAATTTTTATTCCCAACGCGCGTAAAGTAGTTTCACTTCAAAAATTAAATTGAGATAAGGAGACCAATTGAGGTTGGCGTGCACGTCACCTCGTGGTTTGTGTAATAATTACAGTTAGCGGTTGGAACCTTTGGTGTTATAACAGCAAAATAAAACACTAAATCACCAAAATGCACTAAAATACTTTTACTTTTACACTGGACGCGCGTTTTGCTAACCATGTTAGCATGACCAGCAGATGATTAAAACAGTTAATTCAGTTTTAATGTTTTGGAGTTTTGGAGCTTTGGAGCACTTGGAGCAACAAGGACGTCACGGCACTTCATAGGATTATATCAAATGACTTAATCACCATTAAATCTTGATGCGATTCGAACCTCCTGAGTCTCAACATTTCTAAAACTAAAGCTTTGTCATATACAATCTCGCTGCAGCCTTTTGTACTTAACAACAACACCACGTCGTAAAATCTGTAAAATTCTTAGGGCTTGTTGTAGACAATTCTCTAAAATGGGACATGCATATCGACGCTTTGTCGAAAAATTAAGCTCTGCCTGTTTTGCATTAAGATCTGTTTCTAAGGAGCTTAACTTGTCAGTGGCTAGAACTGTTTATAATGCACTTTTTGAGTCGCACCTCAGATATGCCCTTCCATTCTGACCGTATTTCCAAGCTCCAGAAGAGAGCTGTTCGATATTCACTGGGACTCATTGCCAGGACAACAGAACTCATTGCCAGGACTTTTTTAAAAAATTAAAAAAATTAACTCTTCCTTCCTTATTTATATTTGAATCCGTTTGCCTATTACGTAAGCATGTATCAGCTTCTCAAGAAAGGCCATCTCACACTTATCTAAAATAGCGGACGCGACGCGAACAGAATTCTTTCCGAACCGATAACTATAAATGAAGAGAGTTAATGCCACCTCACGTAAAGGAAATAACACCTGGTCTTATTAACGTCCATGCACGCTATTCGGTTTAGCGATATCTCTCTATTACGCTGTTTATTGTTATTTTACGCGAGTTTATTTTTGCGCACAGGAAATTTTACTTGTTTGCACATCGTCATAAAAAACAATTTTCGTACCACGAAATAGGGACAAGATTTTTATCTGTATACTTATAGGATACCTAATCTGTGATAGAACTTGGGTTTAACGATGAAAAAAAATTGAAAAACAGTTCAAGTTCATTTTTTCAAAAAATGTGCGCATATTTGATGTGAAACATCTTACTAACAGCTATTAAATTGAAGGATTTGAAGGATATACATATAGTTTTATGAATACTTTTTATAAACTTCAAAAAAATTTGAGTCAAAACCGTATACTATTCTAGCTTTATAATTTAATGTTTTTTTTTTAATATTTATTAAAACGCTTTGTCTACTTACCCCACGCTCAGAGTTAGTTAAAAGTTCAATATTATACAACTTGAAAAAAATGCACAATCACCTGCCATTTGAAATCAAATCCATAACATCATTTTCTTCATTTCGCAACGCATTGAAATCTTATTTACTAGACAATAAGGCTTTCTACGCCGTAAATAACTTATATTTTGATAATCGAATTTGATCTTGTAAACACTGGTCTAATATTTGCTATTACTATATTTACTATAAACTTACTAAATATTTTTGAATCTTATTTTTATTTTTTTATTCTTTGACATTCTAAACATTTATAAATGTTTATTTTAAACAATAAGACTGACTATGTAATTTGTATACTTGTTTTGTTTTATACTTGTTAGTTTTTATATTTTGTTTTGTATTCTCTTTTGTTTGTTTACTTTACCTGTGTCTACAAATTGTATTTTTTTTTTTGACAATAAAGGCATTTATTTATTTAAGTTTTACTGATTTGCCTACTACCTACATTAACATAAATTTCTTACCAGATGATCCATCTTCCCTAGTAAATGGTACCAATCTATACTGTAAGGCTGCATGCTGTTTTGAACATGAAGGATGATCAACAGGTAAATCAACAACCTTCCTATCTCTACCAATTAAATATCCGCTTTCTCTGTGAATGTACAGTGTTTGTAAGGCCTTTTCTCCCTTGAACGGGTACAGTCTCCATCTTCTTCTGGGTTTTCTTGCTTCCGGTGGTTCACTAAAGATATCAAAAAATATGTGGTTATATATTATTTTTGTGGTAAACAAAAATTATTCAAAATTACCTATATTTAATGACGACTCCTCTATATGTGTTTGTCTCTTCGGTTAATTTTCCGGACAAGGAAAAATTAGGTTTCTCCTTTTCTCCACCTTGTTTCCTATCATTTTTCGAATCGCCCTTCTCATTTTTACCCCATTTCGCATTTGCATGGTCGTAGGACCTACTTCGACTTCTAAATCTCTTGTTGCCTCTGCAATTAAAAAAAATAATTATTACAAAGCTAATATACTATATATTATAATCTGCCCCACAAGGGAACCTATTTAGAAATTTATATTATAAGTCTAATAAATCAACTTTTACAGTAAAAGTGAGATATTTATCAGACCTTCAAAATGAATACTGTAAAAGTTAATTGTAGGTGAATGATTTACAATGTCTATGTTTAGAAAAATTTGTAGAATGAAAAACAGAAACGTGTTTGCATGTAATTGGTTTCGGCTATGCTAAAGTTGAAAAACTGAAAATGATGCATTTCCGCAGAAAAATGTTTTTGACATACAATTCAAAAAGGCTTAGAAATCTATACTAATATATAAAATCATTAAGTGACTGACATACTGATTAATCACGATCCTGCTCAAACCAGGTTGAAACCTACAGGTTGATTCTAGGGTGTAGAGGAGGTTCGACAAGAAGGGATTTTTCGAAATTCCAGTTCCAAGAGGGTGAAACTACCCCTCAAATATTACAATATTTTTTATTTAAAAAACGTTCAAGTTTCCGAAAAAACGCTTAAACACGTATATTTTATTTTATTTTTTTACATATTTTAAGATTTTTTAAAAATGTATACAGGGTGTTTCGAAAAATCTGGTCATTGATTAATCACGATCCTGCTTAAAGCGCTTGACGTAAAAAACTGATTTTTGAAAAACAGATTGACTTTAGGGTGTAGAGGTTCGATAAGAAGGGATTTTTCGAAACTCGAATTCTAAGGGGGTGAAACTATCCCTCAAATATTAAAATATTTTTTATCTAAAAACCAGTGAGTTTTTCGGAAAAACTCTTTAACACTTATATTTTCTCTTGTTTTTTTAAAAGATTTTTTATAAATGTATACAGGGTGTTTCATAAAATATGACCATTGAGTAATCACGATTCTGCTTAAACTGCTTGACGTTTAAAGCTGATTTTTGGCAAACGGATTGACTGTGGGGTGTAGAGGTTCGATAAGGAGGGGTTTCCCGAATCTCAAATTCCAAGAGGGTGAAAACGCCCCTCAAATATTACAATATTTGTTATTTAAAAAACGGTTAGTCTTTCGGGAAAACGCTTGGACAAGCATAATTTATTTGTTTTTTTTACATATTTTGAAATTTTTTAAAAAATCATACAGGGTGTTCCAAAAAGTTGGGTAATTTCTTAACCACGATTCTGCTTAAACTGCTTGACATAAAAAGCTTATTTTTGGCAAACAGTTTTTTCGAAAAGTCAAATTCCAACAAGATGAAACTACCCCTCAAATATTACCAAGTTATATAATAATATCGCCATATTGTTTTTTCTCATGCTGACATAAATGTGAGAAAATTTTATCCAGTTTGTATGTTAATGGAAATTCTTGCTTTGCTTTATCATCACCATTACAAATGATTAATTCGATACGAACGAAGTCGCTGGTACACGCGAGTACTAAATAAACAAATATTTGTTACAAAACTGATTTCAAGTAAACGAAAGTAGCCCTGATTTCAGCTATTCTAAAGTTGAAAAACTATGCATTTCTGCAGAAACTTTTTTATAACATACTATTCGAAAAGGCTTCCAAATACTAAATAAACAATATATTTCTTACATAACTGATTTCAAGTAAACCAAACTTGGGCCTAAACTTTTTCTACATATTTATATTTTACTTTACCTCCTATCTCGATTAAACTGATCTCTCCTATCTCTGTTATGAAAACCACCTCTTCTATTGTCATCTCTATCTCTATTATCTCTAAACTGCCTCCTTCCATCATCCCTTTCATTATCTCTTGAACTGTTATGTCCACTTCTTCTGTCCCTGTCAGCATCTCGTCTACTATATTCCCTTGACTTAGATCGTTCCCTATGTTGGTATCTTCTATCACGTGATTGTGACCTAGATACAGATCTGTTACGAGACCTTTGATCAGACCTGGAGTGGGTGTAATCTTCTGAAGATCGTTTCTGATTTCTGGAAATGTATTTGTATTTGTTTTAGCTTTAATAGAATCTGGGAGGATTACTGAAAATTATTCGCGTAAAAATAAGTTATCCAATCCTAGAAAACAATATATATTTTAGTTTCTAAAATTAATAAAGTATTTCTCGCTACACTATTTCAAAACATACCTTTGAGTTTTCGATGTTTTTGATTTGTCTACACTTTCCTCTGAACTGTCCCTTTTTCTGTCTTTCTTTTTACGGTGAGTTGACTCGTTCGATGATGCTGAAGCTTCGCTGTCCGATGATGATGATCTTTCCCGTTTATGGTGTTTTTTTGGAGCCATTTTTTATAAACAAAACAGATAAAACTCAAACAGGAAAGGCACACAAAAATTTGACTTCTAAAAATGAGGTTAGATGTTAATTATGTCTACAGAATAAATAATATACTTCTTCATTAGGACATTTTAGTTGAAATCTGGTTATGCTTAGGGGGGTTTCATTTAATATGTCTAAATTTATATGATCTCTAATAACCAGGAAAAAATTGGAAATGGAAGTACGATAAAAATTATTGTATACGGCGCTAATTCAAATTAATCTATAAATATCTATTTTATGTAAATTAATTCTAAATGAAACGCTAAAGAAACTGATACAAAGAAAAAAAGAAACATTAGCAGGACAAAAGCTGTGTGTGCGGATTTATGATATAAAATACAGATGCATAATATAATACATATAATAATTCTAATAATCCTTTTTACTTAAGGTCATTACCAGAGGATTTATTAATATAAATAACTGATTTTTTGTAAAATTTTTGGTGAAACGCTTTACTTCAAACACAAATGTACCTATCTAATAGTACATTACCAGAAACTACTTTTATTTTTAATTAAATATATTTTGTTTGTTTCAAGAAAAAGTAGAGACCCAAAAAAATTAATATAATTAAAAATGCAAAGGTGTATATATATACATACCTCAAAGTAAAATTATGAGTTTTATTTACTTTTGAAAAAAAATATATTTTATCCTTGTATAACTGTACTATATTATATAATAAAAGCGAAAAAAAAATTCGTAAAAAATAATATAAATATATATATCTAAAAAATACTTAGTTCATACTAGGTTCTCATATATGTTTCTAAGTTATACTTGCTATTTAGCATGGAGAAATAGAAAGAAATTGCAAAGAGTACCTATATATTTCTTTTATTTTTTACTTTAAGGTACCTTATTTTTTACTTTAAGGTACACTTTTTACCTTTTGTAGTTTCAAATTAAAAGTAAAAGCAATAATTTAATATACATACCTACTAGAGATTAAATTAGAATAGCACTCACATGTCCTTTAAATAATTATAAAATCCACACAACTCTAAACACAACGTCACAGTATGATGGCACTCAATATATGCACTATATAAATAAAGACTGGAGATCTCAAGAACTACCCTGAGCTTAAATAGGTACCTACTCAAGAAGTAAAAGGCAATAAGACGCCCCCAGTTATAGGTAGATAAATATACAGGGTGGTGCAATCGAGGACGAGTTGCTCTACGAAAAAATTGGTACCATCCCTAATGACACCCTAATAAAACCCTTCAACTACAATCCCGAGGACTATAGAAACCAATTTTTCAATTATCCCCATCTGAAAACTATTCTTCTGGAAAATTAATTTTGTCTTACCACCCTTACCCCTTATTCCTTTAAAATAGTCCTCCCAAAACCCCACAATTAATAAACCCCTTTTTTTTCTCTCCAATATCAGCAGGAATAATAGCTGGCCATACTTCGGCAGCTGGTTCCTCGGAGGTGGATTGTTTTTAGTGGGTAACAATCCGAGCCCCTCACTGTCTATTAGCGTTCATCTCTATATGATCGTCTCTCTCGAGATGGTGATGAGTTGCGGGTGTTATAAATATGGTAACGATTTAACACCCTGTATCTTGAGTAAGAGGCATTTCCGACCCATAGTGTGCTATATCAAAATTAATATTTTGACGTCCCCTATCATTCCCCGAAAGCATGACCGACTTACAGGAATCACCCTGTATAGGATTTAAATTCCGGTTTATCAGTGCCGTACTAATAATTTCATTTAAAAAGTACAAAAATATAAAGCAGGGCAGACCCTATAATTTGTTAGTTTTGTTTTTTGTCAATTTTTAAAAAATATATATTTCTAATAAAAATAGTTAAAAATATATAATTAAAATACTAGATACGCTACTGAAATACTTAAGTCAAATTTACATATACAGGGTGTTTCAGAACAAATGCGAAAAACTTCAGGGGGTGATTCCTTGTTAAAAATAAAGGGTAGTTTGCTTTATAAACGTTGGGTCAAAAGTCAATCATTAGGGAGATATCGCAGTACAAAGATGGCGAAAAAACAATGTTTTTATTTTTTATCTTGAAAACAAAAAGAGATAGACTAATGAAATTTTATGGAAGCATTACTGTTATGAAAACACACTTTCTGGTAATTTTTTCATTTTTTTAAAATGAGTGGAAGGGGTTGAAATAAACTACCCCTATCATTCTTGTTAACGAAATTTAAAGAAAAATCGTATCAAACACATGCAAAAAAGTAATTGGATAGTTCAGTTTATTTAGAAACTTTTTTATCTCTTGTGTTTTTTTTTATAAAACTCACCGATTTAAAATTAAAAAATAAAATGTAAAGCATTACATGTCAGGGCAGAAAACATTTTTAGATAAAGAAAAAAGGCTTCCGAATAATTAATTGATCGTAAGATAATAACGTATTGCAGTAGAGTATGTCAAATTAAATAATATTAGAAATATCCTAAAAGTGACAGCGGTCGACTAGAGTTTTCCTAAGAAAATTACAGCAGCCAACTAGATTCTTTATCTAAAAATGTTTTTTGTCCTGACATGTAATGCTTTACATTTTATTTTTTAATTTCAAATCGGTGACTTTTATCAAAAAAACACAAGAGATAAAAAAGTTTCTAAATCAACTAAACTATCCAAATTAATGCATCTTGCATGTGTTTGATAAGATTTTTCTTTAAATTTCGTTAACAAGAATGATAGGGGTAGTTTATTTCAACCCCTTCCACTCATTTTAAAAAAGTAAAAAAAATACCAGAAAGTGTGTTTTTATAACAGTAATGCTCCTATAAAATTTCATTAGTCTATCGCTTTTCGTTTTCAAGATAAAAAATAAAAACATTATTTTTCCGCCATCTTTGTTCCGCGATATCTCCCTAATGGTTGACTTTTGACCCAACATTTATAAAGCAAACTACCCTTTATTTTTAACAAGGAATCACCCCCTGAAGTTTTTCGCATTTGTTTTGAAACACCCTGTATATATGCTAATTAATTTTGAGAAGTAGAGTAGTAAATTATTAGTTAGTTCTAAGAAGGTTCTAGTTTGAGCCACATGCAATAGGCCTTCGTGGCCACAATTTTAGTAAATACAATAAAATAGTTCTAAAGCGAATTTAATAATAATTGTATGCTTTACTACAAGCCTTGTTCTACAAGTAACTTATTTTATATAGTTACTCTTCTGCATTGCATAGATAATATAGGTAACATGCATGGAATATGGATATCAATATTATACTCCTTTCTTAATTTTTTTATTTAAAGAATTTCCAAATGAAAAAAGTGCCAAATTGAAGATTTTGTTTTCTGTAGACCTTTATAAGTACATAATATATGGTGACCTAAAAATTCATAGTTTTAATTTTTTTACTATTAATTAATAATTACAGAAAACGGTAACAAAAACATTGAATTATCTGTTATGTGTAGGTCTTAGTCTTAGATTATATTGTTGTAGTACTCTTTATATTAATTCTGTTATTACCATTAATTACTATATATTGCCCTGTTATTACCTGAAAACTAAAGTACAATACATTATTTAAAGTGCCTATAATAATAAAGGTTTCCCTTTCTATAATAGTATTGTGAGTAAATGTAAATTATACCTACGAGTTCATTTATGTGTGTGCAATTAAGTCAATAAAATTTAGTATTATAAATACCTCTGGTTTCGATATTAAAAAACATCAAAAGAAAAATAATAATAGACACATGAAAATTTTAATGTTGAATATAAAATGAGGCTAAAAAGTGTAAGGATTTAGCAACAAATTGGTTTAAAAAAATTACAAAAATATATAGAGCTCTACAGGGTGTCCTCAAAAAAAGTTAGGCATCGAACTTGTTTTTTTTGTAATGGAACACCCTACATATTCATTGATTTTTGGATTCTACGAAAAAAATAAAGCTGAGTTTCATTAAAAAAGCACATGGCTAAAACGTATGGATTTTGACATATTTCATATTTTGTGAAAATGAGGAATACATTTTAAATTTCAATAATAGCTACCTAAATTGTAATTCATCCTGTATAGCCTGATATTTAATTATAACCTTAATAAGCATTGTATGTAAAACCAATTTAAGATTTGACCCGAAAATTATCCAGGGTGAGACAAAATTCAATATGAAACACTAGTCACTTTTAAAAGCAAGTTACTCCTTTATTTCAAATGGAACACCCAGTATATTATTCCGGTGTTGAACGAGGAATTCATATATCTTCAAAATATTATCAAGGTTACTTACCCCGCAGACAAAGATTTTTCTGCATATTTTAATTTTTATGATTTTGCGTGAGTATATCTTTATTATTTGAAAAAAATCTAGGTGGCTTATTACTGAGCTAAAAAATTTTATTCATAAAATAATTAACTAGAAAGAAGTGTCAACTCTGTGTTGAATCGTGGTAAAAATCGTGGAAACAGAATACGCCACCAAAAAGCCTTCGTTGTCATCTGGAGAACTAATGTTCCAATTGGCAGTTTTTTATTTCCATTTCCAGTTATTCAATGGCGGACCCTCTTTCAGTTTAAATGTATCTTGTACTCTTTCTTATCATAAATAAAACAAAATAAAAATTTATTTAAATATAGTTATTTGAAATATGAGACGAGACTAAATAAATATAAAAAATGGAGAATTGTATTGTTTCAGTATTAATTACTTAATTATATGTAGTTTTAACATAAATTAGTAAGGCACGAGGAATTAGTAAGGCACTCGGTAAGGTATAAGCACGGCATATAAATCACACGGCAGGCTAACTCTGCCCAGATCCCATTGTTTAAAATTTCTATAAAATTTGACTTTGAAAACACTATTATGGGTGCCGAGTCAGGGCCGGATTAAATGGTATCAAAAAATTTCCCAGAAAATAAACTATTGATAAACAGGGTCATATTAAAAAAATACTGTGATTGACTGAAACTGAATTTTATTTACACAATACTTTTATCTAAACAAATGAACCGTTAACCGCGCATACTCCTCAAAAAGTAAAAATGAAAAAATCAATTAAACATTTAACTTTAGAGAATAAACAATTAAAATTAAAAAACATGCCAGGAGTTACAAACAAGAATTAAAGAAATACCCTTTGAATAAGAAGACTAAGGAAGGAGCATATCAAAAATCTTAGGTACACCGCGATGGGCCTCAAATATGGCCGACTTAAATTCCGGTTTATCAGTGTCGTTCTAATTTTATTTAAAAAATGTAAAACTATGATGTAGGGTAGACGTGGGGTAGACTCAATAATTTGTTGTTTTATTTTACGTTGTGAATAAATGTTGGTAGTTATTAAAATTGTTATAAAAATATATAATTCTAATAAAAATAGATAAGTTATAATAAGTATTTATTAACACAAACATCCGATACGCTACTGAAGCAGGTAAGTCAAATTAACGTATCTAAATTCTTAGACATCTAATCTTTGACAAGTAATAAATAAAAGCTAAAATGCAAGAAAAATATATAATTTAGTTAATTTAAGTGAATTTCATAAATGATCGGTTTACTACACGCATGTATATTATATAGTCACTTACTAGCGGAAAGTTGTTCCATTATTTCACTCAATTTTTGCCGAGATCTACCGCATGCTACACAACCAACTATTTTAGAGTCTTTTTCGATAAATCGCGATAGTGTCACTGTTAATTTAAGTTCTGCCACAATTTCCATCTAGATTTACTACCTTTATACAACTATCAGTAGTAGAATAAATAATAAATAACATAAAATCAGCTCCGTAAAGACTGACAAATCCACAAAATTTCAAATCAAATTCAAATGTGTCAAATGAATCGTCAAACAGAACTGTCAAGGATCCCCACCCTAGAGAGCTTTTATGGTGCCTTTTCCGCCCACCATGCATGAATACATGGATAGCATTATGCTCCTTCCTTAGTCTTCTTATTCAAAGGAAATACCCAATAAAATATCTATTGAACAATCTAAAGAGACTACGTACAAATTATGTCCATCAATGGCAAATAGCAAATTTTGTTAATATTCAAATTGCACAAATTAACAAATCAGTTAAAGGCAGAAAAGTAACTGATGAATTTAAATATAAATGTTTGACTATATTTATAAAAGCCGAGCCGTCAAAAAAAATTTGACCCGTCACATTTGACAGCTGTCAAAAAAATTTCAAAGTTGTCCGATTTTGATAAAAATCGATATATAGGATGGCCATGGGCTAATATGAAAGAAAAAAAAATTGAGCTGTCAAATTTAACAGCTGTCAAAAAAATTTCAATGTTGTCCGATTTTGATAAAAATCTATATATAGGATGGCCATGGGTTAAAATGAAAGAAAAAAAAATTGAGCTGTCAAATTTGACAGCTGTCAAAAAAATCTCAAAGTTGTCCTTTGATAAAAATTGATATATTGGATGCTCCCTACCCCATAGTCGGTTTTCATTTTATTTGTCTCACATTTGAACTGTCAAATTTGGCATCTGTCGTTTTTTTAAGTTCTCCTTTTTTTTAAGAAAATCGATACACATATTATTAGGATGCCCATAGGAAGTGATTTAAGAAAAAGAATTGAGTTTAAGTGTGTGGCACTGAGAAACCAGCATAACTTAAAAAGTAAAAAATAAATTTAAGAAAAAAAACTTTTTAAAAACAAGCTTTTATTTAAATACATTAAAAAGAAAAAATAAACTTTTTCTTTAAAACTTTTATTATGAACTTATAACGTCATTACACAATTTTATATTATATAAAAGCTTGTCGCAAGATTTGAGTGTACAGTTGCACTCATAAAAATCTGGTACGACAACTTTATCTTGTAATTCCTGTAATTCTTGTAATTCCAATATCTTGTAAACCTATCATTATTCCCATCCAGGATAAATTCATCCAGTTAGAAAAACATTTAAAAAACTTTGTGTCCGAATATTACACACGGGTACTGAAAATTTCCAAAATGATCTGGCAAACATCTTATTAAAAACGGCAGACCTTATAAAAAACAACGAGACATCTGTTCTTGTCTCTCTGAATTGTCATGAGCTATCCATAAAAATTAAAAATAGATACGGATAATCAGAAAAACAGTAATTTAGAAATGAATCTTGTTTGTCATTTTGCAGGATACCTAATAATAAAAACTACTTTGAATGCCATGCCGCAGACAATGATTGAGTATTAAAACTAAAAAGAATTTCGGACTTCCATTGTACTACTAAACTACAAAAACCAAATATATCACACACACAATAAACGAAAATAAAACTAAAAAAAAAACAAAATATATCAATCAAGAAAAGAATGAAATAAATTAAGCCACACGCTACTGACTCAAAGCTGCCGTAACTGTATGTTGTCGATGAAAAAGACTACGACTGACTACAGGGGTTTTTGGAAACTGGGATCTGATTGATAGGATTACTAATCCAGACGTTCGAAAAGTGATCTCAAAACGAGTCAATGCGTTCGGAAAGTGATCCGAATAACTCGATTTTTGCCATATGTTGTGATCCTACTAACCCTCCTAACGAGGTGGGTAGAATTAATCAGCTGATCATTTCTAGGGTAACACTGTATTTATTGAAGGGCTTCCCCGAAAAACGTTGTAACCGACATTTTTTTCAAAATAGAGAATTCAGTGAAATAAGGTTGTAATTTTCATAGGTATAACGTTTTTTCCTCGGTTTTTTTTTCACTGAAATTTCGATATTGAAAAAATTGTTGATTACAACCGAGGAACCATTCAATTAATATTACATTAATGTTTACTAATCAATATTAACCAAAATAAATTCGACTTATTTATATTACTAACCTTCCTAATTTTTGTAAATAAGCTCAATTTTTCATGTGTTAAATTAACAACAAACACAAACAGCAAAAATTAACAAGTTAAATCAACAAAAACCATTAACAAACAACAATAAATAATTTTAACAACTTTACAGTCTTTAGACTGTTAATTACACGCCGAAGTAGCCGAATATTAGCATAAAGGAAGACGAAGCCAACTGCCCAAAAACTCATTCACATCGGTCGCCGATAAAAAATTTCGGGGCGGGGAATTGACATGTTGCCGCTAAGCTGACGTCACGTTACCATGGAAACGGTGCAGCCGCTCGGCTCACAAATATTTTCACTTCACTTGTGGCTTCGTGAAAACGTAGGCGCGTGCGGGCCAATAATGCTACTTATTCGGTCGGAATTAACGATGCGGTGGACCCTTTGAATAAGAAGACTAAGGAAGGAGCATATCAAAAATCTTAGGTACACCGCGATGAGCCTCAAATATGGCCGACTTAAATTCCGGTTTATCAGTGTCGTTCTAATTTTATTTAAAAAATGTAAAACTATGGTGTAGGGTAGACGTGGGGTAGACTCAATAATTTGTTGTTTTATTTTACGTTGTGAATAAATGTTGGTAGTTACTAAAATTGTTATAAAAATATATAATTCTAATAAAAATAGATAAGTTATAATAAGTATTTATTAACACAAACATCCGATACGCTACTGAAGCAGGTAAGTCAAATTAACGTATCTAAATTCTTTGACATCTAATCTTTGATAAGTAATAAATAAAAGCTAAAATGCAAGAAAAATATATAATTTAGTTAATTTAAGTGAATTTCATAAATGATCGCTTTACTACACGTATGTATATTATATAGTCACTTACTAGCGAAAAGTTGTTCCATTATTTCACTCAATTTTTGCCGAGATCTACCGCACGCTACACAACCAACTATTTTAGAGTCTTTTTCGATAAATCGCGATAGTGTCACTGTTAATTTAAGTTCTGCCACAATTTCCATCTAGATTTACTACCTTTATACAACTATCAGTAGTGGAATAAATAATAAATAACATAAAATAAGCTCCGTAAAGACTGACAAATCCACAAAATTTCAAATCAAATTCAAATGTGTCAAATGAATCGTCAAACAGAACTGTCAAGGATCCCCACCCTAGAGAGCTTTTATGGTGGCTTTTCCGCCCACCATGCATGAATACATGGATAGCATTATGCTCCTTCCTTAGTCTTCTTATTCAAAGGGTGGACCTATTATGCAGTTTTTCGTTATTCGTTTCGGAAAAAAAATAATTTATAAAAAATGACCATTTTATTATTTAGATACATGTAAATATATTAAACTAAATTAATATTTTAAACAGTAAAGTTTTTTCTTTAATTTGATTATTTTTTTCGGTGAAGTGCTCCTTCACCTACTGCACCTGATGAGCCACCACTGAGTTTCAGAGTGACAATTAAAGAAAATGTAATAGAAAGAAGCGGAAGAATTGGCAGAACTGGGTTTTTAATTATTTGAAGTAACACTATAAACCATATTTTTAACTTATTTCCGAATAAATACGTTTTGTCCAACCACTGGTGTATGTCCTACTACTCGCATATTCATTCTACTCGCTATTTAAGCTCGTGAAACTGTTGTTTACGGGACTCTCCGATGGTAGCAGCACCGGTGGAGAATGCACTAAGCCTCTATAACAATTTATAAAACAATAAACACTGGTATATTAAAAAAAATGGTATTAAATAAATTACACAAAAATAATTTATTTATTGTCCAGTATAAAAAATCAGTAGGTAATTACATCATGTTGTAAAACTAAATTAATATAACCAACTACATATAGTTAACATAAAAAAATCACACAAATTATCAGTCAAAATAATAAAAATAATTCAACATGAACCCACAAGCCAGCTAACACTATTTCAGTCTATCGAATGCATTGCCTCAATGCACTTGGCTTTGCCTTAACTCCATTTTCCTTGTCCTTGGTTTTGACGGGATCTTTCACAAAGCATCTCCACAATCGCAGTGTTTCATCTGCGCCTGCAGATAGAATGGTTGTTCCGTCAGGGGACAGAGCTAGATGGAGTACTCTAGCTGTGTGCCCGTTCAATTCGGCCACCTAAAATCGTTAAAATTGTTAGAATTCTCTAGCAACTTATTGAGTAGTGTATACATACTTTGGTCATTGCAGGATATTTCCAAATACTGACTTCGTTATTTGCGAATCCGTGTCCAGAAACTAGCTCTTTATAGTTTTGAGCCCATAATAGAGCACAAACCTAAAGAAATATATTGGGTGTTGTTTCAAAAAATTTAAAAATATAATTAAAATACATAAAAGTAAAAAAATGACAGTGTGGTCCAGTATTCCGAAAAAGCACGATGTCAGTTTTACTGAGATTTTCTATATAATTTTATTATAAGAGATAATCTATCTAAAATATTTTCATAGATGTACAGGGTGAGTCAACGATAAAGTAAAGTCCATTATCTCATTTGTTTCAAGGTTTATAAAAAAATGTTAAATATAAAAGTTATAGGGAAGGTTAAAATACACATTTTAAATTTATTATAGGGTATACAGGGTGCCTCAAAAAAGTGTGGTGGATATAACATATGTTTTTTTAAAGACAATATGCTATTTTATATTTTATTTTTAGATTCTGCTTAAAATTTTATAACCTTTTTATATATAATGTTATATACTTAAATTTAATAGTTTTTGTAATATTTCAATTTGTTTAAACAAATGTTAATAGATTTCAGTGTAGTAAAAAATTGTCAGTTATGACATTATATCCGAAGTTGGTCTACCAAAATTTGGTAGGAGAGTTTTATAGAGATGAAAAAAAGATAGATGTAAAGATATTTTAGTTAAATGCTACAGGGTGTTCAAAATATATTTATGAATTTCTACAACTTAAAAATAAAAATCTGAAATTTTTTAAATCGAACCCCCTATATAATATAATTTTTTCTGATAGATTTTACAAAACTCTTCAATTTTATTAAGTATGTCACTTACCTATTTTTAATAGTTCGCGATTTATTCCAGTTTATTCTATTTTTATCCATATTTTTAATACAATTACGCTATAACATCATAGTTACCATGAAAAAATGTAAGAATTATCAAAATTTTATATATCTGCTAAGCAAATTAACACCTTTATCAATTTATATTACGTTTTATCGTTTTATCTGTTAAGTAAGTTTTGAACACCCTGTAGCATCTATCTAAAATTCTTCTACCAAATTTTAGTTCTCCAACTTCAGAAACAATGACATCACTGAGTATTATTTACCACACTGACTTCTAACATTTGATCAAACAAATTAAACAAAAACTATTAACCTCACCCTGTACATGATTCAAACATATTTTCATACTAAAGTTGGTTTTTTAAAGGGAATGCTGTGTGTTTTCGTACTATAGGCTTGGTGCATTTCAGTTGACTTAGACAAAAATTCCGACCGCAGCGCTCGAACGGCAGAAATCAGAAGTTTTCCGTATTTCAATGTTTATATCCTTATCTGTAGTCCACTGTATGTAAAATAATTTATCATTTTTCGTTAGAAATAAAATCAGTCAATATAATATGTTTTTAAACAATATCGCAAACCTGTGAAAGTTGCTGTTTCTTTTCGCCCTTTATATAGGGAATACCGCGAAATGTCATAAAGCAAAGTCAGCGTAAATATTCCCTGGAAGTAAGCCGCTGTGCCCCTTGAACGCACCCATAATCATCTACTTAACCATATTTTAATTTTGAAAGATTTTTACTTAAACGAATCGAGATATAGAAATTTAATATTAATATGGCCGTGTTTCAAGAATATCTTGGTAGATAAATGATAACATAATGGTATTTTTGAAATCGGAAACTATTTTATAAAAAAAAACGTTTCTATTTTTTAAAAATATTTTTCTTTCTATCTTCACTGTCTGCATATTTTGTGTAATAAATATTGAAGGAAAAACCGCAAAAAATAACCTGATATGTAGCTTTTTCAGAACACTAGGTCAAGCCATATTCCATAACATAAATACTTAATCGAATTCCAAAAACAATCAAACAAAAAATAAACCTGTGACTTAGCATCTGTGGCATTCACACAAGATCCGGTATTACAATTCCACACGCGAATATGCCTATCCGCCGTTCCGCCACCGCTAGCTAAAATATGTGGTTGCCATGGGCACCAGGCCAGAGCTTTTACGGCAGCCTGATGATGAGTGAATACATGTAAGGGGGTCGATTCGGTATGGAACCCTTCATTTACTGCCGCCCATATATTAAGGACATTGTCGTTTCCTCCACTTGCCAAATATTTGCCATCGGGTGACCACTTCAAGCCACATACTTCTTGAGTATGGCCTGAGATTTGAAATAATAAACATGTTTATACAAAGTGTAAATTGCAAAAAATTCAGGTTAAAATTTAAAAAATAAAGAGGAATTTATATAAAATATTTGGATAATATAAAATATTTAGTATAAGAAACATACCGCTAATTGTTGTTACAATATGCTCTCTTTGCCGAACATCATGATGAATAATTTGCCCGCTTCTACATCCACTGGTTAAAATATAGGAATTCCAAGCCAAAGCTCCAACTCTAGCTGAGTGACCATTCATTACTCTAAGTCTCTTAGTTCTGGAACAATCCCACAGCTCAACTGTACCTTCCATTGTGCCTACAGCTAAACAATCACCCTCTTGCATCCAAGCCAATGAGCATACATAATCATTGCCTTCTAATTCCAAAAGCTGTGAGATATTGCCAGTTCCTGTTTAAAATAAACATAATTTATATAAAATACATATATTAAATATCTTTATAATCAAAACATACCTGCATTCCACAGATAAACCCTTGAACCTAAAGCTGCAGCTAATATATTATTTGAACCCCAGTCCATTAAATTCAGATAATAATCATCAACAATGTCGGGTGCATCTAAAATCCGATCGGGAGCTTGTGGAATATATCTGTTTGTATTTCTAACTGAAGCTGGTGTTTTTGTTTGAGAATACAACACTCTCATAGGATTCTGAAAACCTTCCGGAGCTGCCGGCGCTTTATTCATGTAAGAAAGTATTCTGTGACTTCCACTAGCAGTTGAACCTTTAATATTATCTGTAATAGCCTTTTTGAGTTCTTTTGCTGTATTGCCCTCTGGTTCGTTCTCATCTTGGGAAAGTTTGAACTGTGCTAACTCTAAATTGCTTGCCACTCTAGATGGAATAAACCTGTCCCCACCTGGAGTTTTGGCATTTTTGTTCGGTGTTGGAGTTTTAGACTTTCGCAAAGGTGTTTTTGATGGAGTTTTACTATTCAAATAACCATCGCTATCCTTTGACGGAGTCTTTGATGTATTATTTAGACAAGAAGTCGATAAAGATCGTTGTTTAGAAGAATTTAAACTGCTATTTCCAGACAGAAGATTGCTAGTTTTTTTTCTCTCACATCTAGATTGTGGACCTTTGGTTATCGGGCCATCCAAACTAAGTATACTGTTCACATCATTCCAAAATTTAAATTGAGACATTTTAATTGAGGTTTCACGATTTATCACAGGGTAAAATAACTTTGAATAACTTTTAACTTTTGATAAGTGAATTATGGCCGTTATCTGTATAAGAAAATTAAAGTTTCAAATATATGTCAAAGTCAAAAGTCAAAAGACAGAAAATTAAAGCAATTTCGTCTAAACTATAGTATACAAGCATATTATAATATTTCCCGGTGACGTCATTAAATCCATATTTTATGGTAAAATCATATATTTTTATATGATCGGTCATTATTATTAACTCAAATATTACATTTCTGTTCTTTCTGTTTTAACGGATTTTTAAAGATTCGTGGATGGTAAAATATATCAACCATTTATATTTCCGTTTTGAGTAAAGTAAATTTTTTTGATGTGTGAAAAACTGGTTAATTTTAACCCAAGTCTAGGAAAACCAAATACGTTTAAATAAAATATACGACGGCCTCCCCATAAGAGCAATGAGAGGATTTACGTCCCAGTATTGAAGGAGGACAGAAAATCGAGTCGAAGGGTTTCAAGACATAGGTTCATCCTTGTTTAGTCAAACCCAGGGCCATGTAAGTGAAATATTAAAAATGGTTCCAGCAAGAGTTTCCCAATTATGACGGATGATGGCGCTGATCGTCAAATTTTTGGACAGGGATTTTGCTTACCGACAATACGACGTGAGCTACGACCGGACCAGGACCAATCAGAATGATCAGTCTTTCTTGGACATTTGCTGTGGACGTGTGTGTTAATTTCTGTTGTGATAAGTGTGGTTGTGTTTGCAGTTTGATTGTTCGGTTTTGATATTATGTTAAAATTAATTTTGAAGTATTGTATCACCTGTTTTTATGTAATAGTACTTTGTTAATGTTTGTTTAACAATGTTTTACCAAAGAGGTTATACTTAATATACTTATCAATTTGCATAGCCTAACTTTTTATCAATAAACTTTGTAAATTTTCAGATTATTTAATTCCTTTTGTTTCCGTTTATAATTTTATTTTTAAGACATATTATGTGATTGTTTTACATAATATGTTTTAAAAATAAAATTACAAATAGCAAATAAAAATAATTAAAATAAAAAAGTGTATTTTACAATTCCCCCCGGCCCCGCACCCCTTTGGCTAACCTATAATGTCAGCTATGTCGAGAGATGGCGTTACGAAAATAGAACCGATTTATTACAAGGAACTTGGGCTTCTTTTTCGTTAGTATATTCTGTGGTCAAACCTACTACAAACCAAGGATAGACTTATGTAGGAAATGCATTGAAATTCTATAGCCATCCTTCAATATCGGGACAGGAATTTAAGCGGTACCCTCCGTATACTTTATTTTAAACGTATTTGATGAAAACCCAAGTATTAATAATTTACATGACAGTTGACAGAATATCTGTTTGACATTTGACATCAAATTTCGATTTCGGTATTTTTCGTCTAGAAGTGATTTTTCGGCAATTTTTAATGTAAATTAAAAAACCGTAATTTTATGGTAAAAAATTACGTAAAGAACGACTAATATTAGGGCTATAAAAAGAGTTGAAAATGATGGAATCTGAATCAACAGCCGAAGCAACTAGGAGGCTCAACGTTAAAAAACAAACCTTGGATGATGCTTATGCAGCCCCTGCAAATTTTCTAGAAATCGATGTAGTAAATCCAGTAACAACTATAGGTGTAGGAAAAAAACGATTCACTGATTACGAAGTAAAAATGAGAGTAAGCAATTTTTTAACCTATTTTTTAGTGGTATACTCCCCCCAACTGCTATTTGTAAATATAGATTACTCATAGAATAAAAGGTACAAAAGAAAGACCTTGTACTTTAGTTTTGTTATTAAAGTGCATCGTTATTTATTAAGTGCTATTTTTAATTTCCCAATAATTATCAAAGACAGATTATTTTTATATATTTATTTGTCAACTGAGCATATTTAAATTCTCTATTTTTATGTTAGTACTTAATTTGTTTTAGACAAATTTACCTGTATTTAAAGTAAAAGAATCAAGCGTAAGAAGAAGGTACAGTGACTTTGAGTGGTTAAGAAATGAACTCGAGAGAGACAGCAAAATTGTAGTCCCAGCGTTGCCAGGAAAAGCTTGGAAGAGGCAGCTACCTTTTCGAAATGATGATGGAATATTTGAGGAAGAATTTATTGAGGAGAGGAGAAAAGGATTGGAAGTATTTATAAACAAGTGTGTGCAATGTTTTATTCATTTTATTTAGATGTGAAGTGTATTACTAGCAATAATTCAATAATTTCTTTTAGAATTGCTGGTCATCCACTTGCCCAGAACGAACGGTGCCTACATATGTTCTTGCAGGAACCTACTATCGATAAAAACTACGTTCCAGGAAAAATTCGTAACACCTAATTGAATATTGTTGGATATTAATTGTTAATTCTATGATGATTCCTTTGGATATATCCACATTGATTTTTTTTGTAATTTTATCATAATTTTATAAAAATTTACACAAAGAATACTTTATGAGTAATATGTTTAAAATGATATTGGATCTGTATATTTCTAATTTTTAAAATTAAGAAAGCAATCCTGGAGAATAATTAGGTTTATGCTTTAATGTAATTTTTTGTATGTATAGTGATATATATGATTTACGTGTTATAGGAAAACTACTTATATACTATTTACTCAAAATAAATTTATTTATATGCTAGTTATTGTTGGTTTATCTAATCTATTGGATTTACAATTGAATCTTCTTGTCTCCAACTTTTTTGGCCTTTTAAATATATGATTTCTTGCCACGTCTTTCTTAACAGCCTAAAAAATGGTTTTCAGTTATTATATTTCAAAATAATTCTTTCAAAGGAAACTGTTTGCTTTCAACGCTCCACTGTATAATACCAACCCCCGCTTTTTCATTTAAAAAACTTAGCAACCCTACTTTACAATTTATTTAAACACGATTTATTTTACACTAAGTAACAAAACAATAATTACTTAAAGAACTCTTTACAAACTTATTTTCTACTATTCATCTAAAAAGGGGTTTATTTGAATTTATTTTAAAAGGCGCGAGCACGACTACCGATTGTTTCTCTCTTTTTTGCACTGGCCTCAGTTTATATACTCAAAGAGAGAGAGCCCAGCAGACAGTCTAGATTTTAATCGTCTTTTCCTAGGTGCCGTTCTCCGTCTTTCTGGCGTATTCTGCTGGTTCTAGAATAAGGGCGGGGCATATTAGCCCGAGGGATGAGTCCGCAACAATATAAAAGCATGTGTACTAGAGGTGGGCAAAGATTGAACGAGTATTAAAAATGAATCGTGAGATTCAATTCACCGTTTAGAATACGGTTCGTTCATAATTGAATCGTGGCCAGCACGGATCCATAAAATTTGAACGATTAGCCGTAAAAAAGAGTCGTGAGAATTGAATCGGATCACAATGCGATCGTTCGTTCAGAGAGTCGTAAGAATTTATTCATTGCTTACAATACGGTTCGTTCAATTGAATCGTGGCAAGCACGGATCCATAAAATTTGAACGATATGGGCCGTAAAAAAGAGTCGCGATAATCGAATCGGATCACAATGCGATCGTTATGGCGCCTTCTCACGACTCGTGTACTTGGCAAGTATTTTTTATTGGTCTACAGGATCTGGCGGGAGTACGGCGTAGTTCCTATAATAAACTTAGAAATTCTGTATAGATGCCCTACGCACCGTGTATACCCTGTATACCAATTACAAATGTTTGTCAAGTACACGAGTCGTGAGAATGCGCCTTTATACATAGAGTCGGGCACCAATATTTAGATTTGAACAAAAACCCTAAACAAACATCATAAGCATAAAATGCAAACGATAAGAAAGTTATTTACAAAAAAAAAAACATTTATTTATACTGTGCTTAGTACGGGAGTATTTGTGATGTATTTAATTTTCACGTTAATATTTCTGTTAAAATAATATTTATCGACTATAAACCATTAGGTAAATGTCGGATTAAAAGACGAAATCGTGTTTTTTGCAACTTCAAATAAATATTGTTGGCCTCTGCTCAATATGATAAAAAAACGACGTTAACCACGGTTATGAAATGAAGATCTCTGTCATTTTAAATGTAAAATTATATGGGGAATGTCATCTGGGCGCCATTTTTTTCATTATTATATACTATTTATTATATGATTATCAAATCGGAATTAAAATATACCCTAAAAATAATAAATTAGTATTAAGAAGTATTTAATAAATAGTATCTATATAAGAATTGGATTGATAATTTAATATTATTGGTAAAATAATCAATACAATTACGCCAGTGCCATAAGTGTTGAAAAACAAATGAAAGAACTGTATTATATGTATGTGTATTTCTTTTTCTGGTCCTTTAAAGGTTGATTCTCACTATTCCTTCCATATCAGCTACCTTCCGTTTACATAAAATATTATATCATGTAAATTAATAGGACAATGCACACTATCCGTTCCGTTTCTCTTCCGTTCCATATTCTTTCCTTCCATACATTTTTTTGACGGACGGGCTGAAGCGTGTCGGAAACAGCGTTGTCAAGTTCTTCCATTTGTATACCAGCTGTGTTAACATTTTGCTGATATATTATTTATTCTTTCACCTCTTAATTAAATCTATTACCTTTTTCAAAAGATACAAATTTTTAAAATAAAACTTTCGTAATGATATAAACTGTATAATAAATAGTATGAAACTGATACGGAACGGAAGCTTACGTATAGCGTCAATACATTAAAAAATACGGAACGGATATGGAATGGATATGGAATTGAAACGGAATGTATAGTGAGAATCAGCCTGTCGGACAAAATTATCACCGGTAGTGTCAGTTACGATACTTGTTTTTATGAAACGTAAATTGTGCATGTGGTTGGTTCAAATGAACGAATTGTAGGAGTCGATTCAATATGAGAAATTGAACCGTGTGATTCGATTAACTAAAAAGAATCGTAATGCCCATCACTAACGTATACCTTAGAGGGGTTTATTTTAATATTTTTGGAAAATATGTAAATTTTTAATATTACCACAAGAAAGTTGCATGTAATCGCAGAATAACTACATGTAATTAAGCGCTAAACGTACGAGATTAACGAAATAGCCGATTGAAAACCGAGTTAAAAACCGCCGCGAAGATTTATTGCTTATTACCCAATAAAAGCGCGGGATTGTATCACACCATATTTTATCAGCAAACGCGCATTAAATTGTTTTGATCAGGTACAAAATTAAAACTGAATCGTTGATTAAAAGAATTGGGAAGATACCTAACCTAATGGGCGAATTCGTGACAAGGTTGATTTGATTTCCCCTTACGTCTCAAGTGCTGTACGGTGGAGACACCAATCGTTCTGAGATCAACGCATAAAACAATTATTTTCTCTAATTCGGCCAGCGAAGGCATATCGAAGACGGTGTGGATCTGAAAGCGACAGTGTTATTTCCATATTAAAATGTGTAATTTATGTTACGCTTCACGAAAATATCTTTGGATGAAAAATCCGCGTTTATGTATTGAAAATTTATTCGTGTTAAATATAGAAATCACAAAAAAAATAAAAATTCTTTTATAGGTACTGAATATGTCGTATGATCGAAAAAAGTCGTTTAGTTGGCTTGGAAATGACGATTATTGATATTTACCATAATATTTTACATATTAAATAACAGCGATCTTCATTTCCAAGCCAACTCTAACGCCGTTCTTTGTTTAATAATATAATATTATATTAAATTGTTTAATGGTAGAAAATCTAATTTTATTAACGTACCGAAAATCCGTAAATCTACAGATTAATCAGTAGCCCTACTACCAGTAGTCTGCGGCAACCACTCACTCTGTCGACTGAACGCAGAAGTACGGTCTGCTACGGTAGGCATTTATACATTCCGTACATATATACGGCACCTAGCACAATCCTATTGGTCAGATTTGAATTTTAAACCAATTAAAGTCCGAGTGCCATACGCGAGTATGGAATGTAAAACGGTGCCATGCGCACTTACGGAATGTACCTTGCAGCAGAAAGTAACGCCTGGTTATAGCTAATCTTGCAAGAGTAGCGGGGAGGTCAAGTATCTAGGAATCACGCTTGATACCAAACTGACCTGGAACCGACATTTGGAAAATGTCACAATGAGGGCGATGACTACACTAGCGGTAGTCAGACGCCTTCACGGAAAAATCTGGGGCCGCAGACCACAGATGGTGCACTGGCTGTACACTGGAGTGGTGAGGCCTTCAGTAAAATATGCATCCTTGGTATGGTGGCCTAAGGTAATGCAACAAACAACAATGCTCAGCCTCAGCAAGGTGCAAAGACTTGCTTGTCTGAGCATAACAGGGGCGATGAAATCAACGCCCACTGCATCAATGGAGGCACTTCTGGACCTTCCGCCTCTTCACATAGTGATCCAGGCGGAGGCAAGAATGGGACTCTATCGACAACAAAGTGTCTTGTCTCTGGGAAATAGGACAGAAACCGGACACTCAAAGATGGGAAATCCTATCGGAGGACCTCTACTCCAAATGAGATCGGACCAAATGACCCCTCTTTATCACTACCACAAACCATTCGAGATGAACAAAATGGATCGAGGAATGTGGACAGATATAACATTCCTTCAGGATGGACTAACCTGGTATACAGACGGGTCAAAGACGGCTGAAGGAACAGGAGCTGGAGTATTTGGGGAAAGACCAAGAGTATATAAGTTTATCCTTTTCCTTGGGTAAACACTCAACCGTATTCCAGACAGAAATCTTCGCCATTCTACAATGTGCGAGAGAAAATAATAGAAGAGCTTATTCAGATAAGCTCATCAATATATGTCCAGACAGTCAGACGGCACTTGGGGCGCTTATGAGCCCAAAGGTATCGTCGAAACTCGTCTGGGAATGCCTAGGTGAACTGGAAGCTCTGGCTCGAAGGAACAGAATTAAATTATTCTGGGTGCCTGGCCACAGCGGCATCCAAGGCAACGAAAAAGCCGATGAGCTAGCTAGGCAAGAATCATCGGCATCTTATCTTGGTCCAGAGCCAGTACTGGGAATACCCAAATGTATGGCCCGTAGTGCACTAAAACTCTGGATCAGGGAAAAGCAGAATGTCCACTGGAGAAACAGACAGGGGCACAGGCACAGCAAGGCTTTTATCCAAGGACCTAGCTCTAAAACCGCAAAAGAACTGCTAATGTCTGTGCTAATGCTTAGTAGGAATAAATTGCGGATTACAACAGGCCTCTTGACAGGACATATGGCTGTCAAGTGTTACCTGAACAAGCTCAACCTGTATCAAGGAAGTCTTTGCTGCAGACTCTGCGATAAAGATCCTGAAACAGCGGAGCACATAATATGCCACCGCGAGGCTCTGGATCGCAAGCGACACTTTTTATTTGGGAAAGCTAGGCTAGAACCGGAAGAACTATATGCTCTCATCCTATCAAGGACCTGCATAAGTTAGTGCAGGGCACAGGGATAGGAGAATGGGTGCAGATATAGAAAGGGGACAAACACAATAGGCCTCACAGGTCGCAGTGTTTCCGGCAGAGGACGGCCCCTTATTGTGAAAAAAAAAGAGTAGCTGTGGCTCCGTGACTGAGGCCATCGCTTCGTGAACGATAGGTCCGTGGTTCAAATCTCGCGCCGGACCATAACGTTTTTATTTTTTTTACAACTGTTTTTATTTAAAAAAAAGCTGTAAATATTTAATAGCAATCAAAATACGGATTACGTTGGTTTCACTCTTTTTGGTGAGGTTAAATTGATTATTTGGTGGAGTTAGTTGCGTGGGTTAAGATGGTTATTTGGTGGGGTTGATTGCGTTGGTTAGGTTAGCTATTTGGTGGGGTTGGTTTGGTTTTGGATGGAATGCTCTATAACAAAGCGTTAATAGTAATGTCTAAGGTACATTCCTTAAGCGCATATGGCGCACTGTCTTATATTCCATACTCGCGTATGGCACTCGGAGTTTAATTGGTTTAAAATTCAAATCTGGCCAATGGGATTGTGCTAGGTGCCGTATACGCTGCGCTGTAAACCACTACCAGCGCGCCGCGGCGCAGATCTAAACTAAAATCTCGGAATTCTTGGACAGGCTGACGGTAACGCCAGCTATATCTCGGACAGGTTTTGTGCCACGAAATCGCCCATAAGGTTGCGCATCTTATTTCTTCAATCAACGATCTGAACGAAATATAGGTATAAATACATACGATGCTTCTTCACTGAGGTCTGCACAATTTGGCAACACGGATTTAAGCAGGTCCGTACAGGGTAGCACAATAATATTAAGGAAATTAACTTGATCTTCGGGAATCATTGCTGATTTGTCACGGTCCATGAGTGATAATGGGGTGAGGCCCATTGCCTTTTCTCTGTCGCCTTGATTGTAGAATTCCTCTATAAAATGTAGAACAAAATTTTAATCCTTAAATTTTTTTCAAGGTAGCTTTTCTTGGTAAAATTTTCAGGAGATAATATACAGGGTGGGTCTTATAAATAAGTGCAAATATTTTCAGGGCTGGTAGATCTCGATAAAAGAATCATATTTTCTCTTTACCGTTTTTCAAATAAGCCAAAATAACCGAGTTATTCAAGTTTAATAAATTTTTAAGAAAAAAATGGTGTGTGCACTATGTGCGCATATTTGAAGTGAAACTTCTTCTTACTTCAGTCTGTCCGTCTGAAGACTCCATTCGGGTACATCTATCCACGTGCCAAGTTTAGTTCCAATCGCAGTGTGCACCGCCGCTCACATAGCCTACCCACCAAATTTGGTTGCGATCGGACATCAACTTTTGACGTTTCTTATGTCAAAACTAACTGACACAATTACTTTAAACAACACACAAATTCAAATCGGACGATTTTTTCATAAGATATGGGGCTCTTGACCTTGTATACCAGCATAATGTTATTGTTTTCAAATTCAAATTTGGTAACATCGAAACTATTAACGACTGCACATCCATGTTAACATCGGATGTGAATAGCGAAAGATATCCATAAAATACTCTAGTAAGATGAGATTTGCAATCGATTTCCGATGCACGTGATCAACTTTGAGTGACAAGCGATGGCGACAGCGCTGCCAGATTGTGATGGATTTATGAGATGAATCTTGATTTTTACGTTTTATTTTTAATTTAATAACTAATATTTTAGTAATTAATTGATTTATTTGTTTTATAGCTTATTTTACTTATTACATATTGGCAAAAACTAGTCCATTATGAAGATTATTATTCTAAGCGTTATTATGGGTTATTAATGTACATCTTACAACGCCATAAGTGGTAATAACATGTAAGAGGGTGCTATTAATGCACAAACTAATAATCACATAACTTAAATAAAAACTAACGTAGAAATAACTTTGAAAGTGGTGTAAACTCGAAAATTTAGTTCTTAAAAGAACTGTTTGTGTTTTTAAAAAAAGACTATGGAAATTGGCAAAAAACGAGAATTATTCACAAAGATTCAACAGCAACACGATATTATACAAAATAATGACTGACATTAGGATAATTGTCAAATAATAAACGACAACCTTGCTGAAAACGGCGCAATGTGTCCAACATAGCGATAATAAAATTCGGGTAAACTAATTTTTGCAGCTTTAATCTAAATAAAATATCTGTTACAATCATTTGCTCTATAAAGTCAAATGAAGAGCTGCTTGGTATCTTAAATTATACAACAAATTTAAACATTTTTGCCAAAATTAATTTCAGTTTTATAGACTTGTCAATGTCGATATGATTGAAGACGTCCATCGGAAAATGTTTTGCGATTACAATATATACTTGTCTTATAGGAGTATAGTATTTCCGAAGTCAATTTGAAGAACTGGGACTCTTAATTCCTTTGTCCAGACCAGGGGCGGATACAGGAATTTATTTTAGGGGGGGTCCAAATAAAAATGTAATGTAGAATATGCCTTTTAGAGTGTAATTTTTAACCCAAAAGGCTAATATTTAACCCAATTTACAGATGTTAGGGGGGGGGGGGCGGGCCACATGGGCCCCCCCTCTGTATCCGCCACTGGTCCAGACAATGCTGATAAAGACAGTGCCGAAATTATATTGTAATTGACTTCAGAAAAACTAATGCCCACTTGCACCGTTTGTATAAACTTTGTTTAAAGGCTAAACAGTGATTAACTATACATACTTTATTATAGTTAATAACTGTTTAGCCTTTAAACAAAGTTTATACACACGGTGCAAGTGGGCATAAGCATTACTAAGCGAATGACGTGGAAGCATTTGACAACGTCGCAAGACGTTCTAAACCGATAAGTCATTATTATCATTACACTGGATTGCAGACAACTGTCATTAATATGATATATTCTTTTCCAGACCGAATATATGTATATTTCATATCAATTAAACTTTTAGTTACGTGATTGAAGGCGCGATTTTTAAATTCATTGTAGCCAACCATTTCACATATCCGGCGCCGCGGCCGTGCTGACTAACTGGAATTTAAATTTCGCGCTTGGGATTCAGGGGGTAGCATTCTGTAAAGAATGTCAAGTTGCCGCATTTATTTATTTATTCACATTGTCATTCGTTTTGACACATCAGTTTTGTATTACGAGTTTTTGGTTTAAATAAATATTGTTGTGATACTTTAAGCTTGAAAATGTCTACTAGAACATTGCTCTTTTTAGAACATCTTTTAGTGCGAAGTGTACAAGATAGCTTAATAGCCGTAAAAACCGCATCGCAACTTTATTAGAATATTTTGAACGGGAAAGCGGTAGTAATGGCCCTTTATGGCCCTTAAGTGCTGTTAAGAAGGTGATTTTTGTTGATGTAAATAACTGTTTATATATTTATAATTAATTTATTTTCGTTTCCTAAAATATTTTGCTTAAAAGAAAATATACAAAAGTGGGCAACGCTGTGCCGGTCAAGCTCAATCACGTGACTAAAAGTTTATTTGGTATGAACTGTATACGTTGTGTGTTACTATTCACTTACTAATCAAATTATCAGTTAGATTTTTTGCCACGATATAAGGTTTGCAAGAACCGGACAGATCGCAAGCCGTCATCATAATGGCTTTACAAAGGTGTCTGTGGTGTCTGTTAGACCAATCCAGTCCTTGGTCGCTGGTATTGACTTGCATCAGCTTCAGACGGACTTTGAAATAATTCGCTAGGTCCGTGGCTATGATGCACTGCCTTATTTCTGTGTTTAATTCTTGCCACAACGAGTCTGATACGTTGTAAAAAGGATAGACCTGAAGTACAAGTAAACAGAAATCGTTAGTTATTATTATGGAGGATAGAGGTAAGGAGAATCACCTCTTATGGGACTTTGTTTCTATACTATATACTTTGTTTTCTATACTATTTTTTTGGATAGATGAATCCGCCACATAGGTATAGACATTTTTTAAAATTAATGATTATGTTTTTATGGCCTCTAAAATTGTGCACAGCGCCTGACTGGCACAGTTATTAGAGAGATATCGGAAAACCGAATAGCGTCATGCAGTACTTACGCGTACCTTATCATGGTTACGAAATGCGCGAGTCAATTTTTAACGCAACACCCGCTAATAAAGTTACCGCCTGACGTAATTTGCGGATGAATTACACCAAGCGCTATTTCTAAATAACGTTTAAAAATTGCTCAAATGGGCATGTGCGGGTATTTGACAACCGGGGCCGGCCGGCGGGATCTTTTATTTTAGGTTATGTATGAATTGTTTTGAATTATTACTTTAGTTTTATTAGGTAATTTGATATTTAAGTAGTTGGGATTAGTTTTAATTAAACAAATATGACCCAAAATATGGATTCCACCTCTTCCAATATTAAAGAACCTATAAAGAGGCTTAGGTTTACAGCAGATGAGGACTTAGCCCTTCTAAGAGAATTTGTTGCTTGTTGCCCTAAACCCACTGGCAGACGTTGAACAATAAAGCACTGGAAATAAGCACTTTAGTCCTTTAGTTTTAAAATACCTAGTAAACAAAACAATTTCAAAGTTTTAAATTCAAAGTTAGGTTAAGTTTAAATAGCGGACGCGACGCGAACAGAATTCTTTCCGATCCGATAACTATAAATGAAGAGTGTTAATACCACCTCACGTAAAGGAAATAACACCTGGCCTTATTAACGTCCATGCACGCTATTCGGTTTAGCGATATCTCTCTATTACGCTGTTTATTGTTATTTTACGCGAGTTTATTTTTGCGCACAGGAAATTTTACTCGTTTGCACATCGTCATAAAAAACAATTTTCGTACCACGAATTAGGGACAGGATTTTTATCTCTATACTTATAGGATACCTAATCTGTGGTATTATGATGTGCAACCAAAGTTATTTTAATTTCCCTATATAAACATTTTTTACATGGATAGTATTATACTTCTTCCTTAATCTTCTATTCAGATTACCGATACCGATGTGATTAGACTATGTCACTATGTTACCTACTTTATATATTGTCATCGCTACTTGATAATGGTGATTTTCTAAAAACGATTCGTCATAGAGCTGTGATAAAACGTCGTCGTTTAATTGAAGAAAGTTATTAGTGTATCCACCATGATCCAAATCATGACACAGACAGGCTATTATTAAAGATTTAATCTGGAAATAAATACCATTTTCAAAACCATAAAGAAAAAAATCTTAAGTCAACTAATGGTAATGGTAAAATAAAAACATATACTGGGTGAGTCTCTCACCCCTATAACTTTTTCATTTTTTTTTCAGATAAAAAACGAGATTTGGTATGTTAATATATGACATAAATTAGGATTGATTGACGTTATTCAATTCTTTTTGACCGCCAAATTTTTGATTTTTAAATGGCACCCTCGGTATCTTTTTTACTTTATTTGACAGAACTTCTGTCGTTTTCGCTTAAAACAAAATTATTAAATTAAAATTAAATCAAATTAAATTTCAATCTAGAGCGCCATGGTTGTGTTAAAAACACTAATTTTTGATCAAGGAGCCTTGGAAAAATAGATTTAATCGTCTAATGTTTTCAGTGTCTTGTTCTGACCGGTTAAAAGGTCCGGTTAATTTTTCAAATTCAAATTCAAATTTCTTTATTAGACTCCATTAAGTTTTACAGAATAATATTAGTATTAATAAAGGTGTGTCTAAAGGGATCGCACCGCGATTAAAAAACCGATGCAATGGCACAAAGTGCCAAAGTGGTGCGACCCCAAATACAAAATAGAAATAAATTAAATTATAAAAATAACAGAATTAAAAAAATTAAAATTATATAAAAAAAGTGAAAATATAATTTTATCAGGGATGAGCGGAGATAAGCAGAGAGGCATAATGAAACTTATGTCTATTAACATATGAAACTGAAATATTTTTGGAAGTTAGCTGTTCGGTGTTGAGGGATTTTAAAATAATGCACTTGTCTAGTCGAATGATCATGGTCAACGTAGTGAAACAATGAGAACAAATAGGGAGGCTGCTCTGTAGATAAAATTCGATAAATGAATGTCATTAAATGAAATTGTCGTCTGTTAGTTATGGATAAAATAGATAAATTTTTAAGATGTGGCGTTATATGATCTCTAAAAGGAATGTTAAAAGAAAACCGTAGGCACGAGTTTTGAAGTATGTGGATTTTTCTAGAGAATCTAGCGTTTATGGATGTACCATAAACAACATCGCCGTAATCAAATAAAGATAAAATAAGTGTGTCACATAATTGATACTTAGTCTTTGATGGTATATATTTCTTAAGAGACGAAAAATTCTTCAACCGTATATAAGCAGCCTTTAATTTAGTAGTTATATGTGCCTGAAAAGAAAGTTTCGCATCAAAATAGACTCCAAGATTTTTAGTCTCTGTAACAATGGTTAATCGCAACATTATCTATATGGATATTCATGTTACCAGCTGTATTTGTAATTTTGTTTATATCACTACCAAATACTATAACACAAGATTTACCGGCATTTAATTTCAAATTATGATCCAGAGCATATTTCTTAATTTTATTAAGATCGTCGTTAAAATTTAACTGAAATTGTGCCAAATTATTAGTATCTATTTTGCAATAAATTTGAGAATCATCTGCATATTGCTGCAATTTAGAAAACTGTAATTCCTTATCCATATCAGCTACATATAACGAAAATAAAAGTGGCCCCAGAATAGATCCCTGAGGAACCCCAGAAATCATAGGAATATAACTAGATTTTTGTTTTAAACTTCCCCGTTTATGACAACATAACGTGATCTATCTTTTAAAAGGTTTTTTATCAATTCTAAAGAGCCGTCTGAAAATCCAAAATACTGTAATTTTGCTAGGAGCAATGAATGGTCTAGAGTATCAAATGCTTTACTAAAGTCTGGTAAGCTAAGACACGTCATATTTTTATTTTCTTGATTTGTTCTAATATCATTAACCAGCTTCAGTAAACAAGTGATAGTGCTGTAGTTCTTACGAAAACCAGATTGGCATTCTGGTATTAGTTTATTTGAATCTACAAATGAAACAATTTGATTATGTAGATGTTTTTCTATAATTTTAGAAATTGCTGGCAATATACTCACGGGTCTTAGATCGTTGTTATTTAAAGGTTTGGAAATTTTACAGAGAGGTGTTATAATAGCTCTTTTCCATATTTCGGGATAGACATTGTCTAAAATAGAAGTACTAATTATATTTATTACCGCTTTACCACAGTAAGGCATGCACAGCTTTAGTGTTTTAATTGATAGAATAAATCATCTTCACCGACAGCATTAGATCGAATAGAATTTAATATTTGATGTAACGATAACTCATCTATTAGTTTGAAATTTAGAACATTATTCCCTATTTTTTCATGCTTATTTTGTCTATAAAAATCTATTTTTTTTATTTGATGTACTATTAATGCAATTCTGACAGTTCGAAAAAAAAATATTAAGCTTATCTACATCCGCTAAGTTTTCAGGAACTTCCGGACTTGATTTAAATGTTAACTTAATCGTTTAGCATCTTTCCAGAAGTCTTTACCAGTCTTTTCCGATAAACCCTTAAAATAACTAATTTTTTCTCTAACTATAGCATGTTTTGTAAAATTCCTGAGTTGACGATAATATTGTAATTTGGCTTCAGATCGTTGTTTTAAATATTTTTGATGTGCTTTGTCTCTAAGTTTGATTAATAATTTAATGTTATCCGTTATCCAGGGTAAATATGGTTTATCTGCAATTTTTTTCTTTTTCAACGGTGCATGTTTATTGAGGAGATAAAAAATGTAATTATATAGAGTTTTTATTTTAATATTAATATCCGCTATATAAAAAATATTTTCCCAAGGTAACATAATTGCATCTTTTTTAAAATTTTCCTGGTTAATATGATTATAATCTCTATATTCAATATATTTCGTAGAGCTATGGGATATTTGTAGAGTAAATATAACATATATCAAACAATGATCAGAAACTGACTCAGATACAGGGACGGAAGTACTGAAATCATAATTAAAATTATTATTTGTGATCATTACATCAATTAGGCTGCAGGCACCATCCGAACCACGAGTTGGTTCGTTGATAACTTGTACAAGATTAAAAGACTCTAAAATTTTAGATATTTTCAATGTTACAGGACACTGTTTTAAAAAGTTAATATTAAAATCACCCATAAATATCATATTGTCAAGAAAAATGGCCTATCCGCCAGAAATTAAAAATGTATTACTGGTTGCCTGCACAACCGCAACGTATCCGCCAGAAATTAAAAGACTTTTTCAGGCGCCATCTTTTAGTCAAGTCGAGAAGTAAGGGAATCAGACAATAGAATTGTCTGGTATGAAGAATACGCTTTCCGGAATTGGGGAAATTTCGAGAAGCAGTCAATAGAGTATATAAGCCGGAGCCATCGACAACTGAGACAGTTTTGAAATTTGAATATACCGCGTGGAAATTGAAAATCGGACAATTTGGTGAAGGAATAGTTAGTTTGTTGTGTGTTATAAGTTAGTAATTGTGTATAAAGTGAGAAAATAAATTCGTTAAGTATTTTATCGTGAGTTTAAATAGTGGACCCACGGAATCCGTAACAATTGGTGTCGGAAGTGCGATTCAAGAGGATTTTAAGAAGAAATTAAGTGGATTGGAAGATTTTTTAGACCCAATTAGAGTATATTTTTATGGTTGGTACAAAGAGAACAAGCAGAAGAAAATGGAGGAAGTAAGCAAGTTATTGGGCGATTTTATGGAGAATATGAGAAGAGAGAAGGCAAAAGAACAAGAAAGACTCCGTAAAAGAACGAGAAGAAGAGAGAGAGCCCGATTAGAAGAGAAAAGGAAGAGAGGAAAACTACGACGTCAACAAGAACAGGACCGGCTTGAGAACATTTTCGAAGATTTGAAAGTTCAACGACAACAAGACAAAGAAGAAGAACAGGACCGGCTTGAGAAAATTTTAGAAGATATGAAAATTCAACGACAACAAGACAAAGAAGAAGAACAGGACCGGCTTGAGAAAATTTTAGGCAATTTAGAAAGTCGTCAGAAGAATGAATGGAGGGAAATTTTAGAAGATATAGAAACGCGCCGCCAAAAAGAAAGACAAGAAGATCAGGACCGTCTTAAGAAAACTTTAGAAAATCAGGAATTTCGACTACAGAAGAATTTTAAAGACCTAGAAAAACGACAGGAGAACCATTTCCAAGAAGTCGTAGAAGATCTTGAGGAACGCCTTCAGCAGAAAATGGAAAAATTAGAGATGGACCTACAGAAGACCAAGGTACAAGTAAAGGCACCTGGCGTTCATGGAACTGCGAACCTCAAGGCCCCGACCTACGATGGACAAACCACCTGGACGATGTACCACCGCCAGTTTGAAGCAGCGGCTGCTGCCAATGGATGGACTGACCAAGAGAAAGCAGCAGCACTTGTCATCGCGCTGCGAGGCCCTGCACTGGAACTGTTGCAAACTATTCCTGCAGCCCAGCAGCAGGAATACCAAACTTTGGTCGCTGCACTGGACAGAAGATATGGCGACCAACATCGACGCCAACTTTACCAGGCACAGATCAAGACACGCCTGCAGAGGTCCGGAGAGAGTCTGCAGGAATTTGAAGCAGACTTACGTCGGCTGGTACACCTAGCGTATCCTGAGGCACCGGAAGGATTTAGGGAGGAACTCGCTGCTCAGTGCTTTATCAGCGGACTGAGGGACAACGAATTGCAGAGGGCGCTGCAAATATCCCGATTTTCCACCAGCAGCGAAGCACTGGTCAGGGCGCTAGAAATTGAAGCTGCTTTTAGCGCCATTCCTAAACAGAAGATAGGCTCGGTAACGGTTGAGGAACAGCCAAAGAGTTCTCACATACGTTTGGAGGAGATGTTTAATAAACTATGTGAATTACTAGTGAACAAGAGAGTCAACAACACCCAGACAGAGAACCAAAGAAGATTCCAGGATATGAGGTGCTATGGATGCGGCAGGAATGGCCACATCAAACGAGATTGTCGCATCCAAATGCGATTCCATTCACCATCCAGAGAACATCGGCACATCGGAAGATCCCAGGACATAAGTTGCTATAGATGTGGCAGGAATGGCCACATCAAACGGGATTGTCGCATCCAAATGCGATTCCATTCA